TAGTAAAATTCCGTTAAGCTGTTCGCCACGTGGGTGGGCTGCGTGGGAGACGTCACGCTAATTCACTCGGCTAGGTCGCTCTTTACGCAAGAAAACATTCAGGATGCGCAGATTGTGGCCAATAAGGTGTGAATTTCGGGATTCCTCAACAATCTCTGCTAGCCTGCCCTTGACAGCGTTTTTTTTAAGAATTGCCTCTTTGTGTTTCCGCGCGAGGCCGGGAAGGACTACGTGGTGGTACGTCGGAAACAGCACACGTTTACGCATCATCAGCTGGGGCCGACAGGGCTGTATACATCGTGAGTTTGGAGAGAGAGAAAGAGAGAGCGAGAGAGAGAGAGTGTGTGGAGAGAGAGAGAGAGAGAGAGAGGAGAGCCAAAACTGATCCATTCTCTTCCAGCTGGTGCATCGACCACGACCACAACGTCATTTGGTCGTACTCGGCAGCCGAGATGCGCGTTCAGGGTCGGTTTCTGAATTAAAAAAAACTTGGTTTGAAGGCCATAATTGATTTAGATAGTTTCCAACAAATTGAATTCTAAATTTTAGTTTTTGAAATTTTTTTAGCTGTATTTTAAGGCGTCACCGAGGCGCGCGGGCTGACGGCAGCCCAATCCTACGGCAAGGAGCAGAATCCGTTGAGCCTGCTGCGAAGCCCGGAATTCTTCATCCCCGCCGAGTTCGAGGCCCGCCTCAGTACAAATCAGGTATGATGCATTCATTCTACCTCTCTCTCTCTCTCCCTCTCTCTCTCACTCTAGCTCTCTCGCTTCTCTTTCTCTCGCTCTCTCTATCTCGATCTCTCTCAATCTCTCGTGCTCTCTTCTCCCTATCTCTCACTCTCTTTCTCTCCCTATCTCTATCTCGCTCTCTCTCTCTCAATCTCTCGCTCTCTCTCACCCTCTCTCTATATCACTCTCTATCAAATACTAATTTTAAGATGGCCCTCAACCTCCTCTCCACCACCTACGGCCTCAGCATGCTCAGCGCCGAGCCGTCCGCCCAAAAGGTACGCTGTCACGCTCCCTTTAAAGCCTACTCTCGTGCTCAGGACGCCTCGAACTTGTCGCGTCTCGGCTCTTCCGGTCAGCTTCACGAGGGATACTCGGTGGTCAATCGTTTCGAGGCGAATGGCGGAGGCTGGGGATATAGGTGCGCTCTTGCTCACTCTCCCTCGCTCTCGCGCTCTCTCTCTCTCTCTCTCTCTTTCATTATCTCTCTCTTTCCAGCGCTCACTCCGTCGAAGCGATCCAGTTCCAAGTCAACCGCCCCATCCGGCTGATCGGCGTCGGGTTGTACGGTGGCCGCGGCGAGTACATCGCAAAGTAAGTGGGGTTTGAGCCTGAGCATGGCTTTAATATTACGCCTTTTATTAGCATAATCATCAATTGGGAATTTAGGATCCGCATCCACCGGCTGATCGGCGGCGATATGGACGAGTTGATGGTGGAGGAGGTGACCGAGACGGACGAGACGCTGTTTGAGGTCAAAACCTAACAAGGAGTCGCTTTTAGGTGCTTTCGGAGTTTCGGGACGGGACCTAGCTAGTTCGATAGAGAAAAAAATTCTGAGCAACATTCCCGTTCTCAAAAAGTGCTGATCGATAAAGCTGTTTTAGAAAATTTAATTTAATTAAAAATGTTCCCGGTGTCCGGACCCCTGTGGTGATTTGAGGTGATTTGCGGCGATCGAACGCCCCTGCCACATGAGGACTTCACACGCCTTGGATCCGGTCCTAGGCATGGCCAAGTGGCTAGTGCGATGGCCTACGAAGTTTTTTTTACCTTTTGCCACAAGTTCGATTCTTATTTACCGTTAACTCTTTGCTTTTTTGCTAATTAAAATTTTATGCACCGTTAAGGGGTTCAAGAACCAAAAAGCAAAGGGTTAGCCAGCGCGAAGATTCGAACCCGAGGCAAAAAAATGTTAAAAAGTCGGAAGGCAAGCGCGCTACCAATACGCTAATGCAACCTGTCATGGAGGCATTGGCGGAGGGTTACGAATGGCGCCCTGCCCCGCTCCGAAAACGACGTGCACCGAGGAAATGGACCCGAAAACTCGAAAAAAGCGCGAACTTTAAATTAACTTTTCTAAAACACCTTTATCGATCAGCACTTTTTGAAAACGGGATGTTGCTCAGAATTTTTTTCTGTATCGAACTAGCTAGGTGCCGTCCCGAAACTCCAAAAGCACCTAAAAGCGACTCCTTGTAAGCCTAAATTGAGCTAAGCTGAGCTAAGCTGAGCTGAGCCAAGCCTATGCCTAAGTTAAGCCTAGCCTGAGCCTAAGCTAACTCTTTTTAGTGTGGAGCAAGACAGACAGCTGCTTGATGCTCACTCGACCGGTCAGCATCCAGGCCGGCCAGTGGTACGCCGTGTCGGCAAAGATCAGGTAGGGATAGAGAGCGAGAAAGAGAGGGAGAGAGAGAGAGAGAGGAGTGAGAGTGAGAGTGAGCTAGCAGGGATCGTTGTGGAAGAGGCGGGGGCAAGCTAGCAGAGATCATTCAAATTTCCAGCGGTCCGTCATCTGATTGCGGAGCTAATGGCCGAGCAGTCGTCGAAAGCGAGGACGTCTCCTTCCACTTCCGCAATTCCATCCTCTCCAATAACGGGACAGACGTGACTGTTGGCCAAGTGCCAGAGCTCTTCTACCAGGTACTGTAGAAGGGGCAACTTTTAGTGTTTGAAGGTCGAAAAATCCAACGCTGAGGTGTATGAGGATCTCTCGAAAGATCTGGACGGCCGGGGATTTTCTGACTTTTCCGCGCTGCTCCGCTCGAAGACGCTGCTCACCCCGACGTCCGAAGTGTTCAACTCTTTGCTGCGGATTTTTGACTGGGCCGTGACAAGGTAGGTGGTTGATGAGACATAGCCATTTTCCAGAGCCTTCGAGCAACACCTCGACCTCCCCTACGAAGACCAGCGATGGCTGAGCGAGCGTGCCGTTTCGATCGGCATCTTGGCGCTGAAGATGATCAAGTTGGCGGCACATTTCTGGTCTAAAAATTGTTTCTTTTTGTTAGGTTTTACCTGAAAATGCTCTATCCCTCGAATGGGGCTGCCGAGGAGCCGGGGCCGGAGTTTGCGGAGAGCGTCCTGAAAATATCGCTCGTCTTCAACACGTTGTTCGAGTTGGCCTCAAATCAAATTAAGGAGCCGGTGAGGAGTCTTAAAGAATCTCCGCTAGCCTGCCCTCTGCTCTTCCTCAACAATCTCTGCTAGCCTGCCCTCTGCTCTTCCTCAACAATCTCTACTAGTCTGCCCTCTCCTCTTCCTCAACAATCTCTGCTAGCCTGCCCTCTCCTCTTCCTCAACAATCTATGCTAGCCTGCCCTCTCCTCTTCCTCAACAATCTCTGCTAGCCTGCCCTCTCCTCTTCCTCAACAATCTCTACTAGTCTGCCCTCTCTTCTTCCTCAACAATCTCTGCTAGCCTGCCCTCTCCTCTTCCTCAACAATCTCTGCTAGCCTGCCCTCCCCTTTCATGCTCCCTTTAACCTGCTTTTTCAGGACCCATGCCTGATCTGCCTTCTCGACGAGTCGGTCGAGGTGTTCGTCGGCATAGCCCCGACCCTGCTCCCCTCCAGGCCCATGCTCCTCGCCCGGCTCTCTGCTTCTTTGGCTTCTCCCACCCGCGACTGGTCCCTCGCTGCCACACTGCTCAGCGTCAGCAAGTTCGGACCGGTCAGTGAGATGAAAGCATAAGCCCAAGCCCAAGCCCAAATAAAAAGATGTTCAGCTCCTCTCCCTCCTCTCCCAGACAGCAGAAGCCGACCCCCAGGGCTGCTCCTACCCGAATTTGGCAGAGAAGTTGATGGCGGTATTTTTTTTACTAATTTTTCACCGCTTTCACCGCGGCAGGCACCATTAGGGAACGACCTTTCCCTTTTCCAGGCCCAGCTCGGCACGCGGAACCCCGAAAAAATCCGGCAGCTGACAAATTTTTCAAACATTTTGAAGTTCTTCTTCGACGTCGCCTTCGCCCCTCGGCTGCCCATTATGGTAACTTTTTTGTACGTGCTTAATGCTTGTTTTCTAGAAGCTAAGCCGTTTCCGGGTGCCCGAGCTTGCCCAGGAGCTGGTGGTGAAGATCGCGACCGAGCTGGTCACGCCCGACTTGCAGGGATACGTGCAGCCGACGTTGCTGCAGACGCCGTCGAGGTTGGGCAGATCAAGGAACTCTCTCTCTCTCTCTCTCTCTCTCTCTCTCTCTCTCTATACCCCTACTTTTTCAGGTTCCGGCGCAATTCCCCGCACGCCAACTGGGATCTCACTTCTGGAGCTCCGGACGCCATTTGCTTCCGGACGGACATATCCGGGCTGACCCTGCATGGTGTCGGGATTTATACCGGAAACCCGGCGGAGATGACCATGACGATGGAGCTGCTCGAACAGACTTGCAGACCCGGGGAATCGGAGTGGGATAGGCTGGAGATGGTGACGATCCTCGTGCCCGCCACCGAGGAAGGCAAAGAGACGTTCATTGCAAAGTAAGGGAGAGAGAGAGGGAGAGGGAGAGAGAGAGAGAGTGAGTGAGAGAGAGAAAGGGAGCGAGAGAGTTAGAAAGCCAGCGAGAGCCAGAGAGCAAGGGAATGAGAGAGGGCGAGTGTGAGAGAGAGGGAGAGAGAGGGAGAGAGAGAGAAAGGGAGCGATAGAGAGAGGTTGAGAGCTAGCAGAGATTGTTGAGGAAGAGGGGAGGGCAAGCTTGCAGAAATTGTTGAGGAATAATTCAAAGAAGTCACAAACTCAAAAATTCAGATTGTCAAAACCGGTACAAATCCTCAGCGGTACCGTCTACGCCATCAAACTATCGACGCAGAACGGGACGAAGACGTTTTGCGGCGAGGGTACGTCTACAATAATCATCTACAGTAGTCCCAGAGGATTTAATGGGGCCAGAAAATCATGAAAATAGCACAGTTTTGGCTTTCAGAGATGCTTTTGCGTTCTGGTATTCCAAAGGAGTTCTTTTAGGAGGCCTGAACTTTGTGCGGCTGTCGAACGGCGCCCGGCTGGTGTTCAACAACAGCGCAATGAGCGAGAACGGGACGTCGATGACGCGCGGCCAGATCCCGTACCTCGTCTATACGCTCAGCGACGCGCTGAAGCCGCAGCTTGACACGAAGAGCGAGAGGGATCAGGTGGGCAGACGAGCAGGGGTCTTTGAGGAAATAGACGGGTAGGCGAACAGGGCAGGCTAGCAGAGATTTTCCAGGAAGCTTGGTCGTTTTGGAGACAGGCTAGCAGAGATTTTTAGGGAAATGGAATGCCGGGCGGGCCAGCAGAGATCCTTGAGGAGAAATCTGCCAGGCATGCTAGCAGAGGATTTTGGGAAAACTGAAGTTCGCCGGCAAGCTAGCAAGGGTTCGCTTGCGGGATTTGTCGAACTTCGGCTCGTTTTCCTTTTATCAGGCGATCTAGCAGAGATTCCTAGGGAAAATTTTGGAATTCTGGAAGGCTAGCAGCAATTTTTCACAAATTTTGAAATTTGGCAGGCAGGCCAGCGGAGTTTTTTCAGGAAAATTCCTTGCCCTGGGTAGCCTAGCAGTGGTGCTTTGCTCATTTTTCCTGGTTCAGGCAGGCTAGCAGAGATTGTTGGGGAATTTTTGCCGGTATTTTGAAGACAGACACATTTATTGATGTGCCTTCAAAATGGCATCTGGAGGGTGGATGATAATACCCAGGCGGCGGCGAGGAAAACGGCTGATAGTAGCCCCTGTTCGATCCAGAGGGCCGTCTCCCCATCTGCATCCACAACCAGCTGGCGGAGGGGCTGAAAAGGGCCAGGCTAGCAAAGATTATAGGGGAATTTTAGGGAAAACAGGCTCAGTCTCTTTTGTTCGTACTCACGCTCTTGCTCACACTCGTTCTCTAGCTACTGCTCTTCCTCCGTCAAAGTGACTATCTTTTCTGATCTTTCCGGAAATGGCCAGGAGTAAGCTAGCCTAAGCCTAAACGTAACCGAGCCTAAGCCTTAGCCTAGGCCTAAGCCTAAGCCTAAGGCTAAGCCTGAGCCTAAGCCTAAGCCTAAGCCCAAGCCTAAGCTTAGATCCAAACCTCTGTCTAAGCCCTTGCCATTGGGCAGGCTAGCAGAGATTGTTGGTGAAAGACAGGCCAAGCACCTACCCTATTTTCATGAACTTCCGGCTGCTGGCGGCTGGCGGCTTTCATTTTCTTGTTGAGGCTGTAGAAAAATTAGGAGATTTTTTGCAAAATCCCTGCAGGACCCGGAGTGCCTGAAAGAGGAATTTTTAAATTTTAAGTTTCACTTTAGTGGAGACTTCAATGTATTTAAAAGCGAAACTGGGCATGCTAGCAGAGGTCTTTGAAGGAAAAGGGGCTAGCAGAGATCGCTGGCTCGCTCTGAAACACCAATCAAATGACCCGTGCGGGCCAACGAAAGAGCAGATCACAGCCGGTGGGCCCCTCACGTCTGGGACCCACGGGGTGGCACACATGTGCCCTGAGGGCATCTCGTTCTCTCTCTCTCTCTCTCTCTCCTATCGCCGATCAACTGCTTTCCACGATCAGAGACCTGAGTTAATGGCTTCTACGTGAGGTATGGAGCTCGAACTGAGCAGGCTAGCGGAGATTATTGGGGAAATAGGCAGGCCAACTAGCGGTAATTAGTGTGGAATTCAAAGCTACTGGGCTCAGGGCAGGCTAGCAGAGATTGTTGAGGAAGTGGAGAGGGCAGGCTAGCAGAGATTGTTGAGGAAGAGGAGAGGGCAGGCTAGCAGAGATTGTTGAGGAAGAGGAGAGGGCAGGCTAGCAGAGATTGTTGAGGAAGAGGAGAGGGCAGGCTAGCAGGGATTGTTGAGGAAGAGGAAAGGACAGGCTAGCAGAGATTGTGAAGGAAGATCAAAAAATTCACACGACCATCCGGCAGGGGGGATTAGACGATCCGCAAAGGGGGGCAACTCATATATAGGGTCGGGACTGGAAAAACATGAGAAATTGGAACCCCCATGGCGGATTGATAAGCCATCTGTGACACCTCCGAACCCCCCGCAGACCCCCCGCCCACACCGCTCAAATCGCCTGATATAGATAACAGGGCAGCACAGGCCAAGGCCAAAGAGATTGCAAGATACAAGTATATCGAAGAGAACGGGGGCAGGCTAGCAGAGACGCGTTGATTGGGAGATTTCTAAATATCGAGATAATATTCTAGCCTGCCATAATTGCTGGTGTTTTTAAAGGGACTAAGTGATAGAGAGAACGAGAGAGAGAGAGAGAGAGAGAAAGGGAGAGCGAGAAAGAGACACAGAGAGGGTGATACAGAGAGAGAGAGCAACTACCAAAAATCCTCAACATTCCTCAAGCATCTCTGCTAGCCGACCAATTCTCAAGGGCCCTCAAAAACCGGCCGCATACGATCTATGCACTAATGAAACTTTTGAAAAAGCCACATTCCATGTCGAAACCGCTTTCTTGCTTAACCGCGCAAAATTTTAGCAGGGATACTTTAAGAAAACATCGTGTCTTATCGGGTAGGAAAGCGGAGATTTTTCAGGAAAACGGGCCGAATCGGGTAGGCTAGCAAAGATCATTTGATTTCTCCAAATCCAAATTTCCCATTCCAGAATGGCCGCTGGTTCGTGGCGCTGATGCGGGTGTTGGCGGCCAAGATCAGCGAGTCGCTGGCCATTGGGGATGGTGGGTCTTTGGGTTTTCTGTGTTTTTAAATTTGAGTATTATTCTGTATAGTCTGTATGCATTACGTGATACACTGTACTAAAATATTACAGTACCCCAAGCGGCGCGGAACCTCATCTCCAAGCTGTCCGGGCTGGTGATGGTGTTTTTGCAGACGAACCCGCAAAAAGCGCTTGAGGTAAGGGTTTTTCTGTCTATTTCTTTCGCTCTCTCACGCCCTCTCTCTCTCTCACTCTCTTGCTTTCACTCTCGTTCTCTCTCTCTCTCTCTCTCTCTCCCCTCTCTCTCGTTCTCTCTCCCTCTCTCTCCCTATCCCCGTTTTTTCAGCTAGTCGCATCGATAGATCAACTCCTGCCCATGATCTCGAGCGTCAACGCCGCTTCGCGCCTCCAATCGCCCAGCAACAACATTTTCTCGAGGTACGGTAGCTATGCCACCTTTTAGCGGCCGTTTTTCAGCTACACAGAAGAGAAGAAAACGGTCCAGATCGTCGCCGAGTCGCAGCACCCCTATAAGATGAACTATGTCCAGTCTACGGTAATGAAAAATGAAGTTACCCTTTAATTTTCAGGATTTTTAGGTTGTCTCTTTCGATGATGACGTGACTTTCGTGTGCCTGCAATTTTGTGAAGAGTGTCAAACGGCCCAGGTTTAGATTTTTAGGGTTACGGTATCTGGGCAAAATTTAGGCAGATGACGTCCTCTGCGTGTATGTGAAGACCGATTCGGATAGCTACGTGCCGGTGGCGAGGTAACTAGCAGATATTCTTGCGGAAGGCAGACTAGCAGAGATTGCTGAGGAAGAGCAGAGGGCAGGTTAGCAGTGGTTATTTGCAGGTATTGTGGCTCTCATGGCTGGCCGGTGAAGCCAACCATCCTGCCCGGAAATGTCATTTGGTTTGTGCTGGAATCGGGTAGTCGCGTCGATGGCGCTACCCAGGATCAGGTGAGCGGCATCTCTCTCTCTCTCTCTCTCTCTCTCTCTCTCTCTTTCTTTCACTCTCTCTCTCTCTCTCTCTCTCTCTCTCTCTCTGCTTCTCACGCCTTCTTTTCAGATGTATGGCTTCCGATGTACCGTAACTGGATACCCGGAAATGGACGAACCCTCCAACCTACAGATGGAGCAAGAGCTCGTGTGGATCTCGGCGAATGCTTGTAGAATATTGGTCGAGGTACAGTGTAATGCATTTTCGTTCAGAGCCCGGCCTTATCTATTCCGGGAATATTCCGGGAACGCCTCTTATCATTCCCGGAATCTCCCTGAATCTCCCGGAATTAATTCCGGGAATGATTCCGGGAATCGATTCCCGGAATGCGTTTTCATCTATTCCGGGAATCCCGGAATAGATTCCCGGAATGCTATTCCGGTAACCCATTCCGGGAATCAATTCCCGGAATGATTTTCATCTATTCCGGGAATTTTAGGTAAATTCCCGGAATGTAATTCCGGGAATAATTTTGTTAAGGCTGGGCCTACCCGACCAAAAGGTCGGGTAACCATTCCGGGAATCTAGGTGAAACACCACCAAAATTCCTGAAATTTTCACAGTAGCTTAAAAGGAGCTTCATTAGCTAATATACAAAGTTTCAAATTAATCGGGTAGTTCCCAGCGAAGTTACGGAGAATTTTCGAAGTTAAAAAATTGAAACCTTTATTTACCGGCAGGAATGCTTTTGGCTACCTCTTCATACAAATACTGGAATTTTTCGCTTTCAACAACTACATTTTTTAATTCGAGGAATTTTCAAGTGTTTCAATTCCGGGAATGTGCAGAGATTCCCGGAATAGATGAAAACTATTCCGGGAATGATTCCGGGAATCGATTCCCGGAATCGTTTTCATCTAATTCCGGGAATCTATTGCGGTAACCGTTCCCGGAATAGGTTCCCGGAATAGAGATGAAAATGATTCCGGGAATATTTTTCCCGATTCCCGGAATGATTCCCGGAATTATTCCCGGAATAGGTTCCCGGAATGATTCCCGGAATAGATAAGGCCGGGCTCTGCACGCGTCTTTACATGGACAGGCTAGTCCATGTAAATTCTATTATTAATCGTTTTTAGCTGCCCAACGACGCGGACAGCCTATCGCAAGTGCTCATTGAAGAGGAGGAGACCAGGGATCTACTGGAGCATCATGGACATTTGTTGAGAAAGGTAAGTCTAAGTCCAAGCCTAAGCCAAGCCTAAGCCGAAGCCGAAGCCTAATAAGCTCTCCTTTCCAGGGGCTGAACTTCGCCCACACGCCATCGGCCCATGAGCTGCTCAGCCGAAGCCTGCCCGCCCCGGCCCTGACCTCAGGTGCATTTTCTTAGACTTACTTGTTAAAAAAATCATGCTGGTAATTAACAAATGGTCATTATAACCCTCTTTCTCAATATTAAAAGTTTTTCAGACCTCCGCTTCTTGCGCGAGTTCATCTCCGGCTCGCCGGCTACTGTCGCCGGGCTTTTGGCCAGGTACGATCCTTTTGTATAGAAAAAAAATATGATTTCTAACTTGAACTTTATCATGATTTAAATTTGATTAATAGAAGTCCATATTGAAGCTGACATATTCAGGTGGCTCCCCCTCGGTCCCGTCGTCGACCTGGCGACCTGCCAGTTGGTGATGAGCGACGAGCAGCTGACGGTTGGGGGAAGGAATACGGTAGCTACGGCTAGGGAGCAAACTATTCAATTTTTGGAATCGTTTAGATCAAATTCATCGCTCGGGACCAATTGGGAAGGTTGGCGCAGTGTCCGGAGCTGAACATCGAGGTCAATCTCTCTTTCCCTATCTCTCTCTCTCTCTCTCTCTCTCTCTCTCTCTCTCCCTTAACTTACCAGTCCTTTTAAAAACCATTTTCAGATCTCCGTCCAAATCGGCGGCAGTAGCAGCGATTCGACGCGCGGAGACGCAATCCGATCCCTAGACAACTTGCCGTCACTTCAGATGATGCTCCAGGTAGGGCAGGCTAGCAGAGATTGTTGAGGAAGAGAAGAGGGCAGACTAGCAGAGGTTATTTACGTATTTTAGAACCCGTACCAGCCGATGTATCTAAACAAGGCGCGCTACACCTCCATCTGCGTGATGCCCGCTTATGCCGGCTTCAGCCAGGAAGAGCTGAGGTGGGTCATTCTGTTACGGTCCCTGAAAATGGGGTCTTTTTAGGCTCGGCTTCTTCCGGGACGCCATCTCGAGGGAGTGTATCGTGTTGCAGCCTAGGAACGGGTTTAGGTGAGAGAGAGAGAGAGAAAGAGAGAGAGAGAGGGAGGGAGTGAGATAGATTATTCCAATTCTAGCTTCTCCGGCGATTGGACCCCGCGCCAACCTGGAACCTACCGAGTCGAGTGTCGCGTTGACGGCTTCCAACTTCCGCAATGTTACACTGTCGAGGTTTGTTACAAAGCCAAAGCCTAAGCCTAAACATAAACCTAAGCCTAAGCCTAACGTACGATTTTTCAGGTAGTCGAAAGCGGCGACAAGCAAGAGGGAAAGAAGGGCCGTCACCGTGTCGCGCAGCTCTCCCGAGCCCAGCTCGCCAGCATCCAGGCTACCGCCCCTTTCCAAGCTGTCCGCATCCGGAATTCCCCTTCCTTGACAGCCCAGATCGTCGGCTTCTTGCCAAGAGGTGGGCAGGCTAGCGCAGATTTTTGAGGAATTTCTTCAGGCTCGACCCTGACGTTCATCGAGGAGGTGGAAAATGTGGATGGGAAATGGCTGCGACTTACGGAGGAGACGAGTGCCTTGCATGCAGACGCACCACATGGACATGTGCAGGTAGCGGTCGAATTCATCAACAACCTCTGCTAGCATGCCCTCTCCTCTTCCTCAACAATCTCTGCTAGCCTGCCCTCTCCTCTTCCTCAACAATCTCTGCTAGCCTGCCCTCTCCTCTTCCTCAACAATCTCTGCTAGCCTGCTTCAAAATTGATTTTTCAGGCCTGGTGCCTACAATTCCACAAAGCCCTCGACCGAGAACTGATCCGACTCGTCGAAGCTGTTCGCTCCCCAAAAGAAGAATGCCAGCGCCAGGAGAGCGTCGAGATGCAAAAATCGATGGAGCGCGCCGGAGAGCAGAGCGTGTTGATCGAGACCCAGGAGGTAGGCTCTAAACTGCAAAACCAAGGCCAAAACTCAGATGTATGTTCTCGAGGACGGCGACCGGGTCGAGCTGTTCAGCCGGCCGTCCCTTGACGCTGTCGTCGATGGGGAAGTGGTTGAAGGTGAGGGGCAGGCGAGCAGAGATTGTTGAGGAAGAGGAGAGGGCAGGCTAGCAGAGATTGTTCTGGAAGAAGAGAGGGCAAGCTAGCAGAGATTGTTGAGGAAGAGGAGAGGGCAAGCTAGCAGAGATCCTTTGTGAAATCCAATTTTTCAGGGCGTCGGGAGCTGCTCACGGACGGCTGGGTGCACAATGCTCAAGGCGTCTGGATCCGGCTCGCCCACACGAAGCGCTTCATCTTGGCTGAGGACCAAGTCGGGCGCTCCTCGGTGCATTCCCAGGCCCAGAGCTCGAACGGGAACGATGATGAGGAGCCTGGACCGTCGAAGCCGACGCCGGTCAGGTGGGGTTTCCTCAAGAGTCTCTGCTAGTTTGCCCAGGCTTGAAAGCTAGCTTACGTTGTTTATAGGGCCCCGGCGACGGCGGTGAAGGCGATGCGACCTTCGATTGTGGATTGTTGTCGGACAGGTATCTCGCGTTCTCTCTCGCTCTCTCTCTCTCTCTCTTTCTCTCTCGCTTTCTAAGCCTTCAATTTCAGTTTTTGCCGCTTTCCTCTGGCACGAGCATCTCGTGAAGGACGCGATGGCTGCAGCTGCGTATCTCAAATTTCACAGCCATTTACATAACGTAAGCGGTTCGAGGTTACGATGGCTTTGCGGATTTGAAGCCAGGCCTAGACTTAGGCTTAGGCTTAGGTTTAGGCTTAGCCTAGGTTTAAGCTTAGCTTAAGCTTAGGCTTGGGTTTAGATTTGGTCTTAAGTCAGGCTTAACTGCAGCGTAGGCTTAGACTGTGGCTTCGGCATAGGCTTAGCTTGGGCATAGGCTTACAATTAGGCTTCGGCTTACGCTTAGGTGTCGTCTTAAGTTAGGCTTAACTAAAGCGTAGGCTTGGGTTTAGGCTTAGGCTTAGACTTACGCATAGGCTTGGCTTAGGCTAAGGCTTATTCTTAGCTCCGATTTGGCTTGTCTTAAAAACGCACCTACAGTACCCCCATTTCCAGCTCTGGCCCTGCTCGCAAACTGCTCCAATCTCGCTGGCGCCCAGCCCGCTACAGCCGTTGGTTAAGGTCTGGAAGGAGGTAGGGTATTTGTCATTTTTTATTTCCCGTAAGTAAATAGGAAATAAAAATAAGAAAAATACAATGAAATAAGAAAAATAAATAAAAATAATGAGCACCATATAAAAATAATAATGTTCTAGGTCAGCGCCGCGATCCAAAGCACTATCCAGCAAAATATTCTGCTGCCCTCCCCGCCGTCGGTCCGCCGTCCGAGGTATCGTTGCTCTATACCAATTAATTGGCCATTTATGGTGAATTTCATTTATTTTTAATTGTTTAATAATACACCGAAATTCCAGGCACAGCCAAAACCCTGATATGGCCACTTTGGAGACCGGCGAAGCGATGTGCGAGCTTTGCGAGGGGAGATGCCGAGGGCCAGTTACTGGTAATAGGCTTATTTTCATCATTTATGGTTGTAAAATCAATAAATCAAATAGATTTTGTAAAATTAATCAGCTGGCTTGCACGCATTTTTTTAACGTTTTAACTTCTAAAAAATAAGTTGAAAATTTGGGTTTAGTTCACATGCGAATGGGACACCCGGGCTGCGGAGGGGAATGCCAGGGCCATGGATATAATTCGCATGGAAAGTACACCACCGGGTGGGCCGGCATGTGCGGCGAGGGCGGGCGAGCGCCTTCAACATGGTCAGTTGACTTTTTGGAGAATTAGGCAGGTCAGCAGAGATTCTTGAGGAAGAGGAGAGGGCAGGATAGCAGAGATTGTTGAGGAAGAGGAGAGGGCAGGCAAGCAGAGACTGTTGAGGAAGAGGAGAGGGCAGGTCAGCAGAGATTCTTGAGGAAGAGGAGAGGGCAGGATAGCAGAGATTGTTGAGGAAGAGGAGAGGGCAGGCTAGCAGAGACTGTTGAGGAAGAGGAGAGGGCAGGCTAGCAGATATTGTTGAGGAAGAGGAGAGGGCAGGCTAGCAGAGATTATTCAGGAAGAGGAGAGGGCAGGATAGCAGAGATTGTTGAGGAAGAGGAGAGGGCAGGCTAGCAGAGATTGTTGAGGAAGAGGAGAGGGCAGGCTAGCAGAGTTTGTTGAGGAAGAGAAGAGGGCAGGCAAGCAGCGATTGTTGAGGAAGAGGAGAGGGCAGCCTGGCAGATATTGTTGAGGAAAAGGAGGGGCAGGCTAGCAGAGAACTTTGAGCTTCAGGTACCTGCTGTGCCCTCCTTGCCGAGCCGCCTATTTACGTCAGACACCTTCTGGTCATCAACAGGAACGGAACAGAAGGTATCTTACCTCTCCCTCTCTCTCTCTCTCTCTCTCTCTCTCTCTCTCTCTCTCTCTCTCTCTCTCTCTCTCTGTCTCTCTCACTCTCCCTTTCAGATGGCGCGAATTCCGACTCTCCAGTGGCCAACTTGACAGTCGACCCGAGTCTGTCATTCGTCAGAACGCGCTCTTCCTCCTCGACCTGAACGCTACGGTCGAAGGAGCCGAGGGGAGCAAGGTGGGTCAAGTAGTCCTAAGTCCAAGCCTAGCCTGGCCTCCACAGGAATCCCTTCCAGCCTGCCCTACCTCTGCTTTTTAGAACAGCTCTGCAACAACGTCCGGCTGGACTACCGTATTCCCCGGCCAGCTCCTCTCGCCTACCGTATACCGATCGGCAAACCTCGGGGGTCCCGGCACGACGCATACGGTAAGTCGTTAAACTCGCGTTGTGAATTTTGGAACGCCGTAACGTACGGTAATGTACTTTATCGCACTATGTCGTACGCCTCCGTACCAAAACGTACTATATCGGGTTTTGTCGTACGGAAGCTTGTCTAAGCTATGGTGCCGTCAGGTAACGGATTCTAACGTACACAACATAGTACGGCTGCCGTACCATACTGTGTCTTACTTGGTTATACACAGCCGCACCGTACCTTACGGTGAGGTACTTCGTCGTACCGCGTCGTACGCCGCCGTACTGCAACGTACGGCAACGTCTCTACTGTATTTTGTCGTACTGCAACGCACTCTACTGTATTTTTCGTACTGCACGTACTCTACCGTATTTTCAGCTTACCACAACTTCGCATCAAATTCGAAAAGATTCGGACGCCATCCCGATCTCGTCGGCAGCCGCCCATTCCAGCGACCCTGGCCCAAAGGTACGGTAGCCCGGCAAAAATCTCGTTTTTGAGTTTTAGGCGTCAGAGGTTGAATATTTTAGGCGTGCTCCTCCAGCCGCATTGACGTGTCGTTTGAGGACAAGCTGCAACAGGGTGGAGATGAGGTGGTGACTACGCATTAATGGTTTTCCTCATCAAGAATCTCTGCTAGTCTGCCCTCTCCTCTTCCTCAACAATCTCTGCTAGCCTGCACTCTCCTCTTCCTCAACAATCTCTGCTAGCCTGTCCTCTCCTCTTCCTCAACAATCTCTGCTAGCCTGCCCTCTACACTTCCTCAACAATCTCTGCTAGCCTGCCCTCTCCTCTTCCTCAACAATCTCTGCTAGCCTGCCCTCTCCTCTTCCTCACCAATCTCTGCTAGCCTCCCCTCCTCCGCCGCGATGCAATGACACACTCCAGGTCCTCCAATCCCCCTCAGCCGCCCTCGTCTCCCTCGTCTCCACATCTTCGAGCTGTTCGCCCAGCCGTCAGCCATTAGTGCGCCGCCCGGTGATGGCATTCGTCATCGAGCACCACGACTTGAAGAGGTTCAGCCTGACTGCAGATTTGCAGAATTACTGTATGATTCCAGGGTGCGGGAGGCGTCCTTCTCGGCGGTGAAGCGGGCGGTGGGGTTCGCGCATGCGTTCCGGGTGTGGAACTGGTTGCTGCGGCTCGTCTCGTCGGAAACAAGGTCCGGCGGTTGTTCATCTACAGCCATGTTTGCTTTTAGCGTTTCCGACGTGGTGCTGCAGTATCTCTGCTCGTTATCCTCGTACTCGGCGCTGGTGGATCCGTCGACGCGCGCCCCGGTGAAATTGTTGCCTCACCCTTGGCGGCTGTGCTTTTTGGCAGGTTAGAGAGAGAGAGCAAGAGATTACTATAGAGGAGAGCGAGAGAGAGAGGGAGAGAGAGAGGAGAGAGAGAGAGAGAGAGGGAGGGAGAGACTAGCAGCTCCTTTTTAGGCCCGATCGCCGTAAAAATGGTGCAGCAACTTCACGCCTTCCTCTACACGATCGCCGTCATTTTGCAGTCATCCGGAGTGGACCCCGGGTTACGGTAGAATTTTCCGTATAATTCAATTTCCTGCTTTTCCAGGAGTCTCTGCTTCAAGGCCTGGACCATCCAGCTGACCGCCCACGAACAGGTGGCAAATTTTAAGCAAAAACAGTGCATTCAAAAAGCGTTTATTCGTGCAAAAACGGTGCTTGGGCGGGTGTTCGAGTGGTTGCGTAGCGTAGCGTCGCGTAGCCCGCCTGGCCGGTCGCTTAAACGGCCGCCCGGTCCGAGCCGTCTTCGCATGTCATCTCCACCGTGAACTGCGTCACCTCGTCGCCCTGGAAATTGACTTTTCGGTTCTTTCGCATTTCGGGGGAGAAAATTTTTTGAAAGGTTTTAAGTAAAATAAAATTATATTTTAATTTGATAAACGTCCTAAAAATTGTGCAAATTCTTTCAAAAAGTCGAGATCCTACTATATATAAAAAAATAGTGTTTGTGTGTGTGTGTGTGCCACTTTGCATGCAACTTCCGTCATTATGTTCCAGTCGTATCTCAATAAGGGAAGGACTTAGGGGTATGTATGATACGTCATTAGGTGCGTAATGGCCATGAGACGACTGCACACATATTAAATTCTCCAAAAAGTGATATTTTCGATATTAAAATTAAGTTTTTGGGAAAATTTTGGGCTTCCGCTTTGTTAGGAAACAATTAGCATACACCGGAAGTCAGGAGAGCCTATATAAAGGGACAGTAGAGGTTATTTTTCATTTTTTAGTTTGGGGATTGAGGAAAAATATGCAAAATCAAAACTGTCATCGGTCCTAGACAGACCAGGGGTGAAAAGCCGCGTCGCGGCTTTTCAACCCTGGTTTTGGTAAAAAATGGCCATTTTTGGTCGAAAAATCCATATTTTTAGTATTTTTCATAAAATTTGTGCAGTTTTTTTTTGTTTAGGAATAGTAAAAAACTGTCTAGAAACATCTTTAAACTTTAAAAACATTGGTTGCTAAGAAAAAATTTGCTTGCCCCGCCGATCATGGGCAAGAACCGATTTTTCTCAAATAATCTCAGCTGCCCTCCCCTCTTCCGCAACAATCTCTGCTAGCCTGCCCTCTCCTCTTCCTCAACAATCTCTGCTAGCCTGCCCCTCTCCTCTGCCTCAACAATCTCTGCTAGCCTGCCTTCTCCTCTTCCGCAACAATCTCTGCTAGCCTGCCCTCTCCTCTTCCTCAACAATCTCTGCTAGCCTGCCCCTCTCCTCTTCCTCAACAATCTCTGCTAGCCTGCCCCTCTCCTCTTCCTCAACAATCTCTGCTAGCCTGCCCCTCTCCTCTTCCTCAACAATCTCTGCTAGCCTGCCCTCTCCTCTTCCCCAACAATCTCTGCTAGCCTGCCTCCCCAAAAAACGACAAAAATCTTACCGCTTTCTCCTTCGATAGTCGCAGCGGCGTCACCACGGTTTCTTTGTGACTACTAAAAACACAACGAAATTCTAGCTTCAATATTTCTTACTTATTCATTGTCGCCTGTGCCTGTAGGGATGGAGCTCGTTGGCGTCTGAAACACAAACAGTAAACATCAAAAGGCTTCAAAAAATCTTAGCAAGGGTAGGCTAGCAGAGACCGTTGCGCAAGTGCTCACCCAGAAACCGGCGGGGTGGGGGTTCCTGCAGCGGCGGCTGCGGCCGCCGCGGCCGTCTTGCGCAGCGTGGGTGCGGCGGGTGCTCGAGCCGACTTGGCTGGTGGGGGTTTCAGCTTCTCCGTCTTGTCCTTGGTCCTCGTCTCTTTGGTGTCTTTGCTCTTGGGCCGGGGCGCGGTTGGGTCGCTGCAAATTTTGGATAGAAACGATCAAAGAAAATTCTCTCTCTCTTTCTTTCTCACTCTCTCTCTCTCTCTCTCTCTCGTTCCCTCTCTCGCCGATCCAAAGCTCACTTGGTCAGATTCGTATCCCTGCTGTTGTCGGTGGAGCACTTGCTGAAAATGTGGGCGCTTATGTGTTAACGGGGGATGCTAGGTAGCCATAGTTAGACGTCCCTCGCGTTAATGGACCACGCCCCAAAATACCGATATAATAATTCGGGCAGGCTAGCAGCGATTCTTTAGGAAAGATCTTAATCCTACGCTTTGCCGCCCTTCTTCGACTCGGGTGGGAGCGGCTCCCTAAAAAACGCACTTTCTTAGGGTTCTAAGATTTGCACCTCGACTGCGGCATCTCCTGGATGAACATGCGGGGGCTAAACAAATATCATGCCATAATCGATTCCCGGAATGTAACGTACTCTCCCTCTCGGCGCTTGTCGTCCCGCACACCGCGGTCCCCTCGATTCGCTTTGGACTCGCTTTTTTCGCTGAAAATGGGGCAAGCTAGCAGAGATTGTTGAAGAAGAGGAGAGGGCAGGCTAGCAGAGATTGTTGAGGAAGAGGAGAGGGCAGGCTAGCAGAAATTGTTGAGGAAGAGGAGAGGGCAGGCTAGCAGAGATTGTTGAGGAAGAGGAGAGGGCAGGCTAGCAGAGATTGTTGAGGAAGAGGAGAGGGCAGGCTAGCAGAGATCATTTGTAAATCCCCACTCGAGCAGCTTGTCAATCTCGTCATCCATGTTCATCTCCCCACCAACCGACGGGGCCGGGACGGTCTGGGGGGCCGGCGTCTTGGGGGCGGTCGCCGTCGTTCCGGGTCCTTTTACCGATACCCCCGGTTTTTCCTTCTAAAAGTGAATATATCATTCGGCAGAGCAAAAAATTCTCAATAGACCTGATTTCCAGAAATACTGCAGAATTGCGAAATCCCGGATACCTGGATTAATTTGTCGTACGCGTCCAGCTTCCACTTGCACTCCTTTTCCACTTGCTTCAACTGAAAAAAATCAATATGCTTTCCTCAACGGTCTCTGCTAGCCTGCCCCCTTGTTAAAAAGCGCCCAAAATACCGTACCCGGTTGTAAAACATTGCATTTAACTTCTCGTTGAACCGATAATAGCAGCACAGGGATATGAAGCCGCCGAGCATTAACAGAATCTCGATGCCGAACGCAATTACGCTGACTGGAAATAGATTATAAAAAGTTTCACAATTCGGTAAGAGTGCAGTTTACCTCCCCCCCCCCAGCCCAGTTCCTCAGCCATACGTCCTATTAATGCGCCGAGTATCTCAAAATGTTCGCCGTGGTCGAAAACCTCAGAAAAAGTTGTTTACTTGCGCCAAAAATTGTTAAAAAATTTTTTATAACAATTATAAGTCTGGGTTTTCTTTAGTTAATTTTTGCTGTTCCAAAGTGAGTTTTCGTATCTCGGCTATCTTTTGACGTACAAAGCTGTCAATGGTACCAAAATGTAGCTCTTGCTCTGGAGAATAAGCCTACGGTACGTTTAAGTCGAAAAAAAAAAGCAGAAAATAAAAATATTTGAGTTTTTGACTTCTGGTACATCGAAGCATAACGGCTTAATCTTTTCAACTTTCAAAATTTTGTAAAAAATTTTCTAACAATTTTTGCTTCTAAGTAAACAAGTTTTCCAGGGGTTTTCGACCACGGCGAACATTTTGAGATACTCGGCGCATTAATAGGACGTATGGCTGAGGAGCTGGGCTGGGCAGGGGGGTAAACTGCACTTAAAGCGCACGTTCAGGGACGTATATTTATGGTGAACGTATACTTCCTATTGACGCCGAGGGACTGGGAAAAGAGGGAGACGCAGGTGTCAATAGGAAGTATACGTTCAACGTGCCTGAACGTGCGCTTTAAGCCCACAATTCCCTGAGGATCTCTGCTAGCGCGCCCTCTCCTCTTCCTCAACAATCTCTGCTACCTGCCCTCCCCTCTTCCTCAACAATCTCTGCTAACCTGCCCTCTCTTCTTCCTCAACAATCTCTGCTAGCCTGCCCTCTCCTCTTCCTCAACAATCTCTGCTAGCCTGCCCTCTCCTCTTCCTCAACAATCTCTGCTAGCCTGCCTTTTCTGAAACCTCAATTTATCACCCACATTTTAGAATTGTAGATTCCATTCTAAAAATAAAGAGGGATAGCCGGGCGAGTGAGGTAGAAAAAAGAGAATGGAATTTTTGAGGAGCTGAATTTTGAAACTGAAAATGCAAATTTAGTGTATGCCAGCAGAGATTTTTGAGGAATGTCGAGTTCGATTTTCAGGACCTTCTCACGTTGACCTGCTCGATCTTGGCGTCAGTCGGCCGAGTGCTATCCGACCCGTCGGCCGATCAAATCTTCTTCGACAGCCCGTCGGAGTCGAATCTGGGAAATTCGCTCGTGGACAGGTGGGTGCTTTTTGGGGTATTTGGCTGTTAGCGAGGGGGGGGGAGTGATTTAACCTATAAAGCCCAGGCTAAGCTTGGGACTTGCTAATTTTTATGAGCTTACTATGCTTACAACGTTTTTAAAGGCTGCTTTAATTTATTCCTTTCAGGGCGCCGGAGACCCAAAAAACTGGAGACGTTCGGCACATGGTGGACGTGAGTTTTTAACGAGAATATTTTCAAAAATAGTAATTATTAATATTTAAAAATTATGAACTATTTTCTGTCATTTTAGCTGAGCCTGGAGTGCGACGTCGAAGCCTCATCTCGGCAAGCGATGGTCGTCTGCCTGACCGACGGTAGCCCGGAGACGTTTTGGGAATGTGGAGAAGAGGTAGGAGAAGTCTAAGCCTACGCCTAAGCCTAAGCCTAAGCCTAAGCCTAAGCCTAAGCCTAAGCCTAAGCCTAAGCCTAAGCCTAAGCCTAAGCCTAAGCCTAAGCCTAAGCCTAAGCCTAAGCCTAAGCTTAAGCCTAAGCTTAAGCCTAAGCCTAAGCCTAAGCCTAAGCCTAAGCCTAAGCCTAAGCCTAACCTAAGCCTAAGCCTAAGCCTAAGCCTAAGTCTTTGCCGAAACCTGAGCCTAAGCCCGAACTTAGGCCCATGCCTCTTCATTTCCTCCCGTTTAGGACAAAAGTCGAGCACGAGCCCTGACGCTCACCTTCCGCGGCAATGGCACCACGCCCGTCCTGTTGGCCATCTTCTTCGACAACGTGCGCGACGAGATGTTCAGGTTGGGATGCTTTTCTCCTTTGGAATTATTGCTTCAGAACCAACGCCGTCCAGATCCGAGCCATGCTCCCCGACGGCTCGAAGCGCAATTTGCATACGCAGCAGCTGGACGTGGTAGAATTTCTGGAATCCTATAGCTTAAAAGCTTCGCCGTTTCTCGAGACATAGATTCCTGCCTTCAATGGACCTTTAAAATCTAACATTTTGGGGGTTTTTCAGCAATTCGTCGGCTGGGTGAAGGCGTGCGTTTTCGGAGCGCAACAGGCCCAAATTATCCTCCGCGGGCCGTATCCGGCGCAAAGGATTCGACAGGTAGCGTTTGGGAAGCGAAGAGGGCAGGCTAGCAGAGATCATTTGAGAGTGAAAACTTTTCAGGTCCTGCTCACCGGATATCGGCAAAGCCGGGGCGAGTCGCCGAAGCTTCTGAAGCCCTCTCAATCGCATCAGCTGCTATTTTCGACTACCCAAAATGACGCATTTTCCTTGTTCCAGGCGCTCTCGGCACAGGCGAGTGCTAGCAAAAATTCTTGAGGAAATGGAGAGGGCAGGCTAGCAGAGATTGTTGAGGAAGAAGAGAGGGCAAGCTAGCAGAGATTGTTGAGGAAGAAGAGAGGGCAGGCTAGCAGAGATTGTTGAGGAAGAGGAGAGGGCAGGCTAGCAGAGATTGTTGAGGAAGAGGAGAGGGCAGGCTAGCAGAGATTGTTGAGGAAGAGGAGAGGGCAAGCTAGCAGAGATTGTTGAGGAAGAAGAGAGGGCACGCTAGCAGAGATTGTTGAGGAAAAATTTAAACTTTTTTAGGCATTTTCCGATGAGATGGCCGAGGAGCAGCACGGGACTTTGAGACAGCGGGTTATCGATTTGTTGTTTAGGTATTTTATTGATTTTTTTTTCGGCCGCTACAAGCTACAGAACGATTAGTTTCATGGGATTTAATGCCAAAACGCAATTTGTCAATTTTAGTCGAGTCCAGTTGCAACCGCTTCAAACACACGTCTGCACCCAGATTGCGAACGCCTTGGAGAGGTGAGCGAGAGAGAAAGAGAGAGAGAGAGAGAGAGAGAGAGAGAGAGAGACAGAGAAAGAACGAGAGAGCACAACCTATTTTTTTAGAGAAGTCATATCGCTGCGGGACCGCGGCAAGCGCAACTACTCGTACGCCTGCGGGCTGATGCATATATTGACGCGGATCTGCGCCTCGAGAAAAGGCACAGAGGTCGGTATTTTTCATTTTCCAAGGGCCATTCAAGTCAGGCAGGCTAGCAGAGATTCTTTAAAATTTTCAACCAACCATTTTAGGTCTTTTCCGCCCGCAACTATCTGCTGCTCACCCTCTCCGAGTTGCTGCTCTTTTCTCCACAGGTGAGGAAGAATTTCAGGGTCTTTTGGGGCTGGCTAACTAGCAGGGGACCTTTAGGAACCCGGGCAGGCTAGCAGAGACCATTTGGGATTCCGGCAATTGAGAGAAACCCTGGAAATCCATTAAAAAACTTTTTCAGGTCGTACAGTGTCAAATCCTGGAGACCATAGAAAAGCTGCTGGGCGTCTTCTCCCCATCGCAGGTAAGTAATTTTTGGCTTTTTTGTTAATTCTGGATTCCATTACGGTAGCCAGGGCACCAAATGAGTTGTAAATTTCAGGTAGACACCAGCCGTTTTGTGGCCAATTTCCTGGTGTGTGTGGCGAAAGTGATTACGTTGCAAGTGCGGGATAAAGCGGCGCATTCGGTCAATACCGTAACGTTAAATGTGAGTTTTTAGTAAGTGGTCAGCTAGCAGAGATTGTTGAGGAAGAGGAGAGGGCAGGCTAGCAGAGATTGTTGAGGAAGAGGAGAGGGCAGGCTAGCAGAGATTGTTGAGGCAGAGGAGAGGGCAGGCTAGCAGAGATTGTTGAGGAAGAGGAGAGGGCAGGCTAGCAGAGATTGTTGAGGAAGAGGAGAGGGGCAGGCTAGCAGAGATTGTTGAGGAAGAGGGAGAGGGGCAGGCTAGCAGAGATTGTTGAGGGAAGAGGAGAGGGGCAGGCTAGCAGAGATTGTTGAGGAAGAGGAGAGGGCAGGCTAGCAGAGATTGTTGAGGAAGAGGAGAGGGGAGGCTAGCAGAGATTGTTGAGGAAGAGGAGAGGGCAGGCTAGCAGAGATTGTTGAGGAAGAGGAGAGGGCAGGCTAGCAGAGATTGTTGAGGAAGAGGAGAGGGCAGGCTAGCAGAGATTGTTGAGGAAGAGGAGAGGGCAGGCTAGCAGAGATTGTTGAGGAAGAGGAGAGAGGGCAGGCTAGCAGAGATTGTTGAGGGAAGAGGAGAGGGCAGGCTAGCAGAGATTGTTGAGGAAGAGGAGAGGGCAGGCTAGCAGAGATTGTTGAGGAAGGAGAGGGCAGGCTAGCAGAGATTGTTGAGGAAGAGGAGAGGGGCAGGCTAGCAGAGACCTTGCTGGAAACTTGGTTGGATTTCAGACCCAAATCTCCGACGCACCAACGCATTGGAAAATCGACAGGCCAATGTCCGGCGAAATGGGGCGGCTGGTGCACAAATTTCTGCTCGACGCCTGGTAAGGAATGATGGAGGGAGGGGGAGAGAGAGAGAGAGAGAGAGAGAGAGAGAGAGACAGGGGCGAGAGCGATAGAGAGAGATAGGCGCCTGATGTCCATAATTCTTTTTAGCGCTGGCGACTTCTCCGAAAGCTGGGCGCGCGCATTCCGGAAAGAGTGTGCTCAAGCCATAGTCGGTGTTCTGCGCCTTGGGGCCCAGGATTTCAGCTCGATCACATCATCAGCAGGTGGGGAGGGCTAGCAGAGATTGTTGGGGATTTGAGGGCGTAACAGAGCGAGCGAGAAAGCGAGAAAGAGATAAGCATACATCCTCTAGGCGCCAGCTCATCCTCCTCCTGGCAATGCAATGGCGTCCTCTCGTCTCGCCGCTTCTGGCTGGCCGTCTCGGCGCTGAGCGTCTGCCGCCACCGCGAGTGGATGGAGCTGGCCGAGGGGTGGGCGGGGATTCAGGTGGGGATCCTTTTAGATGAGGTTTAGGCTTAGGCTCAGGCGGCTTGAACTTTCACGGCTTAACGTTCAGACAACAAAGGGCAACGACCCGGAGCCGTTCTGCGAGAACCACGACGACGGGCGGACACTGGCCCAGGTGTACTGCGAGGTGTGTCGCAGCAATCTATGCAGGGACTGCTTCTCCATCCTTCACCTCAACAAGAAGAACCGCAGTCATGAGGTGTGGCAGACATCTCAAAGCTTTAATGGATATTTTAGGTGCGGCTGCTCGGATCGTCGAATTCCGCTCCACAGGTGGAGATACACGACGGATGCTCCAGGCTTAGGCTTCCGAATATGCTGGTGAGTACTATCTTATTCTCTCTCACTCTCTCTCTCTCTCTCTCTCTCTCTCTCTCTCGCTGGCTTCACACCCATTATTTTAGGTACTCTTCCACGGCCAAACCCTGAACGGCTTGGTAGAGTTGAGCGTTGATCCATTGTTCCCCACCGGCTCTTCATTCCACAATCGTCCGCTGGCCTCCCAGAATCCATCAGCATCCACGCATCTACCCTCAAACAAGTGCCGCTTCTGCGAGGCGCCACTTAGCGGAGAGACCCAGGTGGGCAGGCTAGCAGAGATTGTTGAGGAAGCGGAGGGGGCAGGCTAGCAGCGATGATTGAAAATTTTCCAGGTGCTAGAAGGCGTCTGCGGCCACACCGAGTGCCAAGAGTTCAACCGGATCGCCTGCCAGAAATCTCTGCCCTGTGGCCATCGGTGGGTTTTAAAGGGTCGGTTCAGTCAAAGTTCTCTCTCTCTCTCTCTCTCTCTCTCTCTCTCTCTCTCGCTCTCTCTCTCTCTTTCGCTCTCTGGCTTCTTATACAGCTTTTTCTAGTTGTTGCGGAATCGCCGGCGAGGAATCATGTCTGGAATGTATGCAGTGTCCACGTGAAGGTAAGCCTAAGCCCAAACCCATTTTATACCGATTAATTCAGGAACTTCCCAAGATGGCGATGACGTGTGCGTCATCTGCTTCACCGACCGTCTAGGCGCCGCTCCGTGCATCAAAATAGAGGTATCTTACCTTCATTACCACCCAAGCATCTCTACCATTAGTGCGGCCACATCTTCCACTATGCCTGCGTGCGGGCCGTGCTCGAGAAGCGGTGGAACGGGCCCCGCATCCTCTTCCGCTTCATGAATTGCCCGCTATGCAATGGAGAGGTGAGGAGCGGGATTTTGGGCAGGCTAGCAGAGACCATTTGTGGAACTAGAGACCAGTACTAGCCTATTAGCGGGGGAGCGCCCGGAAAATTTATATTGCAAATGAAATAAATCTGAATTTCAGATGGAGCACCCCGGAATCCGAGACCTGATTGAGCCGTTGAAAGCCCTAAAAACGGAAGTGCTCCAAAAATCCAAATTACGGCTTGAATACGACGGGATGATGGACTGCCAGGCGGTTGTCTCGCCGAATAGGTAAGAGAGACAGGGAGAGAAAGAGAGAGAGAGAGAGAGAGAGAGAGAGAGTGAGAGTGAGAGAGAGCGTTAGAGAGAGAGAGATAGAGAGAGAGAGACAGAGAGAGCCAGAGACCGACAGACAGAGACAGAGAGAGAGCGTTTATTTTAGCGAATTCTACAACCAGCCCGAGGCGTACGCGATGGAGCGCTACGTGTACGTACAATGTCACAAGTGTTCAAAGGCGTATTTCGGAGGGGAAAGCCGATGCCAGCTGGTAAGCCTAATAAGCCGAAGCCTATTTGTTCATTTATTTATTAAACGATTAATTTTCCGTTTTCCAGCCGCTCGACTCGTCGCAGTACAACCCGGCCGAGCTGATCTGCGGCGGCTGTTCGGACGTCACCGGGGCCCAGGTTTGAAATTTTAAGCTTTCAGTATAACTTTATGCTTTTTAAACCATTTAAAATGGCCAATTTTTACAGATTTGCGGTCGGCACGGCGTCGAGTACCTCGAGTACAAATGCCGGTACTGCTGCTCGATTGCCGTGTATTTTTGGTGGGTGGTTATTAGCTAGCGGTTGAACTACACCCTGTACTGTATCCGATTTTCCAGAAATTTCGACAAAAATTCTCCTTTTTTTTCAGCTTCGGCACCACCCACTTTTGCGCGTCGTGCCACGACGATTTTCAGGTAACCAACTTGATCGATTAAAAAAGTTCTGAAAACCCTAGAACCGCCAAAAAAAATCTTTTTTTATTTTTAAAAGAATACGATCAATAAATTCATAATCCAATTGGCCGTTCAGCGGCTCGTCTCGTTGCCAAAGCATCTGCTGCCCAAATGCCCGGCAGGTCCGCGTGCCACCCAGCTCGAAGACGCCGCCGGATGCCCGTTGAAGTACGGCATTTTTCTGATTTTGTTTCGTGGGGGCTGAAATAGCATCGAAAACTCTACAAGATACAGTATCTAACAAGGAGTGTCCTTTTGGTGTCATCGGCAAAACGATTCGAGACCCAGCTCAGAATGCGATAGAGAGCTAGCTCAGAATGCGATAGAGATAGAGAATTGAATTCTGAACAAGACTGTTGTTCATTTTTGCGGAATGGCTGTCCCTGTTTTTATAGAATTAAAAAACCAAGCGCGGAACCTTAACAACTCGCTCCCCAGGCACCAATGTATGGGTGTCGCCGGCAGTTTTTTAATTTTATAAAATCAGGGACAGCCATTCCGCAAAAATGAACAACACAGTCTTGTTCAGAATTCAATTCTCTATCGAATGAGCTGAGTCTCGAATCGTTTTGCCGATGACGCCAAAAGGACACTCCTTGTAAGACAATTTTTAAAAAAGCAGAAAAAACCAATACTTTAGACTCGAGCACCCGGCGACCGGCGAGGAGTTTGCGATCGGCTGCGGGATTTGTCGGAATTTGAGCACTTTTTAGGAATCTATCAAATTATTCTTGGTATTTTATTCTATATATTTTTACGCCAATTCTGGGTCCTTTTGCTGATCTCAATGTAAACACGCGGTGCTTGGAAATGTGCTTTTTGTGCAAACAAATAAATTTTTTTGAAATTATTGCCATCAAAAAACCGATTTTTCGAAAAGTTTATACGAAAGATGAATAAAGAAAGAAAGTAACAAAAAACAACGACTCGCAACAACGTGAACAATCCAACAAATGACAACACGAATGGTGATAATATAGATGGGTGGTTGCTTAGCGCATTTTCGTGCCGATCTTCACCTCTTGATGCGAGCGCGACTCCTTGGCCTTGAAACGGAGTCGCTGCTTCAGACGGCGGCTGTTCTTCTCGCCGGCGATCGGCACGATGTTGCGCTTCTGAAAATGAGCTAAAATTGTTAATGTTTGAAATGTGCCTGCAAACTCTTCATCCGGTCGAGCAGCAAATTGCCCTGCGGCTTCAGCTTGCGCAGCGAGCCCGACATCTCTTCCGTCAACAAGAATGGTGCGTCCTCCTCCTCGAACTTGCCGGCGCCCAGCTTTTTCCGCTTCGTCATATCGTCGAATTTCTGGAAGTATATATATCACAAAAACTTGAAATAATCATAATTTTGCCGGGCAAAAATTACCTTCTTCTCGTTGCGTTGCTGGAGCTCCTTCTCGTGTGCGTCCTTTTCGAGCTGCAGCTGCTTGAGCATCTTTTTCGACCTAAAATTCCTTGTTTGGGAAATGGACTTTGAATTTCAGGCATAAATATAAAATTGGGAAGACATAGATCAAATTTTACATTTAGTAATTGACTTTTTAGCAAAACGTATAAAACTTCTCTCAGAGGTGAAACCCCCATTCGGTACCAATCCCCCAAAAATATACCTGAAAATCTTGCTCTCCTCCTCCTTGTTCTTTTTGAGCTTCAGTTGCTGGCGCTTGCGCTCGAGCGCCTTCACGCGCTGCTCAGTCTTCCGTTGTTTCGACGTCTTCGGGTTGACCTCAACAGGGCCCGTCAGGAAAGATTCTGCAGCAATTTCAAATTTACAAAAAAAAATGTAAACAAACCAATTTCCGCTTCGTCTTCCGTCTTAATCTCCTTGTCGTCGACGTCGTCATCGATCAACCCAGACAGCGCCTCTTTCAGCAAGTCCGCCTACGAAAAATTGGTAATGGCAACTTCCATTGAATCTATTACATGGGTAACCTTCGACTCTCCGGGCGCCAATTGCCGGCTGCGCTCCGATCGCGCTTCTTTCTTCATAATTTTCTTCTCGTCTTCGGCAATCGCTGAGACGTATTCCTAAATGAATCATCGGTCCTTTCGCGTTATCGGGGGGAGGGGGGGAGGGCAAATTTTTTTCTTTTATAAGTCTAGCAACCTAGTAACTTAATATGAAGCATTTTCATAACGTTTTTAGTAAACGAATCCTATATTTGACTAGCAAAACTATCCCTAAACTTTTAAAAAATTACAGAAAGTTTCACGAAAAACCGCCATTTTTGGTCGGAAAATCTGTGTTTTTTTTTGTTGTATTTTTGCAAAAAGAAAATTGTGAAGTTTTTAGGATCACGAATAGTAAAAAAGCTTAGAAACATTTATATTGAAAAATCGGATCCTAAGAAAACATTTAGTTACCTCACCCCGATAATGCGAAAGAACCCGAAAATTTTAACTACTAAAACAAAACCTACAATATACTCGTCCAGCTCGGGATTATACGAGGCGCCGGCATCCGGAATCTCGACGGCCTTCAACAATGAGGGCTTCAGCCGCAGCGTGTCAGGCTAGAAATCAGCTTATTCTCAAGACAAGAAAACGCCTAGTACCACTTTGGATTGCACTTTCTTCGTCTGCTTAAGGTAGAAATCGGCTCCATCTTTGGCCGCCTCGTGAACCGTCTCGACCAGCGTCGAGTTCAGGTCTAAACACGTAAATCAATATTCCAAAAGGCAATACTTGTTTCCCAGAGATCAAATTTGCTCGGCTGCTTCTCCTTTTTCGCCGCTTTGTTCACCTAAAACGGATATGAAGCGTTATCAGAACAAACTACCCACCCCTCCCTCTCCCCCCCCCCCCCTTCTCTTCCCCCCTACTTCACTTGGGGCCGGGGCAACTTGTCGACCTTCAGCTTGTATTTCTTCGGAAATGTGGGTAGCTTTGGCTCTTCAGCTCTAAAAGACGAATTTTAAAACGGAAACATGCAGGTTACCCGTCGGCGAGCGCGGAGATTTTGCTTAAAGCGGCCTGCTGGCGGTGAGTGAATTTCTTCGGCTTTTCCTTTTCGCCTGGGGCCTAAAATAGACATTTCCATCCAAATAAAATCCCGAATTACCCTGTCGATCTGGAAGAGCTCGTCGTCAGCCTTGTCGGCAACGATGCCGCCCGTTTCTTTTTCTAAAACGCAAACCTTGTAAAAACAGTTTTTCCACTCACGATGCTGCAATTGAGCGATGGCCTCTTCGACATCTGTCACATCAGCCCCTTTTCGCCAGTATTGCTTCTTGCTGCGCGAGACGCGAGCCGCCGCCGGCCGTTTGCGCCCAAGTTTTTTCTGGTCGACCGACATTCTAAAAAGGCAGTTATAACAGATAATATTAAAAACAATACCAAACTAACAACTTGAAATTATTTGCAAAATGGTCGAAAATGAAAATGCGGGGCTGTTGAAATGTCACTAGGTAACAGAGTGCAGATGTTCAGTGGAGTCTTTCGGAATCCAGACCAAATACTGAAAACTTTTCAAAAATCTTTTTATTCGCTTTAAGATAAACACAAGTGTTTTCGAGAGCCAAAAAGACAAAAAGTCGACGCTGGAAACGTTTTTTCACGCTTCTTGGCGACCTGTGGCTTTTTGCATTTTGTACTTTAACGTTTAAAGTTCAGTTCTTTCGCCTTCAATCAAGTTTCTAAAAAAACCCCCCTTCTTTTAAAAAAAGTTTTTTTTTTTTTTATTTTAAAAAAAAACTCTTTTCCTTTTTTCCTTTTGTAGTTCAAGATCGTGAAATTGGCTTGATTTACTTTTATGGCCCCCGTCCAAAAAGTGGTTTTTCGTTTCGGAATCGATAGAGAACTGTTCGAAATGTGGTTTACAGTCGAAAAAAAGGGTCGGAAAGATGTTCTTAATAGGAAATAAGCAGTTTTTACGAAAATTTGAGGAGATAAAATGGGGACGGGGGACTGAAGTTTATGGTCCTCGGCCGAAAACCAATTTTTTTTTTGTCGGAAACTATCCAGAAATGTTCAAAATATCGTTTGCAGTTCAAAAAAAACGTCGGAAAAACCTTTATTAGCTTCAAAAAATATTTTGGTACAAAAATTCATTCAGCCCAGTTTTAGCCTAAAAATAAGGCTTCGTGCCACCCGGGACCTAGTCGCTTCGGATGGGTGCGAGCTCGTACAGTGTTTCGAATCGGGGCGCCTGAGCAGCGCAGCGCCCAGGCGCCTCGATTTCGGAAGAGTGGAGCGGCAGCCCATCCGAAGCGACGGCCCGCCTTGCCTGACAATGCTACGTACCGCACGCTGTTCAGAAGCCTGAGGGGACCAAGAACATCTTTCCGGCACTTTTTTTCGATTTAGTATGCATTTCCAACGATAATCAATTGAGTTAGTAAAAGAAAAAAAACGTTTTTTCAGGTGAGGACCATAAACTTGAGTCCCCCGTACCCCGATTTATGGTCCTCAAATTTTCGTGAAAAAACCGATTTTCTCCCAAAAAAATTTCTTTCCGACGATTTTTTTGAACTGCAAACGATATTTTGAACATTTCTGGATAGTTTCCGACAAGAAAATTTGTTTTCGGCCGAGGACCATAAACTTCAGTCCCCTTACCCCATTTTATGGTCCTCAAATTTCGTAAAAACTGCAGATTTCCTATTAAAAACATCTTTCCGACCTTTTTTCGACTGTAAACCACATTTCGAACAGTTCTCTATCGATTCCGACACGAAAAACCCCTTTTCGGACGGGGACCATAAAAGTAAATTTTCCCGGCAAGGTTTTTTGTAGCGCCCTTATGGCCATCAAACTTGAATAAATCTCATTTTTTTGCACAATTCATGCCGTGTTTGTCGAAATCGAGCTCTAACCTGCTTTCAGCCCATTTTTTTCTGATGAGAGAGCCCGGCGTGCAAGGGAATGGCGAGCAGCGCCGGCATCATGTATGTGTTCTCACGTTGCTGTACTTGTTTTAGTCCTCTTCGCCAAGTGCATCGGGCGCGGACGGGCGGAAAAGGCGAAGTGACGGTGTACCAATGCAGCAAGATTCTGGGTTTCAGGTATGGCTTTTTGGCTCTTTCGCATTATCGGGGGAGGGGGTTTTCTTCTAAGAATCCGTTCCTTCTTATATAAATGGAGGAACCTTTTTTTTTAAACTGTTTTTTACCAGTCCTACACTCAAAAACTTTACAAATTTTCTTTGTCAAATATAAAAAAAATTGATTTATTGGAGGAACCCTCCCCCCAAACCCACCCACACCAAAGTGCGACCAAATAATAGGTAGGCTATTGATTTTCGACCAAAAAAATTTCGACTTTTTAAAGAAGTTTTTAGATAGTTTTTCTAAGTCAAATATGGTTAGATTTTACTATTAAAAAATCCTTGATGCTACTGGCATTGACTAATCGTGTTTCTTTCATTTTAAGATTTTTACTGCTTTAGAGATGATTTCCAGTTGCAATAGTAAAGTTAAACCTAGCGAAAAACGCTATAAAAACACTGACTATTACCTTGTAAGGGATTTCTTGTCTGCTAGAAGAAAATTCGGTTTCCTTATCGATCCCCCCTGATAATGCGAAAGCTCCGGCTTTTCAGCTGTTATTGCAAAAAATCTTCTTTTTAGCCGAACTCCGCGAAGACGCCGTCGCCAATGATTCCAGGTCCTCCACAAAAGCGGATACCGCCGCCGTTACCGCCGATAAAGGTGAGTTCGGTGCTCTTGACGGATTTCGATTTTTTTAGAACAAAAGTCACTCGCTACTTCCGCCAGCAGGTCCGGGGCCCTTGCCGAGCGCCCAGACGCGGCATACAATAAGAAAGCCCCCGCCATTGCCGCCCAAAAAGGTTCGTCACCATTTGTTGGGGCCAAACTTTGTGTCTAAGAATTGAATTTTTGCTCGTATAGATGGGGGAAAAGTGTTTCTAAGCTGTGTTTACGCACCTAAACGCAAAAGCTACAAATTAAAAAAATAAAAATATACCGATTTTTATATTTAAATTTGGTTTAAACAACATAATTTCCAGGACAAAAGCCAGCCGCCGGCGCCCAATGGAGCAGCGGGTGACCAGGCGCCAGTGAAGGTAAAGATTTTTTCGAGGCGACTTTAAAGGTGTTTTTGAGGCGGCATCAAAATCGAACGGAACCGCGAAAGCTACGACAGTACGCAAGCCGCCTCCGCTGCCGCCCAAAAAAATCGCAAATGGAACTGTAGGTGCGATTTCTCTAACTTTATAGAATTTTTTAGGGTTCTCCGGCGAAGAATGGCAGGCTGCCGGCGCCACCTTCCTCCAGTTGCAGCGACGAAGATGATGATGAAGAAGAAAAAGTACACGTACGTGGAATCTCAGAATCATTATCGGGGGAGACCAATTCTTTGTATCAAATAACAAAATATCGATTTTCACGAAAAATGGCAATTTTTTGACCAAATTTTCGACTCTTTGAAACTTGTTTTGATAGTTTTTAGATAGCTTTTCTAGTTAAAATCTAGTTTAATGTTACCCAAAAACGATATTCAAACAGTTACTAGACGTTATTAGATGTTTTGGAGGTATGGGAAATTCAAGAATGGTAACAGTTTATCAAGGTCATTCTAAAGGGTTTTTTTTCAGGCTGCACGCAAGGCCAACGGAACTGCCAAAGCTACGAAAGTACGCAAGCCGCCGCCGCTTCCGCCCAAAAAAGTCGCCATTGGATCTGTAGGAGCAATTTTTGTACCTTTATCGAATTTTTTTAGCGTTCGCCGGCGAAGAATGGCAGGCTGGTGACGCCGTCTGTCTCCAGTTGCAGCGACGAAGATGAGGAAGATGAAGAAGACGAAGAAGAAGTAGACGTACGTGGAATCTCAGAATGAGTAATCTGTATCTTAGATCAAAGTCGACGTAGAATTGAAGCCATCTCTGCCGGTGCTACGGACGGGTCGCAGGGAGGAGACGATCTGCATTACGCTCAGCAGCGACGACGAGGACGAAGATGAGGAGGAGGAAGAGCCCGAGATATTGTGGGAGAAGCCTAGGGACGCGTGCATCAGGAGGGTCAGCTCTTTAAAAGATTTTTATAAATTGTTCGATAATGGTTAGTTTTCGGTTCTTGGGCATTATCGGGGGGGGGACTAATTTTTCTTCTTAGGATCGAATTTTGCAAGTATAAAACGCGGATGGGTTTCTAAGCTGTCTTTTTTACAATTGCTAAGCGTAAAACTTTCAACTTTTATCGAAAAATGCAAAATATATCGATTTTTATACAAATACAAACATATACAATTCCTTGACCAGTATGTTGGTTTTAGAGTGTTTTCTAGTTGCATTTGGCTTTATTGGACTATACTATACTAATAATTACTTCCTAATCAATCACTAGGCATTTCTAGTTTTAGAAAAAGTACCCCCCCCCCCACCCAATAATGCGAAAGGGCCCCTTTTTCTTTATTACCACATCAATTCCAGGCCACAAATATCGCCCCTCTCTTCGTGGAAGACCGTGGCACGCCCGAATCGTCGCCCGAGCCGCCCGACTCCCGCCCCGCCCGCTGCCGCGTGTCCGACCCTGCCTGGCCGACGAGCTGACCGATACCGAGGACCCGGAAGCGCTGCGCATCCACCACCCCTCGAATGACCATGCCGTGAGGGCGATAGCCAAGGCCGACTCCTACAAATGCTCTCAGAAGTCTTATTACAGGTAAAACTGGGGTTCTTTCGCATTATCGGGGAGAAACACATTTTTTTGTATAATTCGTATTTATTTCTTGTACTTTGTATTAAAATTTTGTAAAGTTTTTCTTGTTTAAGAATAGTAAAAAAAATAGTTCTTCTTCTTCCGCTATTTATATTTAAAAACTTGGTTCCTAGGAAAAATTTTCCTTCCTCCCCCGATAATGCGAAAGAACCGAAGTTGGTTCATCGCAGCTTTTTTCAGGCAAGAATTCGAGTGGAAGGCTCACAACAAGAAGAGTCAGCTGAACTTCCGCGTCCCGCTCGCCATCTACCACCTCGTGCTGGCGACGGTCGACTTTCAGTCCCGTGATCAAACGCTGAAATGCTTGCATCAGGCCGGATTAAATCAACGGTAAAACTTTATAGAGGATTTGCCATCATGATGTTGAAACTTTTGTCGAAATTCATAATTTCGAAATGTCATGTGGTCGAAATTCAGGATATCGACATTTTTTACCTAGGATTCGGGCAACCGGGAGTTCGCTTTTGTAAATTTCGACGTTATGAAATTTCGACATTATGTTTTTCGAAATTTTGAACGCAACCCAGAAAAACTGGATCCTTTGGAGAAGTCCCATTCATTACGACCTTCAAAATTGGACAATTTCAAAACGGCTACGACTAGGACACTCTTCTTCTCAAGCTCCTGCTCGTGCTCATTCTCCCCTATCTCCAGACTTGACTAATTTTCGATTTCCTAGGTACGACCTGGATTCGGAGCACAAATTCCGTACCCTGCACTTGCCCCTGGCACCGAAGGGCAAACCAAAGCGCGGCAAGCAGCGCTATTTCACGACGAAGAAGACGAACATCAACCAGCCCATCGACGACAACACGGATCCCACGGCGATCAACAAGCTGCTGCAGAAGCGCCTCCTCACCACCACCTCGTGGGTCGGGCCCCTCGCCGTCAAGAAGTACGAGCCGCCCGCCCATCGGCACGAGTTGACGACGAAATTTGGCATCGAGAAGATCTCCTTCTACATTGACGTCCCGATGGAGGAGGAGGAGCGGCGGCAGCGGTTGCGCGCGCTCCAGGAAATCGAGTTTTTGTCGAGGAACGAGGTCCCGCCCAAAGTGTTGGCCGACGTCGCCGAGGGGCAGAACTGTGTGAAAAGGTGGGTGCTGAACGGTTATCGGGGGGAGGGGAGAACAAATTTTTCCCCCCAGTAATCCTGTGCGGCCCTATAAAAAATATAAACGATTTTTACAACATTTTACGAATTTTTTCGATGTAAAAACTATAAAAAATTAAAAAATTGGAAAATTTTTGATTTTTAAAAATTACAAAAGGTCAAATTTTCGAATTCACAAATGATTTTTGTAGATATTTTTACACCGTTTTAGATGTAAAAGCTCATAAAAAATTAAAAGAAATGGAAAATGTTTGACTTTTTGGGCAAAAATTTATGAAAAATGTCTCAAAAAGGATGAAAATTTTTCAATTTTCAAAATTTTTAAGAGTAGTTTATATTTTTCTAGCAATCAAAAATTACTGAAAAACTATAAAAATACATAATATATCATCAACAGGTGGAAAAACAAAGGTGGCTTTTCCCCAGCTAAAAATTCCCTCCCCCTCCCCGCTAACGGTCCAAAACCGGCGTTTTTCTGGAGCTATGCTTTTTTCCAGGTGCGACTGCGTGTTCAACGCGTACGAGAGGGACACCTGCTGCTGCCGCGAGAACCCGAAATGCCCCCTGCTGGGCCGACTCGACGCCCAAGCTCGGCCCGAACGGCGTCATCGGACTCGGCGAGACGTGCTACGAGAACTCGCTGGTGTTCGTGTGCGGTCGTCTGTGTGCGTGTCAGGGACGGTGCCTAAACACCGTCACTCTGTCGCACGCACGCTACGACGTCTCGGGCGTGATGCGCGATCGTAAAGTTGGCTGGGAGGTGATCGCCAACGAGCCGATAGCTCCAGGTGAGATCTCTCGAAGCCGGGTAACTGGTTTTTGGTTCTTTCGCATTATCGGGGGGGGGGGCAAATTTTTGCTATAAATCCAGAAATCCCCAGTGGTTTTTTTCATGAGAAAATAGTGTTTTTGACAAAATTTAACTATATTTAAAGTGAAAATACAATAACAAAAAATTTTAGCCTAAAAGCTTTGTAGAAAAATTTAGTTATTTTAATTTTTAATAGATTTCAATATAAGAGCTTTCATATTAATCGTTTAATAATGTTTTTAGTAAAATTTAACGAGATTTAAAGTGGAAATACAACCAAAAAAGCTTGAAAAAATTTTACTCGAGATTTCAGTAGAAAATCGGTATTTTTCCTGGAAAAATCTATATTTCTGGCTTCTAACAAATTCTAAAGTTTTCTGCATTTATGAATAGCAAAAAACTTATATATTTTATTAGAAAAATTGAGCCTTAGAAAAAGCCCCCCCCCTCCCCGATAATGCGAAAGCGCCGTAGATTTCGGCATTATAAAACTTAACATTTAAATTTCGACCTTTTGAAAATAACATCCGTTCAGGGCAATGCGTGATGCCATTTCTCGGCAAAGTGGTGACCCATCGCGAGCTGACGAAGAGCGAACTCCTACAACAAGACTACGCGCTCGAGATGTGGTACACAAAGCTGCCCAAATCGCTCGCCCACCTCGGCCTTTTGGCAAAGAAGAGTCGTCGCGGCGGCCCTGACGAAATCGTTGGCCTCCAGGTAAGCAGCGCGAGTTTACGTTACTTGTCTATTAGCGGGGGGGGGGGCGAATTTTTGTTTTTTTCCCTGTCCAAACCTCATACCTTTAACAAGAGATATAAGGTTTTTTAGTGCGTTTAGTAGTTTCTGGTTTCTGGTTTTTAGAAAACTATAAAACAACCCTAAAAGACTTGAAAATTTTGTGATGGCTTTCACTTTTTCTGTTCATTTTTCAGACATTTTGATCAAAAAGTCACATTTTGGAATTTTTCGAAATAGGGTTGCCCATAGCGCTTCTAGTAGTTTTTTATTCTTGGCTGGGTGAAAATACCGGAAAATGTTTGAAAAATAAAAATTGGATTTTCTAGGTCTTTTTCGTAGATTTTCGTCCAACGTCAAAAATTTTCGTTAATAGTATTGTGTTTTTAAGGGCTTTTTATGTCGAAAAATTGAGTAAAAATCTATCAAAATCTATTAGGGGACCCTACGGGAGTACTGCGTCATATTGTCCCCACCCGCTAACAGCCCAGTACCGCATTTTTTTCCAGCTGGACCCGACGTACAAGGGCAACATCGGCCGTTTCCTCTCCCACTCGTGCCTGCCGAACCTGATGCAAGTGCGCTTCCTCCGGAACAGCCTGCAGATCGCCGACGCCGTGCACGTGTTCGTCTCCATGTGCACGATACCGACGGGCACGTTCTTGAATTTCGACTACGGCTCGTCTTACGCTAATGAGAAGCTGCACGATGTACGTGGTGTTTGCGGTGTTTTCGCGTTATCGGGCGGGGGATCGTGTTCTTAGGATCCAGTCCTGCAAATTGAAATAGCGGCAGTGTTTCTCAACTTGTTTTTGCTATTCCTAAACGTAAAATTTTAGAAATTTTGATTGATACTGATTGAATTTCGATACAAAAAAAAAAGATCGATTTTTCGACCAAAAATTGCCGTGTTGACCAAAAATTTCGACTTCTTGAAATTTTTTTGAAGGTGTTTCTGAGAGGGTTTGAACCTTTTCCTTTAGACAGTTTTCTAGTTTTATTTTTGCTGAAAAGGCCATTAAAATACTTCCTATTAAGCAGACATGGCAAACCGCCGCCGCCGGGCCGGCTTTCGGCCGGCCGGGCCCGGAGCCGCACGGCTTGGTCGGAGGTACCGGCCCGGCCCGGCTTTTTAGTTTTGAGGCCGGAGCCCGGCCCCCGGTGAAAAGCCGGGTGGCCCCAAAGAGATTTGCCGTTTCCGCAGCGCAACCAAATATTAAGCTTAAAGCGGCAAGAAAACCCACCCCACCAAAGGAATTTGGTCGTCACCACTCACAATTTTGCATAGGTTCAGGATTCCACGTAAATGTACAACTCCGGTTTCCGGGCCCGGCCGGGCCGGCTGGCCGGGCCGCACAAACCCCGGCTGGCCGGGGCTGGGTTTCCGGAAGTAGGCCTAGCGCGGCTCGGGGGGGGCCGGTTTTATGGAAGGTGGCCGGCGGCTCGGCCGGGGCGGGGCCGGCCGGGATTGCCATGTCTGCTATTAAGTTAATGGGCATTTTTAGACTTGTGCAAAACAAACTTTGCCCCCCCCCCCGATAATGCCACAGCACCATAATTTGTGATGAATTTTTGATTCTATGTTAACCCGTTCCTGTTCCAGATATGCGCGTGCTTCATGCCAAACTGTGTGCGCCATAAGAAGAAGAAGCCGAAGGCCATCTACCAGGTGTGCCAGGACGTCGCCGCCTATATGCGACGACTCGACGAGATGGCCGCCGGCGACGTGGAGGCGGTCAAGGACGAGTACCACTCCGACTCGGATTGACCCAATTTACATTGACAACTTGCTTTCCGTTTTCTTTGCTTGTTTTGTAATTCCCCGCTTGTAGCGTATATTTTGAATCTAAAATTTCTAGTCTGAATTTTCCAATTTTCGACAAGCCTTCGAATGCCTACGGGCCCATGCAAAGATTTTGAATTCATAGGTTCTACAGTAATTACGGTTATTACGATTAAACTCCCATCCGCGTAATGTGATAATCCCCCACCACCGGTGAACGGCATAAAATGTTTGTGGCTGTTTTTTCTGCTTTCTTTGTCCAAAAGTCGGAATGGAGGCTTTATTGAACGTGGCGGGGACGTTTGGGATGTTGCTACGTGATTTAAGAAGCTTTTCTAAGCGTTGATCAGAAGCAGGGCCGATTGTCGGACGAAGAGCAGCAGCGGCAGCTAGATGTCGATGGCCTTCGAGTGGGTGTCGATGCGCTCGGTGGTCGTCTTCGCGTGGCTGGAAGAAAAAAAGTAAATGAAATGTGAAGTGGCTTTGGCCCACGTTTTCGTCGCGATTTGTGTGGACTTCGCGTCCCATTGGCCGGGATCGTCCACCTCGACGACAGGGCGCCTGCAACCGTCATTTGTAGTGCATCGTTGGCCTACGGGGGGTCGGGAACGATCACGGCCAAGCTGGGGTCGGTGTTCAGGTCGGTCTTGGCGACGATCGAGGTTTCGCGCTCTGGCAATGAGGGTATTGCGGCGATTAATCGAGTAGCTACCTGAGATCTTGGACGGATAGGCCGCCGATGAGTCCTCCTGCTTGACGATGACGTCGATGGGCGGAGTGTCGCGGGCCAGCTCGTCGGCAGACCCGGACGGTATGATGGGCGTGGGTCGGGTGGAGTCAGCGAGTCGAGATTGCGACTTGGAGTGTGATAGGGAATGCTGCGACTTCGATTCCGCCAGCGACTTGCTCGCGTCGCTTGACGAGCGGGAGCTGGCCAGCAGCACCGTGGTGTTCTTGGTCTGTGGTTTCCTGAACGTGCAGTGAGTGAAAGGGTAGCAGAGATTTTTGGGGAACCGTATTCATCAACATTTCCTGCTAGCCTGCCCTCTCATCTTCCTCAACAATCTCTGCTAGCCTGCCCTCTCCTCTTCCTCAACAATCTCTGCTAGCCTGCCCCCCCTTTTCCCAAAAAATCCCCTCCCCCCCCCCCCCCCCCCCCCCCCAAAAAACCCCCCCCCCCCCCCCCCCCCCCCCCCCAACAAAAACCCACGGCCTTCTCCTCTTCCTCAACAATCTCTGCTTGTTGCTACCTATCCTTGCAGGCCGTGTAGAAGACGCAGGCCAGCAGCAGGAACAGCACCACACCGCCACCGGAAGCTGAAAAAGCGCAGATTTGTTCAGCGTACCGCGCCCTGTGATACCCCAAAAAATCCAGGCGTTCCCGTCCTCGTCGGACTCGCCGGGCGTCGACCAGCTGGGGACTGGCTCGTAGCGGCAGAGCGTCTGAAACGTGACTTTTTGATGACTTGAATCCCCCAATAATGCGCCAGTAGTCTGCTAGCCTGCCCCCACCTCTTCCTCCTCGGCTCCGGTACAGTCGAGCAGGGGCTGCTGCAGGCGTTCGTCGCGGAACTTGCGGTAGTACGGGTTCAGGTTGCAGTTCAGCAGGTAGTCGCCCCGGACTTGGGCTTTTTTGGCCTAAATGTGTGGTGTGGCGGAATTCCCGGTATTTTAGTGATTTTAACGGGCCATTGAAGACGCGCCTGGGAGAGCTGGGAGACGTCAACGCATCGGGGGTAGACGTAGTGGCCGAGGCCCTCGGTTTCCGAGCCGGCCAGATGGGCATACGGGGCGGACTGGAAGGAAATGGCTGAGAGCCGGCTAGCAGAGATTGTTGAGGAAGAGGAGAGTGCAGGCTCGTGCTCCCGCTCTCTCACATTCTCCCGCTCTTGCCTCGGTTTCTCGCTCTTGCAGTCTCTCTCGCTCTTTCTGACTCTCTCGCTTTCGCCCCCTGTCTCCCTCCCTCCCTCTCTCTCTCCCTCTCTCTCTCTCTCGCGCTCTCTCTCCCTCTCTCGCTCTCGCCCTCGCGCGTTCTCTCTCCCTCACTCACTGTCTCACTCTCTCAAGCTCCCTCTCTGGCTCTCTTTCACTCTCGCTCGCTTTTCCTCTCGTTCTCGGTCTCGCCCTCTCTCACTCTCGCTCCGACTCTTTCGCTCTCTCTCACTCTTCTTGCTCTCACTCCCTCTCTCTCACTCTCACTCCTCACCATGGCCCTCTGCAGCGTGAACACCGTCTCGTTGTGAACGACGTCGAGCCAGACGCAATTCTGGTAGTCGGGCTTGTCGTCGTCCCCGGCGTCCGGTCGGTAGATGCACGCATTCTCGCACTCGCCGCTGACCGGGAAATCGACCGCCGTGGAGTTCAAGCGGTGCCTAAACAAAATTTTGAGCCCGGCTATGGAAAAATGAGGAAGTAGAAGACCTCCCTAATCCTAAGCATACCGGAACCGTAACTCACGCGTTCTGCTCGCACAGCGGTAGCGGCTGGCACCCCGTGCGGTTGTTCTTGGTACAGTACTACACATAAACGCGTATTGACCTATTTCGGCACTACCGTAACCCTGTCGGGTCGCCGCGGGACCCAATCGGGGAACGGGCTGAGGTCATCGGGGAGAAAGCCGGCGGCCAGGTGGAGGCTCGGGATGCAGTCGGGGAAGCCGCTGAAGCAAATGATCTCTGCTAGCTAGCCTGCGCTTCCTCTTCCTCAACAATCTCTGCTAGCCTGCCCGATCCCTAGAAAACACCCACTGCGGCACAATAAAGCCGGCCATGCATTCAGCGTGATAGCCAACGTCAAAAAGTCCAGTCGCATACGGGAGTGGCTTTCTAAGATCTGGATTTCGAGTACGATACTGTACGGTACTTTTCGGAGCCTCGCGTAGTGTCGGCACATTTTCCGGTGGCGATCATCTCGCGTGTGCACACGTTGACCGGAAAGAGAACGGAGCGGCGATCTCCTGAAAAGGGCAAGCTAGCAGCGATTGTTGAGGAGGAGGGGAGGGCAGGCTAGCAGATTTCTTTGCCTCTTACCTCCAACCGACCCCACGGCCACCGCCCGGATTCGATTTTGGTCCTAGAAATGACGTTACAGTACCCATTCTACATGCTCCAAATTACGTAGTAGATTGCCGCCGGATCACAGCCAATTCGTGGACGTTTCCCAGCGCTCGGGCTCTCGAAGATCGTCTGCCCATCCTGGCACGGCGCCAGGGTGCAGCTGTAGCACTGAAATTGACGTGTCTCCCCAATCGGTACTTTGCCATTATCGGGGGGATTAACTTTTTCTAAGGATATAATTTTGCTGATCGCTACGGGAAGTGTGTCTAAGCCGTTTTTTTACCATCCAAAACGTCAAGACTTTCCAGCTTTTCATCAAAACCACAAAAAAAAGATTTCTACCAAAAATGGGGGCTTTTTCCACCTAATTTAGATATTGTAATTGTTGCTAAAAACACGATTTCACCAAAAACAGGATTTTTACGACTTTCTAGCAAAGAAAAATTACTAAAAACATTATAAAAATAATTTAGCCTTCCTGCCAACCCCCGCTAACAGCCCAGTACCAAGTTCGCACCCACCCCCTGATAACGCGAAAGAACCCCGCAAATGGCCTCTGCCAGCCTGCCCACCTCGGCGTCTTGGGGCAGGTCGAAGGGGCGCTGCAACGCGCCCGCGCCCTGCTCGTACTTGGCGCTCAGCCAGGCATGTGACCAGCAGAGGAAGTCGAGTACGCAATGCTCCGCTGGGGGTACGGTAGAGGATGGGGGTACGGTAGATGGGGTGACGGTAGATGGCGGTGCGTCAGATGGGGGTACGGTAGATGGAGTTACGGTAGATGAGGGTACGGTAGATGGGGGTACTGTTGCCTCGGTTACGCTGCCGTCATCATATGCGTCCCAGTACTCGACGAGGTCCTGCAGGGATTCACTAAATTCTTGTTTTTATTTCATAAATTACCGTATGAATTTCTGCGGTACTGGATTTTTAGCGGGGGAGCTGCTTTCTATTTTTCCGCCTTTCCCCCCTGCTAATAATATTTATTTATTTTTATTTTTATAGCGTTTTGAGTAGTTTTTGAGCGTTGATAAATTTTAACAATAATTTAAAACAGTGGAATTTTGAAAATTTTTGTTTATTTTTTACATTTATGATCATAAGTCTAAAAAGACCGAAATTTCGTTAGTTTTCTGTGGTTTTTGTACCTACAAATGGTTTAAGATGCTATGGAAAATGTGTCCCCTCCGATAAGCGTCCAGTACCATTCAAACTTAAAGGGATTTTTGCGGAGCGTACCGTTGCGCCGAGCAGCCCCGGAAAAATATCAGGCAGACGAGGAGAAGCCGGATCATAACCGGGGAGGAGGAGGGAACGAGGTGTTGGGATTTTCCAGCAAATTCAGTGTTTTTATGCAAATTAAAGAGAAAAATATGGTTTTGCCGGAGGTCGAGATGGCAGAGGTAATTTGGGAAATTTGCATCTAGTCTAAATTTCAAGGTGTTAGCAGCGGGAATTAAATTTTTTTTGCCTACACCTAAATCGCCGAGCTCTGGAATATTTTTCGTGGTTTGTCATCACCAGAAAGTTATAACAAACATTTTAAACATACGAAAATTTTTATCACTGGAGGTTTTTCTGGGAACGAAACCTATAACTGGGCGTAAGCCTAAGCCTAATCCTATGCCTCAGGCTCAGCCTCAGCCTCAGCCCAAGCCTAAGCCTACACCACTCCACCTCCACCCTCCGCAGCCAGCCAGAAGAGGCCGTTGCGGATTCTTCATTTCCAGACGACAATTTGAATCCGTAGCCGGAATCCCGGGAAAAAAAGAATCCCATCACTCGCCGCGATGACGGTCCCCTACATGCGGCAGGTGGCCACGGCCAACACATGGGCGTTTATAAAAGTTCGTTACCAATCCACAACAATCTCTGCTAGCCTGCCCTCTCCCCTTCCTCAACAATCTCTGCTAGCCTGCCCTCTCCTCTTCCTCAACAATCTCTGCTAGCCTGCCCTCTCCTCTTCCTCAACAATCTCTGCTAGCCTGCCCTCTCCTCTTCCTCAACAATCTCTGCTAGCCTGCCCTCTCCTCTTCCTCAACAATCTCTGCTAGCCTGCCCTCTCCTCTTCCTCAACAATCTCTGCTGGTCTACGCTTTGCGCTTTCAGCTCATCTTCCGTTGGCGCGGCTCGGTGTGGAAGCTCGTCATCTGGGAGCTGATCATATGGCTGTACATCTACTACCTCATCTCATTCACTTATCGGTTCGCCATCGTGCATTCGCAGTTTGAGGTAGGTCTCTCTCTCCCCCCTCTCTCTCTCTCTCTCTCTCTCCCACCCCAAAAACAAACCCCCCCCCACCTTTTAACCTTTCCCCCCCCCCCTTTTTTTTTTTTTTCCTTCTTCTATAAAAAAAAAAAATAAAAAAAAAAAATAATAAAAAAAAAAAAGGGGGGGTACCCCCCCCCCCCCCCCTCTCTCCCTCTCTCTCTCGCCCGCTCTCTCTTTATCTTGTTCTCGTTCAGGACGTCTTCATTCGCACCGTGCGTCACATCGACGCCCTGCAGACGACGTACGGGACTGCAGTGACGTTCGTGCTCGGCTTCTACGTCTCGGAGGTGGCCAAACGGTAGGCTGGCAAGATTGTTGAGGAAGAGGAGTGGGCAGGCTAACAGAGATGCTTTGTGACATGGAGCCAAGCTTCATTCAGTTGGTGGAAAGTGTGGATGGAGATCCCGTGGCCGGATACGGTAGGCCTGTGCATCGTCGCCTTCTATCGTGACCGCAAGGACGCCAAGGCATGTTTATCCGAAAAGTCGAGTCGGGAGCGTGACAGCAGAAATCTTGTTCTTTCAGGGCAAAGCTGAAGACCGGATGACGCGCTGCACAGTGGTCCGATACTTGGTGCTGTCTTATGTGCTCGTGTTCCGCGACATTAACGAGCGCATCCGGAAGCGGTTCCCGACACTCGTCCACTTGGTACGGTATAGGGCTAGAAGGCACGAGTTGGGGAGTTCTGGCCTCGCCACACCCAACGCGCCGGCTAGCAGAGACTATTTGCGGAGCCCGGAGCCCTGTTTCCAGACGCCCCATCTGCTGACGGACGAGGAGCTGAAGATGATCCTGAAGGAGGACCCGAACTTGCGCTGCTGGATGCCGTTCGAATGGTAGGTGTCTGGAGGAAGAGAAGAGCCTAAGCCCAAGCCTAAGCCTAAGCTTAAGCCTAAGCCTAAGTCTAAGGCTAAGCCTAAGCCTGGCCTAAGCCTAAGCCTAAGCCTAAGCCTAAGCCTAAGCCTAAGCCTAAGCCTAAGCCTAAGCCTAAGCCTAAAAGCCGAGGCTTAGACATTTCCAGGCTGTTTATCATCATCAAGAAGGCGTACGAACGCGAACAGATCGACACCGAGCACCATAATTTGATGGTCGAGGTGGGCGAACGCGCTTAAAGGGCCGTTGAAGGCTGAACTTGGTCGGAAAAATCCATAAGATATCTCTAAGGGGTTTCAGAAAGTGCTCGACTTTCGTCAGCGCCTCCAGAATCTGCAGCAATTCGACTATGTCAATTTGCCGTTGGTGTATTCACAGGTTGGAAGTCAGCGAAGCTCTCTCGCTCTCTCTCCTTCTCGCTCTCTCTCTCTCTCTTCTCTCTCCTCTCTCTCTTCTCCCTCTTTTTTTTTTCCTCTCTCGCTCTCTCTCTACTCCTCTCTCTTTCTCTACTCCTCTACTACCCCGCCCCAGGTGGTGAACGTCTCGGTCTACCTCTACTTCTGCATGGCCCTCTTCGCCAAGCAGTACCTCGGTCGGGCAGGCAGTCCCGACGACCGCGAGGTGTTGTACAGCGTCGACTACGCGATTCCGTTCTTTGCCGTCGTCGAGTTCATCATCTACTGCGGGTGGTTGAAGGTGGCCCAGGTGATGCTGAACCCGTTCGGGCTCGACGACGATGATTTTGACATTGACATGATGGTGGACCGGAATTTGAAGGTAGTGCGAAGGCTAAGCCTACGCCTAAGCCGAAGCCTAAGCCAAAGCTTATACCTGCCTCTCTTCAGGTCGGCCTCTCCATGGTAGACGACTACTACGACAAGTGCCCACCTCTCGTCGAGCTCAAAGTCACCTCGCTACCCCATACCCTTGCTTCGGCTCAGGTACCTCATTCCTCAACAGCCACTGCTAGCCTGCCCCCAATTTAGGATATCCAGCGCTGCGCCCCGATGCAGGGCTCCGTCGCCCAGGTGGCCGTACCGAAGCGGTTGCAGAAGATTGTCGAGCCGGCTGTCATCCACGGGTACAAGATGAGGGACAACTCGCCGCCGCCCACCCCGGAGGTGCAGACGCTTTCCGCAAATGTCCCTGCTAGCCTGCCCTCTCCTCTTCCTCCACAATCTCTGCTAGCCTGCCCTCTCCTTTTCCTCAACAATCTCTGCTAGCCTGCCCTCTCCCCTTTTTTCTCTTTTCTCTCCTCTTCCTCAACAATCTCTGCTAGCCTGCCCTCTCCTCTTCCTCAACAATCTCTGCTAGCCTGCCCTCTCTTCTTCTGCAACAAATCCCCGACTTTCAGGTCAAACTCGACACACATCTCGGCCCGAAAAAGGACAAGCAGGCAGCCGCCGTCGCCCAGCCCTCGGTACAATAAGAACCAAAAAATAGCGCTAAGTCTACTACAAATATCAGTTTCCTTCGTTTTCCAGGGCAAGCGTACGCCGCGCTCCAAACTACACAGTCTGGTTGGTGATCGGCGCGTGGCCAAATATTTTTCCCGACCTTTTAGGCCGAGCTGACGCAGGGCAGCGAGTACGACAAGACGGAGATTGTAAGCCATGAGGGTTGTGGGGTGGGGGAGCGGCTAGACGGGAATGCATGGGATGTTTAGAAAATTGGGGCTTTTGGAGATCGTCACGCCTTGGACTGGTGGCTAGCAGAGATTCCTTGTGGCATCCCGCAAGTTATGGGTTGGGGTACGATAGGGGCACGATTAGCAGTTTGATGAATTCGATGGTCTAGGGCAGGCTAGCACATGCAATTCAGGATCTCCTTGCCCACGACGAGAAAAAGCAGTCGGCCGACAAGGTGGAGATGAGCAAGGCCACGGCCATTTCGATGGGCCACGCCCCGGCGGCCGCCGAATCCGTCGCCAACACCCAAGTGTTGCACCCGACGCCCGCACAGTCGGCAGTGAGATTTTTTTTGCTCTCTCCCTCTCTCTCTCTCTCTCTCTCTCTCTCCCTCTCTCTCTCTTTCTCGCTTTCTCTTTCTCTCACTCTCTCGCTCTCTCTCACCCACAAAACCCAATTCCAGCCGCCCTCCCAGATGACGCAACCGTTCACTGGGATGAGCCGCGTTGAGCCGGTATGAATTTTTGAAGTTTTGACGGGCCTCGGCGTCCAGGAAGTGCTCCAAGCTGCACGCGCAGCTCGCTCGAAGGAGAAGCAAGACAAGCAGAAGAACGAAGCCAACCAAACGGTGCGTTCGTCTGCAGGCTAGCAGAGATTGTTGAGGAAGAGGAAACGGCAGGCTAGCAGAGATTGTTGAGGAAGAGGAGAGGGGCAGGCTAGCAGAGATTGTTGAGGAAGAGGAGAGGGCAGGCTAGCAGAGATTGTTGAGGAAGAGGAGAGGGCAGGCTAGCAGAGATTGTTGAGGAAGCGGAGAGGGCAGGCTAGCAGAGATTGTTGAGGAAGAGGAGAGGGCAGGCTAGCAGAGATTGTTGAGGAAGAGGAGAGGGCAGGCTAGCAGAGATTGTTGAGGAAGAGGAGAGGGCAGGCTAGCAGAGATTGTTGAGGAAGAGGAGAGGGCAGGCTAGCAGAGATTGTTGAGGAAGAGGAGAGGGCAGGCTAGCAGAGATTGTTGAGGGAAGCGGAGAGGGCAGGCTAGCAGAGATTGTTGAGGAAGAGGAGAGGGCAGGCTAGCAGAGATTGTTGAGGAAGCGGAGAGGCTGACACGAAAATTTAGGGACGCCGGAAGAGCCGCGAGCCCCGCGCCGCTGAGAAGCCGGAGCGGCCACCGTCGCGTCCCCCCTCGCGCCCGAATTCGCGCTCTGAAAAGCACAGCATCCTCGAGAAGGTTAGAGAAAGAAGAGTGAGGATGAACGAGAGAGAGAGCGAGAGATAGAGAGAGAAACATTTAAATACACATTTCCAGACTCAACCGATGAGCGGGCACGGCCCGTCTCCCAAGACTACGAGGGGTGCGTTTCCATTGGTGTTTTAGCAAATCGGCAGGCTAGCAGAGGCCATTTGCGGCTTTTTTAGAGTTGAATATTATTGTTTTAAGGCATTTTAGATGGCTATGAAGCCAATTAAATAGATGATTTTTACAGCCGACGCCCCGAAACCGCCCAAAGAGTGAGGAGCCGACACTTCGAAGCTCCGAAGCCTTAAAAAATGCGAACACCATTGATTCGTTGATCTGGCTTGAATTGGATTGTTTTTGTGTAATTGTGAGCGCCGACTATTCTTTGAATAAATCTACAATGGCTTCCGTGTTTCAAGCGCATGTTTACCGGTACTGGACTGTTAGCGGGGGGAGGACCAAATCCTACCTTATATAATTTGGTCGCGTTCTGTGTGTGTGCGGAGGTCAGTTTCGAGGCCCGATTTGAGGGCCTTCCCGTGTCCAAAACGCCCCAATTTTTCGTCACTCGGGAGAATCGACCCTCCTCTATCCGATGGTGTTTTCAGAATTCCGCTAAAACACAAGTTTACAAAGTTAAAGGCGATTTAATTCATTTTTGGGGTCCGGGAGGGCTAATTTGCATAATGTGAAAAAATAGAAATTTCCTCATTCTTGCAAGTTGCACTCGCGGGTTTGGTCGGGACAGGGAAGGGGTCCGAAGGACCCGAGCTATCAGAAGGTCAAACTTTTCATGCAAAGGCCGCATTCCAGCGCCCAAGGCCCGCGAAGCGGGTTTTGGGCGCTGGTTTGTCATATAAAAACAATGCAAACCCCCCCTCCCCAGCCTGCAGAAATGGCGGTCCAGGCCGAAACTAACGTCAAATTTAACGATTTTAAAATAAATTTTTCTCGAATGCATTGGCGATTAAGCAGATTTGGAAAACGGCATCTTGGTCAGAATTTTTTTTCTCTATCGGATGAGCTTTCGCACCTACGAAACTGGGATGGCACTCAAAAACAAAATTTTTGAACAAGCTTTGGCTTATTTTTGAACAAGCTTTGGCTTATTTTTGAACAAGCTTTGGCTTATTTTTGAACAAGCTTTGGCTTATTTTTGAACAAGCTTTGCTATTTTTGAACAAGCTTTGGCTTATTTTTGAACAAGCTTTGGCTTATTTTTGAACAAGCTTTGGCTTATTTTTGAACAAGCTTTGCTATTTTTGAACAAGCTTTGCTATTTTTGAACAAGCTTTGCTATTTTTGAACAAGCTTTGGCTTATTTTTGAACAAGCTTTGGCTTATTTTTTGAACAAGCTTTGGCTTATTTTTTGAACAAGCTTTGCTATTTTTGAACAAGCTTTGGCTTATTTTTGAACAAGCTTTGCTATTTTTGAACAAGCTTTGGCTTATTTTTGAACAAGCTTTGCTATTTTTGAACAAGCTTTGCTATTTTTGAACAAGCTTTGCTATTTTTGAACAAGCTTTGGCTTATTTTTGAACAAGCTTTGGCTTATTTTTGAACAAGCTTTGCTATTTTTGAACAAGCTTTGGCTTATTTTTGAACAAGCTTTGCTATTTTTGAACAAGCTTTGGCTTATTTTTGAACAAGCTTTGGCTTATTTTTGAACAAGCTTTGGCTTATTTTTGAACAAGCTTTGCTATTTTTGAACAAGCTTTGCTTATTTTTGAACAAGCTTTGCTTATTTTTGAACAAGCTTTGGCTTATTTTTGAACAAGCTTTGGCTTATTTTTGAACAAGCTTTGGCTTATTTTTGAACAAGCTTTGGCTTATTTTTGAACAAGCTTTGCTATTTTTGAACAAGCTTTGCTATTTTTGAACAAGCTTTGCTATTTTTGAACAAGCTTTGGCTTATTTTTGAACAAGCTTTGGCTTATTTTTGAACAAGCTTTGGCTTATTTTTGAACAAGCTTTGCTATTTTTGAACAAGCTTTGGCTTATTTTTGAACAAGCTTTGCTATTTTTGAACAAGCTTTGCTATTTTTGAACAAGCTTTGGCTTATTTTTGAACAAGCTTTTGCTTATTTTTGAACAAGCTTTGGCTTATTTTTGAACAAGCTTTGGCTTATTTTTGAACAAGCTTTGCTATTTTTGAACAAGCTTTGCTATTTTTGAACAAGCTTTGGCTTATTTTTGAACAAGCTTTGGCTTATTTTTGAACAAGCTTTGCTATTTTTGAACAAGCTTTGCTATTTTTGAACAAGCTTTGGCTTATTTTTGAACAAGCTTTGGCTTATTTTTGAACAAGCTTTGGCTTATTTTTGAACAAGCTTTGGCTTATTTTTGAACAAGCTTTGGCTTATTTTTGAACAAGCTTTGCTATTTTTGAACAAGCTTTGGCTTATTTTTGAACAAGCTTTGCTATTTTTGAACAAGCTTTGCTATTTTTGAACAAGCTTTGGCTTATTTTTGAACAAGCTTTGCTATTTTTGAACAAGCTTTGGCTTATTTTTGAACAAGCTTGCTTATTTTTGAGACAAGCTTTGCTTTATTTTTGAACAAGCTTTGGCTTATTTTTGAACAACCTTTGGCTTATTTTTGAACAAGCTTTGTTATTTTTGAACAAGCTTTGGCTTATTTTTGAACAAGCTTTGGCTTATTTTTGAACAAGCTTTGCTATTTTTGAACAAGCTTTGGCTTATTTTTGAACAACCTTGGCTTATTTTTGAACAAGCTTTGCTATTTTTGAACAAGCTTTGGCTTATTTTTGAACAAGCTTTGGCTTATTTTTGAACAAGCTTTGGCTTATTTTTGAACAAGCTTTGCCTTATTTTTGAACAAGCTTTGCTATTTTTGAACAAGCTTTGCTATTTTTGAACAAGCTTTGGCTTATTTTTGAACAAGCTTTGCCTGATTTTTGAACAAGCTTTGCTATTTTTGAACAAGCTTTGCCTTATTTTTGAACAAGCTTTGCCTTATTTTTGAACAAGCTTTGGCTTATTTTTGAACAAGCTTTGCCTTATTTTTGAACAAGCTTTGCTATTTTTGAACAAGCTTTGCCTTATTTTTGAACAAGCTTTGCTATTTTTGAACAAGCTTTGGCTTATTTTTGAACAAGCTTTGGCTTATTTTTCAACAAGCTTTGGCTTATTTTTGAACAAGCTTCGCCTTATTTTTGAAAAGCTTTGGCTTATTTTTGAACAACAAAAACAAAACAACAAAAATCATTAGGTGCGCAATGGGCTGGAGATGACTGTGCGCATTTCAGATTCACAAATAGCAAATTCATAATCTATTCGCCAGTTATGTAAAAAAACGGCTCAGTCGTTTCGGACAGATCAACGCAAAAATATACAATTTATTCCAGCCTCCATGCTAGCCAGCTAAAGTAGCCGAAAAACCACACATAAAATTGTCGATTTTGAGAAAATTGAGGCGCACAGAACAAAACAGACAGCATAAAAATGATTGCAAGATTGCAAGATTCGACGTACGGGGCGTAATAGATGGCGTAATTGGTCGTGTTTCGGGGTGGATTTGTTTTTTTTTGAAAGCGAATGGCGCATAATTATCGGGAGAGACAAACACACTTTAAAGTTACTCGGTAAAGGCACACAATCGGGAAACGAAATTTGCATCTCGGGGCTTATTCCTCGCCGGTAAACTCCTCGTCGAGGATGGAGCGCGAGCCGCCGCGCCCCAGCGTCACCGCCGCCGTCGACATCTGCAACAAATTAAGGAGTAAATTCGGCTTTCAAGAAGTTTTTTCTGATGATACCCTCTGGTGCAAGGTGGTGGTTAGACTTCCTCAGCAATCTCTGCTAGCCTGCCCTCTCCTCTTCCTCAACAATCTCTGCTAGCCTGCCCTCTCCTCTTCCTCAACAATCTCTGCTAGCCTGCCCTCTCCTCTTCCTCAACAATCTCTGCTAGCCTGCCCTCTCCTCTTCCTAATCCTGGCCTCCCTCTCCCCTCCTCAACATCTCTGCTGCCTGCCCTCTCCTCTTCCTCACTCCTGCTGCCTCCCTCTCCTCTTCCTCAACATCTCTGCTGCCGCCCTCTCCTCTCCTCACATCTCTGCTGCCTGCCCTCTCCTCTCCTCACATCTCTGCTGCCTGCCCTCTCCTCTTCCTCAACAATCTCTGCTAGCCTGCCCTCTCCTCTTCCTCAACAATCTCTGCTAGCCTGCCCTCTCCTCTTCCTCAACAATCTCTGCTAGCCTGCCCTCTCCTCTTCCTCAACAATCTCTGCAAGTGTGTGCAAGTGATTTTATCACCAAAACCCACTCTATTGGAAGAATTCTTCGCCGACGGTGGCCTAAGAGTAATTTTATTGCCTTAGAACAATGGTTCCAATTTTTAGACCATGGCATCTTGTTGTCACGCTCCCTTTAGGCTCCGCCCCCACTCACCGAATGCGACAGGCCACGCCCAAAGACGACGGAGCCTGAGCGGCTCTTGATCCGAATCTTTTGCAGGCTGTTCTCCGCCGACTCGGCCCTGAAAAAAATGGGAATTACGGGGTTCCACTAGGGTAGGCTAAAGTAAGCCCTAAAAATGGTAAAAATTGACTGACCGCTCTTGGGCGTCCTCGAGCTGGTGCTGCAGCTGGCGGTACTTGTTGAGGTTGGCGGTGGCGAGGCCTTCCTGCAAAACTCTGTTATGACAAGATTTTCGAGAAGGCTTGTGCTCTCTCTCTCTCTCGCTCTCGCGCAGCATATTCTGCCAGATTAAATTCCCCGAAAACCCACGGCTTCCTCGATTTGGCGCTTGTAAGTCTTTATCTTGTTCTGCAGCTTCTCGACGAGGTCGTACATTCGCTCGGCTGTCTTCTTGTCCTCATCGACCTGAAAAAACACAGTTTCAATATATGTAACTCTAACTCCTCAGGGTCTCTCGCTCGCTCTCTCTCTCTAGCTCTCTCTCTCTCTCGCTCTCTCTCTCTCTCTCTCTCTCTCTCTCTCTCTCTTTCTCTCTCTCTCCCTCTCCCTTCAATACCTGGAACTGCAGCTCGCGACACCGTCTGTCCTTGTTCCGATAGTTTTTGGCCGTCTCCCCATGCCTGCGTCCCTCCGAGTCGAGCTCCATCTCGAGCTCCCTGACGCGGTCCTGCAGCTTCTGGATGTTCCGCTTTCCGCCCTTCATCGCGTGCGCTTCCGCTTCCTCGAGACGCCCTTGCATCTCCTTGGCCTGAAAAATATACCTTTCAGTTTCCAAAAATACAGTAACCCAAAAACCTACAGTATTCCGTACTGAAGAGTTTAACTACTAACTTACTTGCGTCTCCAATGCTTTCCGCTGGCGCTCAATGGCGTTGGAATGTTCTTGTTCCTGGCGGAGCTCCTAAAATGGAGGGTTTTTATGAGCGAGAGAGAGAGATAGAGAGAGAGAGATAGAGAGAGAGAAAGAGAGACGGAGAGAGCGAATGAGAGGAAGAGAGAGACCACCCTCCTCACCTCGGCCAACTTGGCGGCGTCCTGCATCGCCTTCTTCTGCCGATCGTCGGCGTCCTTCAGCTCCCCGAGCGCCTCGCCCACCTCGGCTTGCAGTTGCTGAACACGGACGATATTCAGTGAATCTCCACTTCCTCTAGTCACTCTGCCACCATTCCCCATACCTGAATCTCGCCCTCCAGTTTCCGCTTGTGCGCCGTGAGCGCTGCATTCGTGGACGCAAATGAGGAGGCTGTCTCTTTGATCTCGTGGATCTCGAGCTCGATCTGCCGCCGGGCACGTTCGGCCTAAAATTTTTTTGTTGTGACGATCAACGGTATTTGCTATCAGTTTGTTAAACATAATTTGTCGAAATTTCAGCCCAAAATAGTGTAAAATATATAAAAAAATTACAAAATTTCGCCAACCTTTTAATCTTATAAACATTGTTAATTATTTTGTCATGTTTCCCGGCTAAGGCCTAAGCTTAAGCCTAAACCTAAGCCTAACCTAAGCCTAAGCCTAAGCCTAATCCTAAGCTCAGCATAAACCTAAGCCTAAGCCTAAGCCTAAGCCTAAGCCTAAGCCTAAGCCTAAGCCTAAGTCCAAGCCTAAGCCTAAGCATGAGCCTAAGCCCAGCTTAAGCCTAAGCCCAGCTTAAGCCTAAGCCCAGCTTCAGCCTAAGCTTAACGCTAAATTCAAGCCTCAGTCCAAGCCTCAGCGTAAGCCTAAGCTAAGCCTGAGAAGCCGAAGTCTATGTCGTAGCGTAGGCATAAGTCTAAGCCCAGGCCTAAGCCTACGCCCAACCCAAGCATGTCCTCTTCCTCAACAATACCCTCTGCTACTCACCCCCTCATATGCGTTGACGAGGTCTTCCTTCTCAGCTTGCAAGATCTGCGCCCTCCGCTCCGCGATGTGCGCCTATATGCAAATTAGGCTCATTTCCGGGCTCCCATTGCCTACCGTATCCTTGAGCTCCTCGCGCACCCGCTGCTCCTCGTCCATCTGCACCTGCATGTCCTTCACCGTCTCCCCGTAGCGCTTGATCGTCTTCTGCGCGTCGGCGTTTGCCTGAACGTTTCGAGTGGGTTTACCATTAATTCGGCATACCTTGTTCGCATGGTCGAGCGCCACCTCGAGCTCGTTGATGTCCGTCTCGAGCTTCTTCTTTGTGCGCAGCAGCTCGGTGCGGCCTGGAAATTTGTTAAAAAATATCTTTAAAAAATTTGAAATGGACATTTTGCTGTTTTTGTAAGCTTTGTAATGAATCTCTGAAATTTTTAGAAACACAAACGATAATTAGCAAAATCCTATCGGTGATTTTTATAAAACGCATAAACTACAGTACCCCGGCTCTCCGTCTCCAGGCTCGCCTGCATCGACTCGAGGGCACGCGCGTGGTTTTTGCGCGTGTTTTCGAATTCCTCTTCCTGAAAAAAATGGCTTGAACTCCACAATGGGCTTTGTAGCTTTCTCTCTCGCTCTCTCGCTCTCTCTCTCACCTTCTCTTGCAGCCGCTTCTCGATCTCGTTGCGCACTTGGCTGAGCTCGACCTGGGCGCGGATCACCTAAAATAAGTGGTTTTCAGGGGAATGACAGCCCACCTTGTTCTCCTCGGCCTCGAGCGCCGTCTCGGCTTCATCAAGGGCCTGCTGAAGCTCGTCCTTCTCCACCTCGAGCCTGAAAATCGCGAGTTGGACGAGCAGAGATTGTTGAGGAAGAGGAGAGGGCAGGCTAGCAGAGATTGTTGAGGAAGAGGAGAGGGCAGGCTAGCAGAGATTGTTGAGGAAGAGGAGAGGGCAGGCTAGCAGAGATTGTTGAGGAAGAGGAGAGGGCATGCTAGCAGAGATTGTTGAAGAAGAGGAGAGGGGCAGGCTAGCAGAGATTGTTGAGGAAGAGGAGAGGGGCAGGCTAGCAGAGATTGTTGAGGAAGAGGAGAGGGCAGGCTAGCAGAGATTGTTGAGGAAGAGGAGAGGGCAGGCTAGCAGAGATTGTTGAGGAAGAGGAGAGGGCATGCTAGCAGAGATTGTTGAAGAAGAGGAGAGGGCAGGCTAGCAGAGATTGTTGAGGAAGAGGAGAGGGCAGGCTAGCAGAGATTGTTGAGGAAGAGGAGAGGGGCAGGCTAGCAGAGATTGTTGAGGAAGAGGAGAGGGCAGGCTAGCAGAGATTGTTGAGGAAGAGGAGAGGGCAGGCTAGCAGAGATTGTTGAGGAAGAGGAGAGGGCAGGCTAGCAGAGATTGTTGAAGAAGAGGAGAGGGCAGGCTAGCAGAGATTGTTGAGGAAGAGGAGAGGGCAGGCTAGCAGAGATCATTGGTGAGTCATACCTCCTGCGAATCTTCTGCAGATCATGTACACTCTTTCCACCCTCTCCGAGCTGGTCGGCAATGTCCTTCAGCTCCTGGGCCATACCCTTGTTCTCACGGCGCACGGCGTCCACCTGAAATAAGCGAAAATCACGATGATTCAGCTAACGAATGGCACCTGCTCATTGGCCTCCTCGAGCTGGCTCTTCAGCCGGAACACCTCGGTGCTGGCGTTCCTGTGGTCCCGTTGGGCCGAGTCGAGCTCGTGAACGAGGACATCACACTTCCGCTTCCACTCGTCGATCACCTGACATGGCTCAATTTTTGGCAGAGGCGGGTAAGCCACCTTATCGAAGCCCTTTTGCTTCTTCTCCAGCGAACTGGCGATGGAGTTGGCGCGGTCAGCGTCGACCTGGGCGTCTTCGAGTTCCTGGGTGAGGCGTTGGCGCACTTTTTCGAGGGTGGAGATCTGGAAGGGAAAGGTAGAGAGCGAGCCTGAGCTTAAGTCTAAGCATAAGACAAAGCCTAAGCCTACCTTCTGCTGATGCGATTCGACGGATTCCTGCATCTCGTTGAGCTTCGACTGGAGGCGACGACTAAAACGACCCATAAGACCAATATGCAGATGTTTTCAGCTAGCAGAGGTCATTTGCCGAGTCTCCCGATCCAAAAAACCGACCGTGCCTCCTCGAGCTCCTCGGCGCGGTTCATGCCCTCGCCCTCGTAGCGGGCACGCCATTGCTGCGCTTCGGCGTTGGCCTGGAAATTCAAGACGTTTAAAGGCACTGGAAAGGCAAGAATATAGTCAAAGCCAGTTCTATGTTGAGACGAAAACTAATCTTGATCATGAGCCCAAGCCAAGCCTACGCCTAAGCCTAAGCCTAAGCCTAAGCCTAAGCCTAAGCCTAAGCCTAAGCCTAAGCCTAAGCCTAAGCCTAAGCCTAAGCCTAAGCCTAAGCCTAAGCCTAAGCCTAAGCATAAGCATAAGCATAAGCATAAGCCTAAGCCTAAGCCTAAGCCTAAGCCTAAGCCTAAGCCTAAGCCTAAGCCTAAGCCTAAGCCTAAGCCTAAGCGTAAACCCATGCCTAAGACCCGAAACCCAACCTTTGAAATGAGTCTCTGCAGCTCGGTCTTCCCGTCTTGCTCCTCCTCGAGCGCCTCGCGTAGTTGCTGGCACTCCAGCTGGTAGTTCGACGCCTAATTTGCAACAAGTAAAAAATTTAACCGATTTCCACCTGAATATGCGCTTGTTGGCGCTCACGGGCCTCCTGCTCAAGCTGGCGCTTCAGCTCCTCCAGCTGGCTGTTCAACTGCGACTTGATGCGGTTGAGCTGGGAGAGCTGCGACTCGGCATCTTCGAGTTGTCTGCAAAAAACGAGGGTAGGCTAGCAGGGATCCTTGAGGACTTACCGGTTCAAATCGGTGTTCTCGGTGTGGAGTCTCGACTTTTGCGACTGCAGCTCTTGGTTGGTGCGCTGCAATGGGTCCGATTTTCGAAGATGGGGCGAAGCCTGACCTGTTGCTCATCGCTGCGGAGCTGCAGCTCGGTTAGCTGCGCCTCCAGCTGCTTGGCGAGCCGCTCGGCGTTCTGGCGGTGTTTGCCCTCGACGTCGACTTGGTTCTGCAGCTCTTCGGCTTCCCTAAATTTGAAAATGTTGACGAATCCACAACAATCTCTGCTAGCCTGCCCTCTCCTCTTCCTCAACAATCTCTGCTAGCCTGCCCTCTCCTCTTCCTCAACAATCTCTGCTAGCCTGCCCTCTCCTCTTCCTCAACAATCTCTGCTAGCCTGCCCTCTCCTCTTCCTCAACAATCTCTGCTAGCCACCCACCTATGAATCTGTGCCTTGTCCTTCTCGAGCTTGGCCCTGCTCTTTTGCAGCGTCTCGAGCTGTTCGGTGAGTTCAGCCACAGCGTCCTGGTGCTTCTTCCTGAGCCCGGCCATTGCCTGCTCCTGCACGAGGCTCGCCTCCTCGACGTCGTGCCTCAATTTCTAGAAAATTCGATCAGGGATTCGATTTACCCGACCTGCAGCTCGGCCTCCCTCTTCTTGTTGAGCTCCATCTGGGCCTGGGTGTTTCCTCCAGCCTCGTCGAGACGGTCGCCCAGCTCCTCGAGCTCTTGTTGCATATCGGCGCGGGCGCGCTCGGCCTTGGCGCGGGCGTTGCGTTCGGCTTCCAGCTCCTCCTCGAGCTCCTGGATTCGGGCGAGCAGCTCCTTGATCTGCTTCTGGAGCTTGTTAACCTGAAAAAACAGGGTTGGCGAGAAAGAGAGCGAGAGAGAGAGAGCGGGATCCTCACCAAGCTCTGCTCGTCCTCCAGTCGGTTCGTAATGTTGTGAATCTCGACGTCCTTCTTCTTCATGGCGGCCTCCTGCTCATGACGAAGGCGGGTCAGCTCCTCGATCGTCTCTTGGGCCATCTAGAAGGACATTTTGGGTTTTCCGCACTCCCAAATTCCCTCTGCTAGCCTGCCCACTTCTCTTCATACCTTGAATTCGCCCTCCAGCTTTCGGCGCTGCTTCTCGATGTCCTGGCGGTGGCGGCGCTCACTAAAACATTAATAAAATAGTAGTCGTTCCAAAAATTCGTTCAGATGGCGAAGTTAAGCCTAAGCCTAAGCCTAAGCTTAAGCCTAAGCTGAAGCCTAAGCCTAAGCCTAAGCTTAAGCCTAAGCTGAAGCCTAAGCCTAAGCCTTGCCCCAAACCAAAGCCAAAGCCTAAGCCTAACCTAAACCTAGGCCGCAGCCTAACGATAAGCCGAAGCCGAAGCCTAAGCCTAGGCCTAAGCCTAGCCCTAGGACGAAGCCGAAGCCAAACCTAAGCAAAGTCTAGTCCCTAAACCGAAGCTTAAGCCTAAGCCTAAGCCATGCCTAAGCCTAAGCTTAAGCCTAAGCCCAACCGAAGCTATCCCTAAACCGTACCGCTCCAAATTGTCCTCCAGCTCATCGAGTGCGCTCTCCAGCTTGCTCTTGGTCTTGTTGAGGTGGTTGACCTTGTCCTCCTCGGCCTGGATGTCCTCCAGCAGCTTCCGGTTCACCTAGAGGGTCAGAGTCGGCGGGGTCAGAAGGTCGCGTACCTCCTCCTGGTGCTTCCGCTCCTTCGTGATCTTGGCAATGACCTCGTCCTGGCTGGCAATGTCGTCTTGAAGGGAGCGTATCTGGTGGTCTTTGGCTTGCTTTTCCGTTTCCTAAAATTTGGTAGAAGATTTTAGGAAGCGTACAAAGTATCCTACAGTAGCTTGGTGTAGCCATGAAAACCAAAAATTCTGATCATCTCCCACCTGCTTTTTGATGGTCGTCTCCAGGTCCTGGACGTTCTTTTTCAGATTGTCGTTGTCGCCTTCGACCTGGAAATTGTAATATTAGGTAGCCTAAGCTTAAGCATAAGCCTAAGCCTTCGCCTAACCCTAAGCTAAGCCTAGAGTCAAGCCGAAGCCCATGCCCACCTTCTTCTTCGTCTTTTGCAACGCATTGTACTTGTCCTCCTGGTCAGCTAGCTGGTCGTTCAGGTCGGCGTTCTGAAAGTTGGAGATGGCGAGAGAAAAAAAAGAGGGAGAGAGAGAGAGAGATCCACCTTCTTCTCCAAATCTGCCTTGAGGGCCAGCAACTTTGCCGAGCGCTCCTCCCCTTCAGCCGAGGTGTCGCGCTCCTGCTCGAGCTGCATGGCCAAGGCCTGTTTCTCGCTTTGCATACGCGCCAGATCGGCTTCGAGATCTTTGCGGGAGCGCTCCTCCTTGGCGTAGCTTTCCTCCAGCTCCTTGCATCTGAAAAAATTTAAAGTTTCGGTAAAGTCTATGCTAGCCTGTCCTCTCCTCTTCCTCAACAATCTCTGCTAGCCTGCCCTCTCCTCTTCCTCAACGATCTCTGCTAGCCTGCCCTCTCCTCTTCCTCAACAATCTCTGCTAGCCTGCCCTCTCCTCTTCCTCAACAATCTCTGCTAGCCTGCCCTCTCCTCTTCCTCAACAATCTCTGCTAGCCTGCCCCTCTCCTCTTCCTCAACAATCTCTGCTAGCCTGCCCTCTCCTCTTCCTCAACAATCTCTGCTAGCCTGCCCTCTCCTCTTCCTCAACAATCTCTGCTAGCCTGCCCTCTCCTCTTCCTCAACAATCTCTGCTAGCCTGCCCTCTCCTCTTCCTCAACAATCCTCTGCTAGCCTGCCCTCTCCTCTTCCTCAACAATCTCTGCTAGCCTGCCCTCTCCTCTTCCTCAACAATCTCTGCTAGCCTGCCCCTCTCCTCTTCCTCAACAATCTCTGCTAGCCTGCCCTCTCCTCTTCCTCAACAATCTCTGCCAGCCTGCCCTCTCCTCTTCCTCAACAATCTCTGCTAGCCTGCCCTCTCCTCTTCCTCAACAATCTCTGCTAGCCTGCCCTCTCCTCTTCCTCAACAATCTCTGCTAGCCTGCCCTCTCCTCTTCCTCAACAATCTCTGCTAGCCTGCCCTTTCCTCTTCCTCAACAATCTCTGCTAGCCTGCCCTCTCCTCTTCCTCAACAATCTCTGCTAGCCTGCCCTCTCCTCTTCCTCAACAATCTCTGCTAGCCTCCCCTCTCCCCTCAACATCTCTGCTATCCCTACCTCTTCTCGAGCGCCTCGAACTCCTCGTCCTTCTTGTTGCCCTTGATCAGCGGCTTGACGCGGGAGAACAGCGAGAACCACTTCCAACTGCGCAGCGTGCACCAGGCGCGCACATTGCGCTGCACGACGATGAGTCCGACCCTGAAAAATGGTTGTATCAAGCCTAAGCGTAATCCTGAGCCTAAGCCTAAGCTTAAGCCCAGGCCTTCCAAGCCACCAACTTCTGATCGAGCTTCCGCTTGTATTCGCATTGGGCCAAATAGTGCCGGCAGGCACACTGGAACTTGGTCATGATGACGCTCAGCGCCTCGTCGCGCAGCTCTTCCAGGTGGGCCAGCACGCCCGCCTTGAAGAACACCTAAAAAGACAAATTAGAGGGGCATATCCCACGCATTACTCTAAGCTTTACGCCCCGACTTCTAGCCGTACAAGAACGTCTCTGATAGAGCCAGTTTTCTGGATTTTGCCGGTGTTTCCGTAGCATTCCCGGTACGTGCAGGCCACCGGCTTGTAGCGCCAGAAATTCTACATCGAATGGGGCTCCATTAAAGGCTACAATTTTTGACTAAGATCTTAAAAAGCAGCCAACAAATGGGGTATTCGTTTTATGCAACATAACTGGGGGATTTTCACGCGCAAGCTTTGGATGGAAAAACCGGAAGTTAGGATGACTTTTGACGACGCTGAAGCCTAAGCCAAAGCCTAACAAAAGCCAAAGCGAAACCGAAGCTTAAGCTATTTCGAAGCCTAAACCTGAGCACACGCTTAAACCTAAGCCTAGGGCCAAGCCTAAACTTAGCCTCGGCCCAAGCCTGAGCCTAAGCCCAAGCCTAGGCCTAAGCCTAAGCTGCATCAAAGCCTAAGCTTAAGCCAAGTCCAAGTCTAAGCCTAAGCCTAGGGCTAGGCCAGGGTCTAGACATAAGCTTACGCTTCCTCGAGCGAGAGAGGGAGAGAGAGCGAGAGAGAGAGAGAAAGAGAGAGAGAGGGAGAGAGACAGAGGGAGGGAGCGAGAGAGACAGAAAGACAGCGAGAGAGAGAGAGAGAGAGAGGGAGAGAGAGAGTGTGCGACAAACCTTCGTCTGGCCAAGCTGGAACTCCTCCGGCTTGAGGGACCCCTTCTTGAGCAGCTCCTCGCTGATGCCCTTCCCAGCAGCGACGTCATCAAGCGCATTCTTGGCCGCGTCAGCGGCAAGGATGGCGTATCTGCAAGGCACGCGAACTGAGGAGGAAGCGGTAAACTTATTTTATTCTTTGACCATAGTTTTTGTATATAATCGTTAGTTAAACCATGCGATTCATTCGGGGATCGATAAAATGCATGCAAAGGGAGTCGGCGACGATATTCATCCTTTAAAGGGTGCCTAGCAGAGACAATATGCGGAATTGCGGGCCCCTTGGCAGCCTCCGCCCGGCGGAGGCTAGCACAGACAATTTGAGGAAAGTTAGAACCTTTGTCTGCCCGATCCGGTAGTCCTCAAGTCGGATCCGGCCTCCTTCGGCCGCCACTCGGGCCATCAACCGCTCGCCGGCGCGCCGCGCGTCCATGTCGGAAGCTTCTAGCGGGGCCAACGGGCCATATCTACAACATGCGACGGACACACGGTGGGTTATGAGGGTCTTTAAAGGGTGTGGCTCTCTCTCGCGCGCTCTCTCTTTCTCTCGCTCGCTCTTTCTCTCTCTCTCTCTCTCGCTCTCTCTGTCTCTCACACCTGGTCTCTCTGTCCACAGAATTACTCTAATAGCTGAAAGTTAACCTGAAGCCTGCCCAAACCTGACAGAGCCGGCGCTCCTCCAAGCCTAGGTCAGCCTAAGCCCAAGCCTAAGCTCAAGCCTAAGCCTAGCGAAGCCTCAGCCTAAGCGAAGCCCAAGCCTAGCTTAAGCCTCAGCCTAAGCAACCTTTCTAAGACAAGCCTAAGCCTAAGCCAAAGCCTATGTCTACGCAATTAGTGTACCGTAACCAGGGCAAACTGTTATCGTTATTTGTGAAATCGGAAATAGTGAGTACGGTTTTTGAAAGATCCTAAACAAATTGACAATTACCTCTGCTTGAAATCGGGGTATGGCATACGGTTGGGGAATCCCTTGCGGCAGATACGGATACCTTCGAGCACACCGTTGCACGTCAGCTGGTTGAGCACCAGATTCGCGTCGATGACGCCTGAAAATGACGTGGAGCGCAGAGGCAGCGAGAGAAAGAGAGGGGGGAGAGGGGGGGGTGAGAGAAAGTGAACTCGCCGAATCCCCTTACCAGCCTTCTTCTGCTCGTTGGGGATGATGCAGCGGATGAAGTGGGGGTGCGTCTGGTGCAGCATGTTCATCAGCTTGTTCAGCGACTCCCTGTACATCATCGAGACCGTTTGGAATGAGGCCGATTTGCCCTGAAAAACGGCGTAGCAGAGATTCTTTAGGAAGAGGAGAGGGAACGCTAGCAGGGATTTTTGAAGAAAAACTAGCCTTCTTCTTCCCAGGCGCGGCCTTCTTGCCGTCCTTCGCCGCGTTGGCGATGTCCTCCTGGGTGTCGTAGTTGGCCCAGAGTTCCCTCATCAGCTCGTTGCCCTTGTTGGCCTTGAGGACGGTGACGGCGGTGTCGTTCAGCGGGTCCTGTAACGGACAGGTTCTCTCTCTCTCTCTCTTCTTTCTCTCTCTCTCGCTCGCCCGCTCACCTTGTTCTTCTCCAGCCACGCCTTGACGTTGTAGCGCACGGTGCCGGCGTAGTGGACGATGGCCAGGTGGGCTTCAGACTACAAAGAAAGATTAGAATTTGCTCTCTGTCTCTGTCTCTCTCGCTCTCTCTCCCTCTCTCTCTCTCTCTCTCTCTATCTCTATCTCTCTCTCTCTCTCTTTGCATTGCACCTGTTTTCCCTTCGGCGGCTTTGGCTTCTGGAAGTTGGGGTGTTTGCCGAGGTGCTGGTCGTTCAGCTTCTGCGCCAAGGTCATGTCGGTGGCCTTCGGGACGATGCACTCCTCGTCAAGCATCGAAATGATGCCGAGAGGCTATAAAAATGGTCTAAAAAATCTCTGAAAACTGACCTTTTCGATCAGCTCGATGCAAGCCTGGAGGTCAAGCCCAAAGTCGATGAATTCCCACTTGATGCCCTCGCTGGAATGTCGCATTTAAAGGCCAGAGAGAGAGAGAGAGAGAGAGAGAGAGTGAGATAGATAGATAGATAGAGAGAGAGGGCGACGCACCGCTGGTACTCCTCCTGCTCGAGGACGAACATGTGATGGTTGAAGAACTGCTGGAGCTTCTCGTTCACAAAGTTGATCCACAGCTGCTCGAAGGAGTTCAGCTGAAACGTGAAATTGCTCTTGCTCAAAAATCCATGCTATGCTGTCCTCTCCTCTTCCTCAACAATCTCTGCTAGCCACCTACATCAAAAATCTCAAATCCAGCGATATCGAGCACTCCGATGAAATGGTCGCGGGCCAGCTCGTGGGCATCCAGGGTTTTGTTGCACCTGAAAAAACGTTAAAAATGACAGTTAGTGATTTTTTGAAATGTGCTCTTTCTTTTTTAGTTCCTTTCAGAGCTAGAGTAACCTCCAACGTCTAGAAAACGTACCGCGTGATAAGCCAGGCGAACATGCGAGCGTATAGCGCCTTGGCCAGGGCCCCAATGGCCCAGTTGACCTGCTCCAAGTTCTGCCCCTTGTTCACCCACTCGGTGCCGACCTGAAGCAAGAGAATGTGACTTTGAAAATTGAAAAACCACTTTTTAATTGCTTCGAACGCATGAACTTTCAGGATATTTTTAGCATTAACAAAGAGCTCCCACCTTGACGCGCGGCTTGAGCAGCGCCTGCACAAACTTTTCAAAGTCGCAGTCGTACAGCTTGCAGGCGAGCTCACCCTCTAAAACATGGAATTTTTGAATGGCCTTTCGGATTAACAAAGCCCGGGCCCTTAGACTTATACAGCCCACCCCTGCCCCCGATAATGCAAAAGAACCAATTCTTGAGCTCACCGCTGCAGTCCTCGACCTCGGCCTGCTCCTCGCGCGGGCGCTGCTTAAATTTCATCTCGCCCATGTGCATCAGGCCTGCAGTCACTGCGAAAAGTTGGTCCTTCTCGGTTTGGGTGAACTTCATAATGTCAAAGGCTTCCTGGAAAAAGTGGAAATGGCAAGCTAGCAGAGATTGTTGAGGAAGAGGAGAGGGCAGGCTAGCAGAGATTGTTGAGGAAGAGGGGAGGGCAGGCTAGCAGAGATTGTTGAGGAAGAGGAGAGGGCAGGCTAGCAGAGATTGTTGAGGAAGAGGAGAGGGCGGGCTAGCAGAGATTGTTGAGTAAGAGGGGAGGGCAGGCTAGCAGAGATTGTTGAGGAAGAGGAGAGGGCAGGCTAGCAGAGATTGTTGAGGAAGAGGAGGGGCAGGCTAGCAGAGATTGTTGAGGAAGAGGAGAGGGCAGGCTAGCAGAGATTGTTGAGGAAGAGGAGAGGGCAGGCTAGCAGAGATTGTTGGGGAAGAGGAGAGGGCGGGCTAGCAGAGATTGTTGAGGAAGAGGGGAGGGCGGGCTAGCAGAGATTGTTGAGGAAGAGGGGAGGGCAGGCTAGCAGAGATTGTTGAGGAAGAGGAGAGGCCAGGCTAGCAGAGATTGTTGAGGAAGAGGAGAGGGCGGGCTAGCAGAGATTGTTGAGGAAGAGGGGAGGGCAGGCTAGCAGAGATTGTTGAGGGAAGAGGAGAGGGCAGGCTAGCAGAGATTGTTGAGGAAGAGGAGGGGGCAGGCTAGCAGAGATTGTTGAGGAAGAGGAGAGGGCAGGCTAGCAGAGATTGTTGGGAAGAGGAGAGGGCAGGCTAGCAGAGATTGTTGAGGAAGAGGAGAGGGCAGGCTAGCAGAGATTGTTGAGGAAGAGGAGAGGGCAGGCTAGCAGAGATTGTTGGGGAAGAGGAGGGCGAGTGAGAAAGCCAAAGAGAGAGCGAAAGAGAGAGTGAGAGAGAGCCAGAAACTCACATCCGTGAGCATCATCTCCTCCTTGTCGTCGACCCCCTCGATGGTCAGCTCGGCCTGGGCGACAAAGTGGTAGTCTTTCAGCGGCCTCTTCAGAAGAAGCTTATCTGAGCAGAACAGACGATCTATGCTATTCCAGAGGTTTTTTAATTACCCCTGGTCCCGGCCACCCCATCGGAGTACAGCTGGTAGAAGATATGGTAACAGCGCTCTCCTGGTGCCTGCTTGATGACGCGCGACTTTTCCAACAAGTCTAAAACAAAATTTTCGATCAGAAAAATTGCCAAATAATCTTTGCTAGCCTGCATGACCCTTGAAGACTCCAAAAACTGACAGTGCTCAATGTCGGCGCCGGCCAGCTTGCCGGCCGTGTTGAAGTGGATGCGGATGAACTTGCCGAAGCGGGATGAGTTGTTGTTGCGCACCGTTTTGGCGTTTCCTAAAAGAACGATTAAGCTATTCTGACATTCTATTTAGCCTACGCCTGGGTGAAGCCTAAGCCTAAGCCTAAGCCTAAGCCTAAGCCTAATCCTGGGCCTTTGCCTTCAACATCCCGTTAAAAGCACCAACCGAACGCCTCCAACACCGGGTTCGTCTGCACGATCTGATCCTCCAGCGACGCGTTTTTCTTGTCCTTGTTTTTCGGGGCGGAGCTGGAATTGGGGTAAATAGCGGAGAGCAAGCTAGCAGGGATTGTTGTGGAATCCAACTGACCTCTGGCTGGCGCCGACGTACGCAAAATAAGAGATGACCTTCTTGGTGTTCTCGGTTTTTCCGGCGCCCGACTCTCCGGTGATTAGCATCGACTGGTTTTCGCGATCTGAAGTGGTACTTTTCCTCAACAATCTCTGCTAGCCTGCCCTCTCCTCTTCCTCAACAATCTCTGCTAGCCTGCCCTCTCCTCTTCCTCAACAATCTCTGCTAGCCTGCCCTCTCCTCTTCCTCAACAATCTCTGCTAGCCTGCCCTCTCCTCTTCCTCAACAATCTCTGCTAGCCTGCCCTACCGTTTGTCATATTGCGATAGGCCTCGTCGGACACGGCAAAGAGATGGGGTGGCATCTCGTTCCTCCGCTTTCCAATGTACATCTTGCACACCGACTCCGAGTAGATGGGCAGCCGCTTGTACGGGTTGATGACGACGCAGAAGAGGCCGGAGTAGGTCTTGAAAATGGCTGGTTCAAGGTTCATTTGAATTTGTTTACATAGATCATCATGGCATAATAGCGCTGGCGCAGGTTGTTCAGTACCGACGCGTCGTTGAGGAACGTCAGGTTGGCCATGTCCTCTGGAAAACGGAAAGTCTCTCCTCTCTTTCTCTCTCTCTCTCTCTCTCTCTCTCTCTCTCTCTCTCTCTCTCTCTCTCTGGCAAAACTCACCGGTCTTCTCGTATTTCGGCGGGTTCATCTGCTGAATATCGTCCTTCTTCAGCGTCTTCTGAAATTGATACTTAGGCTTAGCTTAGGCTTAGCTTAGGTTTAGCTTAGGCTTAGCTTAGGCTTAGGTTAGGCCTAGCTTAAGCTTAGCTTAGCTTAGGCTGAGTCTCAGCTTGGGCTTAGGCTCCGCTTAGGATTGGCTTAGGCTTGCCTATTGTCATCAAATAACCCAAAATTCCGACCTCGGCCCCGTTGGCCGTGACGACGGTGAGGATGTCGCCCTTCGTCGCCTTGATCTCGGCGGTGATGAACCTGCAACAAAGTTGGGCTACAAGGTCCCAGAATTTTGTAGTTTGTAGTCATAATTAGGAAAAAATCGCGGACCCCTCCTCGGCGTCGGCAATCCACACATTCTTCTTCGAGTCGAATTTCTTCGTCGACGCGGCCAACGCCTGAAAAAAGTTGATTTAGGCCATTAAAAACGCGTCACTACAAAAATACGATTACTACGGTACAGTACGAGACGCTACGACGCGATAATCGCGTTTTTGACGAAGACAAGGCGTCCCAAAAGAAGACCCCTCTAGCGGTCCGATTTTCACGATTTAGGTATCTATCGAAGGCCCTGGGAAAGGCGAGTCCAGCACGTCGTACGATTTTTTAAAATGATGGATTTTTTTTACTCGATTTTCGGCATTTTTCATGAAAAAGGCACGCTTTTACAAAATGGCTTGTAAAATAGCAGGTTTGAATCAAACATAGTTTTGAAAAAAATAGCAAACCCGCCGTTTCAAGAGCTTTCGAATAGTGTAACTACCATTTCGATCCGATACTTCGGAGTCGAGTTAGAGGGGGTGTTTTTTCACGGCTACGGGACTTTACCCCTCCGTCGGAAGGTTTTGGCTATAACTTTTTTGTTTTACGTTAGTGTAGGCTCAAATTCAAACTCAGCGTATATTTTTCGACGTTCTATCGAATGGCATAGCAAAAATCTCGACAAAAATAGCGAAAATACCGAAAACTTCGGCTTTGGGGGGAGGGTGGCGCTAGGTAAACTCTTACTTTATTTTTTGGGGACACCCAGTATTAAAAACTCGTCTCAAAATTGGTACGGTGTGTTACGGTACAGTACGATACGCTACGACGAGACAATTACGTTTTGGGCGGAACGTCTAGATAGAGTGCTGTAAATGAGGTCGAGCCCTACCTGTTCGGCACTCTGGCGCAGGTACTGCCACCCGGGGTCCTGCTCCAACAGTCCGTCGCTCATTTTGGCGGCCGCAACTACTGAACGGGAGGTGGAGATGGCTGTATAAAGGAAGTCTACCAAAACACTCGTTTTCTCAACAATAACTTCTACAGGTTGTGCGGAGTCGGGGGGATCGCGTTGGCGTGGCCTCGGGGGGTAACCCTGAATTTTGTAGTGCAAATTGTCATATACAATCTGGACTGGAACAGGAGAGAAAGAGAGAGAGAGAGAGAGAGCGAGAGAGAGAGAGCGAAAGCGAGAGAGATAGAGGGAGAGAGAGAAGAATCCTAAGCCTAAGCCTAAGAATCTAGAAAAATCAATAATCCCAGACTCGATCCCATCGAAGCCGGTGGAGGATTTATTTATTTTTGGCAGACAGAAATCCTTTTAGCCGAGGCCAACCTCTCCATTCCCACCACCCCAAAACCCATCTATTTGTTGTTGTGGCAGGGGCAGACAAAAAAGAAAACATTTTTGCGGCGAAAATCTTCGAATTGCGAGAGGTGGCTAATTTGTAATTAGGGCAGGCTAGCAGAGATTGTTGAGGAAGGGGAGAGGGCAGGCTAGCAGAGATTGTTGAGGAAGAGGGGAGGGCAGGCTAGCAGAGATTGTTGAGGAAGAGGGGAGGGCAGGCTAGCAGAGTTTGTTGAGGTAAACGAGCACGTATTCCGTGGGTAAACTAGCACAGACTTTTGAGGAAAGCAGAGCAAGCAAGAGCAAGCAAGACGAGATTCTTTAAGGAAATACAGTGTGTGTCAAAACGATAGAGCCATCTCTTTGAACGCTATTATCTCGGCCCTCGTTGAGTTTGACGCCAAGCTAACTAGCAGGTCTTGTGGCGCTCGAAAAGGCGCATTTTTTGATCTACTTGAAGTTTTACAAAAATAGAGCATGCGATTTTTATAAGGCAAAGAACAAATAGAGCCAAAAATCAGAAGTGTCAAAACGATAGAGCCACGCTTTACATATCATTAGCATCAGGTTTGAGCTTGCAAATTACATGCTAATGAACATTCAAAGTGACTTTCCATTTCTGACTTCCGGATTTACCAGGGTGATGTCAATCTGCATAGATTTGAACTTCGTATTGGCAATTAGCATGTAATTTGCAAGCTCAAACCTGATGCTAATGATATGTAAAGCGTGGCTCTATCGTTTTGACACTTCATTTTTTGGGGCTCTATTTGTTCTTTGCCTTATAAAAATCGCATGCTCTATTTTTGTAAAACTTCAAGTAGATCAAAAAATGCGCCTTTTCGAGCGCCACAAGACCTGCTAGTTAGCTTGGCGTCAAACTCAACGAGGGCCGAGATAATAGCGTTCAAAGAGGTGGCTCTATCGTTTTGACACACACTGTAGAAACCCCAGGGCAAGCTAGTAGAGATTATGCGTAAAAGCAAAATTCGGCAAACTAGCGGAGACCATTTGGGAAAATTAATAAAAACTGGTTACTAGGTATTTCTAAACTAAAAAAATCACAATGTCGTCCGATAATGCCAAAGAATCAAAAAAGAAACGATGGAAAACTATGTTCAAACATTTTGCCGAAATTTCAATTCGCTGCAGCGTCAGTTTGCGACATCTTTGAAAGGAAATTCGCGGCAAAAAAGCATTGCATTTTCGACAAAACGATTTTTGACGAAGTGAATTCGAGAAAATGATTTTAGAAACATTTATCCACACCTCGACAAAATGGTTTTCGACAACATTATTTTCGACAAATGGAAATGGCGATAATGGAACTTTTGACGAAATGACCTTCCGACAAATCGAGATCTCGAAAAGCGATGTTTTGACCCAGTGAAAATAAGCCAAAAACCGGTAAAACCCTAATACGATAAATTCCGGACAACTTCAAAGCACCAAAAAATCTCTAGAAAGAATCAGGGGCACCCGGGCGCGGCGCGGGGGTGCGCGGCAAATTTGCCGAAGCCCAGAAGAGCCCGGGCTCTGGAGAAATTTGTCTTGTGAGCTTTCCCCCCCTGGATTTGCACGGCGAGAGAGAGAGAGAGAGAGAGGGCGAGAGAGAGCGAGAGAGATATTTGCCGGGGGATTTCGTCTTCTTCGGGGCCTGGGCCCTGTATTTGAGGGCCCAGTTGAGAGGGGGCACACAGTGGCATCCTCCCGGTCTCTGGGCGGATCTGTAAGCCGGGCCCCGGAAAACAGGAGGGGGGACTAGCAGAGATTGTTGAGGCAGAGGAGAGGGCAGGCTAGCAGAGATTGTTGAGGAAGAGGATAGGGCAGGCTAGCAGAGATTGTTGAGGAAGAGGAGAGGGCAGGCTAGCAGAGATTGTTGAGGAAGAGGAGAGGGCAGGCTAGCAGAGATTGTTTAGGAAGAGGAGAGGGCAGGCTAGCAGAGATTGTTGAGGAAGAGGAGAGGGCAGGCTAGCAGAGATTGTTGAGGAAGAGGAGAGAGCAGGCTAGCAGAGATTGTTGAGGAAGAGGAGAGGGCAGGCTAGCAGAGATTGTTGAGGAAGAGGAGAGGGCAGGCTAGCAGAGATTGTTGAGGGAAGAGGAGAGGGGCAGGCTAGCAGAGATTGTTGAGGAAGAGGAGAGGGCAGGCTAGCAGAGATTGTTGAGGAAGAGGAGAGGGCAGGCTAGCAGAGATTGTTGAGGAAGAGGGGAGGGCAGGCTAGCAGAGATTGTTGAGGAAGAGGAGAGGGCAGGCTAGCAGAGATTGTTGAGGAAGAGGAGAGAGCAGGCTAGCAGAGATTGTTGAGGAAGAGGAGAGGGCAGGCTAGCAGAGATTGTTGGGAAGAGGAGAGGGCAGGCTAGCAGAGATTGTTGAGGAAGAGGAGAGGGCAGGCTAGCAGAGATTGTTGAGGAAGAGGAGAGGGCAGGCTAGCAGAGATTGTTGAGGAAGAGGAGAGGGCAGGCTAGCAGAGATTGTTGAGGAAGAGGAGAGGGCAGGCTAGCTAGAGATTGTTGAGGAAGAGGAGAGGGCAGGCTAGCAGAGATTGTTGAGGAAGAGGAGAGAGCAGGCTAGCAGAGATTGTTGAGGAAGAGGAGAGGGCAGGCTAGCAGGGACTGTTAAAGAAGCGCGATTCTATATTTCCGAGGAATTCGGGGGTCAAATATCGACTTCCCGGGTCGGGATAAACCCGAAAAAATCCATTTCAGCCTGGACGGCAGGAGGAGTGTTCCGGAATCTGCCCACTTCTGCTCGATTGTCAGGTGACTGTAAGAACCGGGACGGGGAGGGGGGATTGAGTCAACAAATCCCATCTCATCCACCCCCACACCTCGTTTCTTTGCGCCCCGGCTCTCTTGGCCTCAAAGACTCTCTGCTAGCCTGCCCGCTCCCTCTCTCGGTCATTTTTGATCGGCTGGGTTTTGGTGATTCATTGGGGTTGAGTTGATTGTTCAATAGGAACATGAAGAAAGAAAATGGCGTAAGGGCTGGCTAGCAGAGACTAATCACCCACTTTCCATGCCCCGTGAAACCTCTAGCATGCTAAAATGCGCGCTGATTACGGTAATGGTCAGCGGTGAGGCTCCACTCGACTCCCTGCTGCCCGCCCTGGGGGTAAACATTCCGCCCCACCACTCCTCGGGGCACCAAAAAAAAATTCTTGGAAATAGCAAACAGACTAGCCGGACGAGATTCCCGGAAGCCGGCTGGTTGATCTAGGGGAAGGAAAAAATCATTTTAGCATAAAAAGTTGAAAAACCTCTGCTAGCCCGTCCTCTCCTATTCCTCAGCAATATCTGTTAGCCTGCCCTCTCCTCTTCCTCAACAATCTCTGCTAGCCTGCCCTCTCCTCTTCCTCAACAATCTATGCTAACCTGCCCTCTCCTCTTCCTCAACAATCTCTGCTAGCCTGCCCTCTCCTCTTCCTCAACAATCTCTGCTAGCCTGCCCTCCTCTCTCTTCCTCAACAATCTCTGCTAGCCTGCCCTCTCCTCTTCCTCAACAATCTCTGCTAGCCTGCTCTCCTCTTCCCTCAACAATCTATGCTAACCTGCCCTCTCCTCTTCCTCAACAATCTCTGCTAGCCCTGCCCTCTCCTCTTCCTCAACAATCTCTGCTAGCCTGCCTCTCTCCTCTTCCTCAACAATCTCTGCTAGCCTGCCCTCTCCCTCTTCCTCAACAATCTCTGCTAGCCTGCCCCTCTCCTCTTCCTCAACAATCTCTGCTAGCCTGCCCTCTCCTCTTCCTCAACAATCTCTGTAGCCTGCCCTCTCCTCTTCCTCAACAATCTCTGCTAGCCTGCCCTCTCCTCTTCCTCAACAATCTCTGCTAGCCACCCCTATAGGCTGAAATTTCCTCAAAAATCACCGCAAGCTTGCCCGACGTTTGACCGGATACTTGAATTTCCGCCAAGCCCTGTTAACATGCCAGAGCTACGTAGCCCTACTTAGCGCTGAATTCCTCAAAAACCTCTGCTAGACTACCCTGGCCCTGCATTTTCTAAGCTTTCTCACACGCTCTCTGCTCGGTTGCCTGGAGCCCGGAATTCTTCCCGACAAATCCCGGCTAGCAGACCTTTTTTTTAAGCTCCAACTATGTCGCTTGTAGTTTGTTGTTTGTAGTTTTCTGATTGCGAATCCGTATACTTAATTCAGACTTGGTCATTATTTATTCAGTGTATCGACGCATTCAATAGAGGTTTCTTTAGCTTCCATCGATTTTCCTCGATTCCATTTTGCTCCGCTCGGCCGGCCGTGATCTGTAACAAATCTTTTCAGTTTTAACAGATGACAAGGGCCACGTAAAACTGAGCAGATTTCTTACCGTAGCTCGGGGATACAATCCCGAATTTGCCGAGTTTCGGGGCTCCAGCTGCAGTACGCCCCAAATTACATTTTCCGTATGCCGCAGGTTTTTGTAGTCACATCCTAAAAATGGGCGTTAGTTTTGATCGAGTGTAATTCGCTTTTTTGGATATGATACGCTACGATGCACTACTCTACCGTAGTAGGGGCAAAGTACGACATGCTACGATAAGATGAGATACGATGCTTTACGCTACGACCCAGTACAACCTTATGGTACCGTACGATACGGTACCATACGCTTGGATACGTTCCAGTACGCTGTACGTTACGTTACGTCGGTATTGGATAGATACTTTATGCTACGATAGGATGCTGTATGCTACGTTACTGTACGTTACGGTACGCTACGCCGCGATACGAACCGACACCACACTCCAGTACGCTACGTAGCGCTACGTACGAAACACTACGGTATGATTGAACAGGGTACTGTATACACGACGACGTCACTGTGCTCTACTGATGATCTCTGATCTGACTGATCTCTCTGTCACGTTATTGGGCACTACGCTTCGCTATATTCCTGTACGCTACGTTACGCTACGATACGATACTCCCGGTACGCTACGTCGCCCTTGGCTACGGTACGCTTCGGTAAGATACACAAAAAATTATAAAACGCACCTTGTAAGCATGGGTTTAAAGAATAGCATAGTGTGTCGTCGTACTGTATCGGAATCCAGGGTGTCGATAGTATTGCCCGGAACCCCAGCTGACCAGCTAGCTGAAGGTCCCTTGAGCCGCTATTTATGTGCCCTGGGGGCACAGCGAATCTGTCAGCCACACGTCAGAATGGGGCTAGTGGACAGACGGACAGACGGACCGAGAAATGGACAGACGGACAGCGGGAGAGGCGTACAAACAACACCAATTGACAGCTCAGGGCGGGTAGCTGACACCCGCGCCGCCCCGACGGTAAATACCGTAGCGCACGAAAGGGGGTTGGGAAATTCCGCAAATGGTCTCTGCTACGTTGCCACAGGGCAGGCTAGCAGAGGCCGTTTGGGGAATTGTGGTTACAGAAGCCGAAAATAGCATCGCCGTGTCTTGCCTGCAAAAAATGGTTCTGGCATTTTCAGGGGGGTAAACATTTTTTCTCAGAACCAATTCTGGAAATATAAAAAGCGAAAGCGTTTCTAAAGTAATTTTCACTATTCATCAACATCGAATTTTTACTGATTTTCAGCAAAAATGCAAAAATATCGATTTTTCGAACAAAACGGACGTTTTTGAGCGAAATTTCGACTTTTTACAATGCTTTCTAGCTGAAACATGGTTTTATTTTACTAGCAATATTCTTAAAATACTCTCTATTCAATTAATTGGCATTTCTATAGGTAGCAAGGGCAAGCCAGCCGAGGTTTTTGAGGACATGCAGCAGTAAGGGCAGGTTAGCCGAGACAATTTGAGGAATTTGCAGGCCCCGGCAAGGCTAGCCGAGACGTTTTGAGAAAAGGCAGCAGCTAGGGCAGACCAGGAGAGGTTCATGGGGAAGCCCGTGGCCAGGGCAGGGTAGCAGAGATAATTTGCGGGGGTTGCACACTTTATTCATACAGCGGCACACAGTGAAAACACACACGATCCGCGAGAGCGAGAGAAAAACGGGGGATGGGGGGAGAGGGAGAGAGATAGAGAGGGAGAGTGAGAGAGAGGGGGGAATCGAAGGGGCAGAGATGCACAGGGCAAAAATTTGCATACAGAACGGGAATACCTCGAAAGAGGGGGCGTGGCCATTTTAAAGGGACGATGAAGGCGAAATTCACCCAGAAAGTTTGACTTTTAGCTTCTAAAGCCTAATTTTTCGTTATTTGGCTCATTTTTGCCTTCAATGGCCCTTTAAAACGACTCCAAAAAACATCTGAGTGATTTTACAGGGCCATTGAAGGCAAAAATGGGTGAAATCTGCACGGATTATCCCGGAAAATTGCTTTAGAATTTACATTACGTGAAGATTTGCGGAAATTCAGAATTTACAGAATCAACAGGGACCAAGCATTTTTGCCTTCAACGCCCCTTTAAAATGGCCATAGAAAAAAAGAGGAGGGGGAAATGCTTGTTGGAGTCGTCGTGATGCGGAGCGGTTAGGCCGAGTTGGAGTCGTCGGAGCGCTGAAAAAGGGACTGTCCGCTTGCTCAAACCCCCCGCTAACAGCCTAGTACCTAAAAAATTAGACAGACGATAGGACGCGATAACGAAAGCGTTTTAAAATTTGCAAAAAATGCAAATTAGGCGGCAGCAACCTTGGATGCCTGCGAGTCCTTGGTGGGCGAGATCGGCTCCTCGTCGTCGTCGTCGGGGAACCCGCCGACGTACACGTAGCAGCAGGCTGCAAAATCGAGATGTAAATTGTCGAAAGCCACGCGTTTTAAAGGGATCGAGAAGGCAAAAAATTCAACAAATCGACTGACCCTGCAGGGCGTAGATGAGCCATACGACGACGATGATGCCGCCGTAGACGAACATCTCCACCATCGGCATGCCCTAGATATTTTGGTTTGGGCCAGGCTAGCAGAGATTGTTGAGGAAGAGGAGAGGGCAGGCTAGCAGAGATTGTTGAGGAAGAGGAGAGGGCAGGCTAGCAGAGATTGTTGAGGAAGAGGAGAGGGCAGGCTAGCAGAGATTGTTGAGGAAGAGGAGAGGGCAGGCTAGCAGAGATTGTTGAGGAAGAGGAGAGGGCAGGCTAGCAGAGATTGTTGAGGAAGAGGAGAGGGCAGGCCAGCAGAGATTGTTGAGGAAGAGGAGGGGCCGCAGTGGCGTTTTTCTTTCCACCATACCTTCATGGGGTTGACCATGGACAGGATCATCTCCGTCAAGTTTCCAAACGACACCGTCAACGTCCAGACGGCCTGCATGACACTCTTCATCAGCGGGTGGCTCTGCGAGTAGGCGAACTCCAAGCCGGTGATGGACAGGAAAATCTGAGGCAATTTTTCATCAAAAGTTTTGCCGCCCACCTCGCCCAGGAGATGATGAAGAGCTGCGGCAGCTGGAAGAGTACGTGCGTCTGGTAGGGCTCAATCTGAAAAAAAATCAAAAAAATTCAAGGGTTTTTTGGATAAATGTATCGCGGGGAGAAGCCCTAAACCGACCACTTGCACCAGCTGGGGCTCGCCGGTAGCCGGTACCCACAAGACGTACACGGCCGCCGCACCATTCTCCAGGGTGACGGTCTTGCACTTCTCGGGGGCGTCTGAAAATGCTGGGAGCTCTCACATGATCTCTGCTAGCTTGTCTTCTCCTCTTCCTCAAAAAACACTGCTAGCCTGCCTACCTGATTTGCAACCATCTCCGACACGCACGTTCCATTCCACCTCATCCCAGATGCGGTGCGTGAAGAGGAACGTGGCGCCGTTTTTCAACTCCCAGTTTGACACCACATTGTCGTCATCGCCCTCTGGCCTGCAAGGAGTTGGTGAAGCCGAATCCCAAGCCTACGCCGAAGCCCAACCCAAGCCTAGCCAAGCCTAAGCCTAAGCCTAAGCCTAAGCCTAACCTAAGCCTAAGCCTCAGCCCAAGCCCAAGGCTAAGTCTAAGCTTAGCCTAAGCTGAGCCTATGCCTAAGCATAAGCATAAGCATAAGCCTAGGCCTAAGCCCAAGCCCAAGCCTAAGCCTAAGCTTAAGCCCAAGTCACTTACGGTGGCCCCCAAATCCTCCATCCCTTCGTGGCGTTGGTGGTGAAGATGACCAGGCGGCTCTGGCCGAGTCCCTGGGCATTCCGCGAGTACTCAAAGTCGACCCAGTGAAGTTTCCTGAACCAAGCAGTTGGGCGTGCTAGCAGAGACTATTTGAGGAAGCCCCGAACGAAACCCACTTCTCGGCTTCATCAAAATGGAACATGGCAGCCACGCTGTCGACGGCTCCCTCGTCGGTGTAGGTCTTCTGCTGCAGCGCGTACCGATCGGGGCCGCCCGATGATGTGTACTCGCCGAACGGGACGGCCAGGAAATTTTCGCGGAGCAGATCTAGAGCAAATGGTCTTTTTAGGAAGCGGCAACCCACACTGCCCGGTTCCGTTGATCGAGTTGAGCGGGATCTCGTTGTGGTTGAGGGAGCGGACGTAGGCATGGTTGGCGGGCGGGAGACCGAGATCGGCGTCGATTTTGATCTGAGGAAAAAGTTTTTCATAGCCTAAGCCTAAGCCTAGCCCAAGTCTAAGCCTAATCGAAGCCTAAGCCCAAGCGAAGCTAAGCCTAAGCCTAATCCTGAACCTAGGGCTAAAAGCCTAAGCCTAAGCCTAGACCTAAGCCTAAGCCTAAACCTGAGCCTAAGCCTAAGTCGAAACCTAAGCCTAAGCCTACGCCGAAGTCCAAGCTCAAGCCTAAGCCCAAGCCCAAGCCTACGCGTGCGTCCTCACCTGCAAGAAGCCAGCCACGAAAAACGAGACGGCCGCCATCAACATGCCGGTGCCCAGCTTGCGCAGCTCGGTCAGGTGCACGCATTTTTCGAGGGCCGGATACAGTCCGTAGCGGCAGATGGGGATCAGCGTCACGATCAGGATCGGGTTGATGACTTGCATCGTCTAGGTGATGATGTGGACCACTCTTGCGACTGCGCTGACCTCGGCACTGATCCAAATCTTGCCGAACATGCGCCCGTTCATGTGGGTGGCCTGCTCGACCCAGGTGGTGCCCTGCTGGTCGTAGAGGAACCAGAAGAAGATCAACGGCCACAGGACGACAACGACAGCCAGGGTGCTCTGGAGAGGAGGGCTAGAGAGTGGCGAGAGAGAGAGATACTACCTTCACGGCCACAATCTGCGTGGGCGAATATTCTGGGGCGGCGCAGTCGAGCCAGCGGTACCGTCGGTTGAACTCATCCGGTTGCTCCGGCTTGGCCGCCTTGGCCGGCTTGGGCAACTCCGCCTTGCTGTGCTTCGATTCGGAGACGCCGGACTTTCCGCGGCGCGACACCTGCGACTTCTGGGACTTTGACTGCGACTTGGACGCGTCGCCGTCGTCGTCCGGCGATTTCGGCTCCGGGGGGTGCTGACTGAACGCGAAGATCGTAGCGTGGGTAACGACTCGCCCGGACAGACGTCGCTTGGCGCCAAGCCAGATGCAGCCGAAGATCTCCTTGAAGATGTTGCGCCCGAGCGGGCGGCGCTTCACGTACCACGCCGAGCCGCAGATAAACAGGACCAAGGCGATGAACATCAACACACCGGGGACACCTGGAGGAGAGGGATCTCGTCAGGTCGGAGCCTAGGCTTGAGTCTATTCCTAAGCCTAAGCCTAATCCTAAGCATAAGCCCAGGCCATACCAAACCAAAAAGGAAAACTATACCAAAAGCCACGGGGTAGCACGTCTTGCCGCCGGCGCAGCGCATGTCGCGGAGCTGCGGCGTCAGGAAGGTGGAGAACAGCGCGCCGGTGTTGATGGCCATGTAGAAGTAGGAGAAGTAAGACCCGCGCAGCTCCTCCGCATCGGCTGGGATCTTAAGTTTGGGGAGTCAGAGCTTGAGCTTAGGCTTAGGCTTTAGGCTTAGGCTTAGGCTTAGGCTTCAGGCGCACCTGGTCAGCGCCAAATGCCGAGACGCACGGCTTGATGCCGCCGGTGCCGAGGGCGATGGTCAGCAGCCCAAGGTAGTCGAGTGTCTGGCGAACGCCTAGAAGCTGCGTCAGTGTACTGCTCGAAGAGTACTTACCCGACCCAAGCGCCGGCCACGCGCCCATCGACAGCAGGGCGTGGCCCAACACGTAGACGATCGACACCACCAGGATCACTTTATATCTAGAAAAGACAGTAGATCAAAAGGGTTTAATTCCGCTACTTTCCAAAATACGAGTCGGCCGCAACGGCGCCGAACACGGGCGTGAAATACGCGATGCAGTTGAAGGCGTGCGAGATGGCGCGGGCGACGCTGAAAATCGGGGTGGGGGCTAGCAGGGAGCATTGAGGAAGCTGAGATCTCAAAAACGCACTGCCCCTCGAGCCCGTGCTCATTCTTGAGGTAGATGTAGAGGAGGGCGCGCATCCCGTAGAAGGAGAAGCGCTCGCAGAACTCATTGCCCAGGATGAACCAGACTTGGCCCGGTAACCTGCGAAAGTATACCTTGAGTCTCAGGGGTTTTAAAGCCAGATTCTAAGCCTAAGCCTAAGCCTAAGCCTAAGCCTAAGCCTAAGCCTCAGCCTAAGCCTAAGCCTAAGCCTAAGCCTAAGCCCAAGCTTGCCCGAGCCTAAGCCAAGCCTAAGCCTAAGCCTAAGCTTTTCAGATTTCCACGAGCTTTTTGGACGAATGAATCAAAAACCGCAATAGTGGAACCCCCTCCCCGGTGCGATCCCAAAAATTAGCATAAACCGACTGTCGAATGACGGAGCAGGCGCCCATGTTGGATGGGCAGTGCGGGCGGGGAATGACAGAATTTTTGTGACTCGACGCCCCGGTATGGGAAAATTGAAATACAGAGAGATGGAGAGTCAGTAGTCATCTATTGTAAGTGGCGCCGCACAATGGAAATTGGCCAGCCTTCGCCTAGGCGTTGGAAGGCCGCCGAAAAAGTTCTGCAAAACTCAAAAGAGCAATTCGAAATGGCAGCCGAAGACGTGTCCTAAGTGTCTGCCCTAAGAAATAGTGCCGAAATTGCGATTGCTGATTTGTGTCGTACGCCCTCCAGGACGACGAAAAGCCACAACAATATTTCGCAAAAAAAATCATCGAAGCCACACCCGGCCCAGTTTTCGTAATGAACTTTTTCCCTAAAATTTTTCATGCACTTTCAGATGCATAGATCAAAACGATTTCGCACGGTTGATTTCTCGCCAAATCAGCCTGCTGCCCTCTCCTCTTCCTCAACAATCCCTGCTAGCCTGCCCTCTTCTCTTCCTCAACAATCTCTGCTAGCCTGCCCTCCTCTTCCTCAACAATCTCTGCTAGCCTGCCCTCCTCTTCCTCAACACCCTCTAGCCTGCCCCTCCCTCTCCTCAACAACTCTGCTAGCCTGCCCCTCCCCCTCAACAATCTCTGCTAGCCTGCCCCTCCTCTTCCTCAACAATCTCTGCAGCCTGCCCCCTCCCTCACAATCTCTGCAGCCTGCCCCCCCTCTTCCTCACAATCTCTGCAGCCGCCCCCCTCTCCTCAACAATCTCTGCGCCTGCCCCCCTCTCCTCAACAATCCTGCAGCCGCCCCTCCTCTCCTCAACACCTGCAGCCGCCCCTCCCTCCTCAACAATCTCTGCTAGCCTGCCCTCTCCCTTCCTCAACAATCTCTGCGCCTGCCCTCTCCCTCCTCAACAATCTCTGCGCCGCCCCCCCTCCTCCACCCTGCTGCCGCCCCCCCTTCCTCACATCTCCTGCCTGCCCCTCCCTTCCTCAACAATCTCTGCTAGCCTGCCCTCTCCTCTTCCTCAACAATCTCTGCTAGCCTGCCCTCTCCTCTTCCTCAACAATCTCTGCTAGCCTGCCCTCTCCTCTTCCTCAACAATCTCTGCTAGCCTGCCCTCTCCTCTTCCTCAACAATCTCTGCTAGCCTGCCCTCTCCTCTTCCTCAACAATCTCTGCTAGCCTGCCCTCTCCTCTTCCTCAACAATCTCTGCTAGCCTGCCCTCTCCTCTTCCTCAACAATCTCTGCTAGCCTGCCCTAACCTCGTGCTCCAAATTTTAAAACATTTTGATAAATTAAAATATCCAGGGGCGTCAAAGGGCGGCAAGGAAGCGGTCGTAAAGATGGGCGGCTGATAAAGGGCGGGGGTCCGGTTAGTCGGGCCGGAAAATATACTCTATACCTCCCCCAAATACCTATATCTGGCTCAAACATTTTTCTATTATTTCCATTTAATAATGCCCAAACTACAAGTGGGGCCCGGAGAAAGTCTTTTTTGGGCCGATCTAGCGGAGGTGCGAGCGAGCGGCCTCGAGCCGTTCATGCTATATCGCCTGGAGCTGAGGTTTGCCTGTAGTTTTTGTATTTGATGTATTTTACTCTAGTAGGTGTATTTCTTGATGTGATATCCTTCTTTTAGTAAACTTTTTGCAGCCTAGAGCACAAGACAAAATTCCGGTCGCTAGCCTACTATTTTTCCGACGAGCACGGGGCGTTGGATTTGGCAAAGGAGGCGCCGGTTTTTGGCATGTATAAAGGTGAAAAAATAACTTTTTTGCTTCTAAAAAATTGGTATTATGGTTCTTTAGCATTATCGGGGGTAATTGATTATGCAAAATAAATTTTAAAATAGAAAATTGGTCAAAAATCGGCCGTTTTCGGTAAAAAATCAATTGTTGTTTTTTTCGTGTTTTTGCATACAAATCCGTAAAATTTGGACGTTTAGAAATAGAAAAACTTTTTAAAGAATCTTCCACTATTTGTATTTGTAAAATTAGATCTTAAGAAAAGGAAGAAAATAGCGAAAAGTTCAAAAATCCACCCCCGCTAACGGACCAGAGCCCTTTAGGAACTCATGCTCAAGGCAAAATCGGTTCTTAACGCTACAAAATCCACTTAGCATCAAAATGTTCGCTTTTAAAGTTCAGGACCGTTTTTAGGCGTCGATAAAATGGGCCTATTCACGGCTCTCTACACCCATCCCGGGGAGCGGCAAACGGCCAAGCTGTTGCTCAATCCACTGCCGGAATTTTTGGAATATACACTCTCGCTGTATCACCGAGAAGAGACGAGGGTTTTGGATACGGTAATCGGGGCAATTTATGGTGAAACCTAGCATTTAGGTAAAGCTCATCCGAAAATTCATACATCCCGGAATCACGCGCGAGCCGATAAAGCATAATAAGCTGGAAGGAGCGCTGTACTACCCAAAAACTCGGGGTGGGCCCTGAAAATTAAAACGTTGGAACCCGACTTTGAAGGCCCCGAAAAATTGCCGTGTATTTTGGACTTGTACGGAGTGGCCATGGGGACAAAGGAGCATCGGTAATGACAAAAATCGAAAAATAAAGTTGAAAGTTTAGGGCGGCAATGCTAGCCGCGCAGGGATATTGCGTATTGGCTTTGGCGATTTTTGGAACCGGAAAATTGAGCAAGAAGCATGAGGACGTCACCTCGGAATATTTGCAGGCAAGCTAGCAAAGATTGTTGAGGAAGAGGAGAGGGCGGGCTAGCAGAAATTGTTGAGGAAGAGGAGAGGGCAGGCTAGCAGAGATTGTTGAGGAAGAGGAGAGGGCAGGCTAGCAGAGATTGTTGAGGAAGAGGAGAGGGCAGGCTAGCAGAGATTGTTGAGGAAGAGGAGAGGGCAGGCTAGCAGAGATTGTTGAGGAAGAGGAGAGGGCAGGCTAGCAGAGATTTTTTCGGTAAATTCCACGATTTTGTGAATTTCCAGCTAGCAGTCGATTTTCTGACCCAACTACCGTACACCCAGAGCCGCTGCGCGGTCGTGGGTACTTCCTTTGGCGGTACCCTCGGCTACCACTTAACGTTCGAAAAACCGGAGGTGAGATAATTCAACTCCAGGGCAGGCTTGCAGGGATTTTTATGGAAAACGCCTTCAGGTAGCCTGCGCCGTGAGCATCAACGGCCAACGCGGACACTACATGGTGTCGCAGATGAACGCCGATGGCGAGAAGCTGCCATGGACCCCGTGGGTCTCAAGCGCTATTCTCAATCATCTCTGCTAGCGTGCCAAAACCCAGATTTTTTTCAGGGTGCTCCCCCACAACCTGCCCAACATTGACCACTACGGCGGGTTCATCTCCTATGGCCGGATGTACGGGTCGTGCGAGCTGGACGAGGAGCACATGCTGCGTTTCGAGAAGCTGCGTCAGGATCAGCATCTGTTGTATATAGTGGGAGCCCGAAAACTTAACGGGACTTTAAAACTTCATATAGGCCGGCGGGCAAGATCGAGCCATCGATGCCCAGGTGCAGGGTCGGGAGATTGAGCGTCTACTGGAAAGTCATGGAGTCGGGAAGCAGTTTGAGTTGCTAGAGCTGCCTGCCTGTGGCCACATCATTGATCCTCCGTATATGCCACTGAATGATTTTTTGTATCAAGGAGGTAGGCAAACTAGAAGAGATTGTTGAGGAAGAGGAGCAGGCAGATTGGCAGAGATTTTTTGGGGGTCACTTGTCAATTTTCCAAGGAAAAATTTCAGGACGCTACATGGCCTTCGGCGGCGATCCATACCCGCATGGCGTGGGACAGCACGTAGCCTGGAAGAAACTCCTTGAATTCTTTGAGAAGCACATTGGTCCTGGGACTTGCATGACCGGCAATAAATTGTGAATTTTTAAAGAAAACAACGTATTTTTGAAGTCCGCAGAAAGGCAGGCTAGCTGAAATTGTTGTGGAATTATGCTGAACCTTCATGTCTCCTTTATACAGATCGCATTATCGCATGCCTATTATCTGGCCGGGCCATCATGTACCGTTTTATCCTAAACACGATCTGGGGTCAGCCGGTTGCATAAAGTAAAGGATTAGCACTCGGCCACCCGCTCCACTTCCTCAACAATCTCTGCTAGCCTGCCCTCTCCTCTTCCTCAACAATCTCTGCTAGCCTGCCCTCTCCTCTTCCTCAACAATCTCTGCTAGCCTGCCCTCTCCTCTTCCTCAACAATCTCTGCTAGCCTGCCCTCTCCTCTTCCTCAACAATCTCTGCTAGCCTGCCCTCTCCTCTTCCTCAACAATCTCTGCTAGCCTGCCCTCTCCTCTTCCTCAACAATCTCCGCTAGCCTGCCCTCTCCTCTTCCTCAACAATCTCTGCTAGCCTGCCCTCTCCTGCCCCACTAATTCCATTTCCGGGACCCCCTTGTTTCTCGGTGCGTCCTTGGCGTTTTTGTTTCAGCCCCCTGAAATTACATGTGAGTGTGAGTGTGGGGGTGGAATACCCCCCACAAAAAAAGGTCCCGAAACGGCCCAGAAAGTGCTCGTTATGGTCAACGGCCAGCTGGAGAGACTCCTCCGGCCCGTTCCAAGCCAAGGGCGAACGCATTTCCGCGTTTTGTAGTGGAACGGTGGTCAGAAGTTTGGGTTAGAGCGAGAGAGAGGGAGAGAGGAGAGAGAGAGAGAGAGAGAGAGAGAGAGGTAAAAGCTCAAAACCGTCATTTTAGCTTCCCCTTTCTCAAATGATCTCTGCTAGCCCGCCGGATTTTAATGCGTCTTTATTGCCAACTCTCGAGGGCGGAAGTAGTAGCGCGCGGACCGTTAAAGTTGGAAAACTGTCTAGCAGGGGAGGGGCGGGGGAGAGGGGGGTGGGGGGAGCCGAGATGGCAGCTTGGGGTGGCCGGTCCATTTCTTTTGGCGTTCCTCTCGTTTCCAATCTACGAACGGGGAGGGGAGGCAACCTCTTTTCTTTTGCTGTTCAACTTCGAGTTTGGTGCCAGCCGCTACGCAATATTCGTAAGAACACCGAAAAACGTGATTTGTTGACGACGGGGTGCTAAAAGCACAATTTCCTAAATGTTCTCTACAAGCCCGCCTCTTGCCGCCATTTCCTAAAGGATCTGTGCTAATCTCTGCTCACGTTTTCTTCAGAATCTATGCTGCACGTTCTCTTTTTTCCTAAAGGTTCCCTGCTAGCCTACCTTGCCCTAACATTTCCAAAAAATTCTATGTTACCTTGCCTCTTCTTTTCTCTTCGTTTCCCAAAAGAGCTCTGCTAGCCCTCCTTGCCGTTAAGTTTTCCCCAAAGAATCTCTGCTAGCCTGCCAAGAACACGCTTCCGAATGAATCCCTGCTCCCCTGCCCTTTCGCTTGGTGATATAGCCCGGTGTGAAAAAGCGGCGGCGAGCAGAGGCCGCTTGCGGAAACCGATACACCACCCCGGACCCGGAATAAATGACCGCTCCCCAGGAGATTGTTTACAGTCGAAATGTGGCAGCTGCGAGGGGACCCGGCGGGCCACGCGAAACATGAAGCCCCGCCCCCTGGCCTACTCACAATGCTTTTTTTTGGACGCTGTCATTTTTAGACTGCTGGACGTGTTTTTTGAGATGGCGGGCTAGCAGAGATTGTTGAAGAAGAGGAGAGGGCAGGCTAGCAGAGATTGTTGAGGAAGAGGAGAGGGCAGGCTAGCAGAGATTGTTGAGGAAGAGGAGAGGGCAGGCTAACAGAGATTGTTGAGGAAGAGGAGAGGGCAGGCTAGCAGAGATTGTTGAGGAAGAGGAGAGGGCAGGCTAACAGAGATTGTTGAGGGAAGAGAAGAGGGCAGGCCTAACAGAGATTGTTGAGGAAGAGGAGAGGGCAGGCTAGCAGAGATTGTTGAGGTAAGAGGAGAGGGCAGGCTAGCAGAGATTGTTGAGGAAGAGGGAGAGGGCAGGCTAGCAGAGATTGTTGAGGAGGAGGAGAGGGCAGGCTAGCAGAGATTGTTGAGGAAGAGGAGAGGGCAGGCTAGCAGAGATTGTTGAGGAAGAGGAGAGGGCAGGCTAGCAGAGATTGTTGAGGAGGAGGAGAGGGGCAGGCTAAGCAGAGATTGTTGAGGAAGAGGAGAGGGCAGGCTAGCAGAGATTGTTGAGGAAGAGGAGAGGGCAGGCTAGCAGAGATTGTTGAGGGAGAGGAGAGGGCAGGCTAGCAGAGATTGTTGAGGAAGAGGAGAGGGCAGGCTAGCAGAGATTGTTGAGGAAGAGGAGAGGGGCAGGCTAGCAGAGATTGTTGAGGAAGAGGAGAGGGCAGGCTAGCAGAGATTGTTGAGGAAGAGGAGAGGGCAGGCTAGCAGAGATTGTTGAGGAAGAGGAGAGGGCAGGCTAGCAGAGATTGTTGAGGAAGAGGAGAGGGCAGGCTAGCAGAGATTGTTGAGGAAGAGGAGAGGGCAGGCTAGCAGAGATTGTTGAGGAAGAGGAGAGGGCACTCTAGCAGAGATTGTTGAGGAAGAGGAGAGGGCAGGCTAGCAGAGATTGTTGAGGAAGATCCGGATTTTTTGATGTTATTTTCCTTTCCTTTGTTCAAAATTCTTCTAAAATCTATATTCCCTTCAGCGAAACGCGCTCGTTCAAATTCAGCGCTTCTCGGCGCGATGGTGCGTGCGGGGGCGTGGGTGGCAGGCGCGGGCGGTGCCCTCTTCGCCGCCCTCTACCTCATCGCCGCCATCCTGCAGCAACCGCTTGGCGACCATCGCATCGAGCAGACGACGAAGGATACGATTCCGCTACACTACACAGGTAAGGTAGGCTCGCTCAAGAAACAATGCCCTGAATAGCTTCAGACCAATCCCCCGTCCGCCCTCAACAGTTCTCCACCCTCACGAAGGAGGACATATTTTCGCAATGCCGCTTAACCATTCACGACCCCTATTCCGCTGCTATAAACCGGACGATAGAGTGGCGGGATCCGTTGACTGGATGCCAAAGGGGATATGTGAGTTCATAGCCAGAGAGAGTGAGCATGAGTCTTTTTTTAAAGGAGCCCGCCACCCAGCTGGTCGACGGCAAGATATCCATCGCGCCTAGGTGGACCGACAAAATTGGGCACTGCAGGGCTAGGTGAGAAGGCGTCTGTATTAAAACCTCTTCTTAGGTGTCACGAGTACGCAAGCGTACGTAAGTACATCCCGGGGCCCTGGATAGAGCTGGGTCCGAACGATCGCGCCCCAATGGAGTGCGACTTTGTCTATGCGGAATGTTTAGGGCTTGGTGGCCATATCGTTGATCAGTACATTCACTCGCAAATTGTGGAAACGGAGAAACGGTGGGTGCTTAAACGCTCTCTGCTAGCCAGCCCTCGCCTCATCCTCAACAATCTCTGCTAGCCTGCCCTCTCCTCTTCCTCAACAATCTCGGCTAGCCTGCCCTCTCCTCTTCCTCAACAATCTCTGCTAGCCTGCCCTCTCCTCTTCCTCAACAATCTCTAGCTAGCCTGCCCTCTCCTCTTCCTCAACAATCTCTGCTAGCCTGCCCTCCCATCTTCCTCAACAATCTCTGCTAGCCTGCCCTCTCCTCTTCCTCAACAATCTCTGCCAGCCTACCCTCTCCTCTTCCTCAACAATCTCTGCTAGCCTGCCCTCTCCTCTTCCTCAACAATCTCTGCTAGCCTGCCCTCTCCTCTTCCTCAACAATCTCTGCTAGCCTGCCCTCTCCTCTTCCTCAACAATCTCTGCTAGCCTGCCCTCCCTCTTCCTCAACAATCTCTGCTAGCCTGCCCTCTCCTCTTCCTGAAAAAACTCTGCTAGCCTGCCCTCTCCTCTTCCTCAACAATCTCTGCTAGCCTGCCCTCTCCTCTTCCTCAACAATCTCTGCTAGCCTGCCCTCTCCTCTTCCTCAACAATCTCTGCTAGCCTGCCCTCTCCCTCTTCCTCAACAATCTCTGCTAGCCTGCCCTCTCCTCTTCCTCAACAATCTCTGCTAGCCTGCCCTCTTCTCTTCCTCAACAATCTCTGCTAGCCTGCCCTCTCCTCTTCCTCAACAATCTCTGCTAACCTGCCCTCACCTCTTCCTCAACAGTCTCTGCTAACCTGCCCTCTCCTCTTCCTCAACAATCTCTGCTAGCCTGCCCTCTCCTCTTCCTCAACAATCTCTGCTAGCCTGCCCTCTCCTCTTCCTCAACAATCTCTGCTAGCCTGCCCCTTTAGCACCTATTCCTCATCCGACTTTGAACTTCCGCGCGAAGACTTTGGCCCGCTGCCAAATGTCCATATTTTCCTGATCGACTCTGTATCGTCAACTCAGGCTAGAAGGTTGGTTTTAACGGCGTTAGGACGCTTTCCGAGATCTTCAAAACTCGCCATCTCCACCTCAATGTTCCAGATTCCTCCCAAAAACCCTCGATTTTCTGGAGCACCAGATGGGCGGCGTCCATTTCCACCACCTGAACAAGGTGGGGGACAACAGCCGTCCCAACGGCTATGCACTGTTTCTGGGTAATATTTTGTCACGGCTAGCCTGGCAGCGATGCTTTGCGGAAATAAAAAGTGACCGATCGAGCTTTAGGCAAGCGGGTGTACGAGATGGAGCGCGAGGCGCTAGGTGGGGAAGATTTGAAGCCGGAGATGTCGTACAAGCAGCATTGCCACGAGTACCGAGACGAGGACGCCGTCATCTTCAAGCTGTACGAGAAAATGGGTAGGCTACAGAGTACAAAGTGAGAGAGTAATCAATATAGGCTATAAAACGCTCTACAACGAGGAGTATCTAACGGGCGATATGTGGAGTTGGCCAGCGACTTGCCGAGGATTTGAAAAGCAGCCGACAACGCATTGCTATCGGTGAGGGGCTAGCAGAGATTGTTTAGGAAGAGGAGAGGGGAGGCTAGCAGAGATTGTTGAGGAAGAGGAGAGGGGAGGCTAGCAGAGATTGTTGAGGAAGAGGAGAGGGCAGGCTAGCAGAGATTGTTGAGGAAGAGGAGAGGGCAGGCTAGCAGAGATTGTTGAGGAAGGATCGTTCTTTCCAGGCCGATTCCAGCCACGCTGCTCGCTAACGAGAAGCTGCGAAGAGGGCTACCCCGGAAATGCATCGAAGAGCACCACCTGCAATACAAGTACCATCAGCAGTTCCTCGAGGCGTATCAGGGTGAGTGCTTTAGGGCGAGTATATGCCAAAGCAGAATTTTTGGTCGGAAAATAGATTTTTTGATATTTCCAATAAAAATTTTAGTTTTCACGTTTAGGCATAGTAAATTTAGAAAGGCTTCCACTATCCACATTTCAAAATTAGTCCAAAAAAGTGATGTCCACGATAATAATAAAATAATAAGTCATAAATAAATCAGAGAATCACAAATAAAATCACCTAAAAAATAAATCTAAAACATCTGTAGGCCGCCCAAAATTCGGGATCACGTGGACCGGCGGGCTGGCGCACAATGACCCGAATCAACTCTGGCACACGGACACGTTTTTGGAGGTAACTAAAAAGCCTAAAAATCACCATGTTGCTTCAGGATTTTTTCCGGCGCAACGAAAAGCTGCTCGCCGACGCGTTCGTCTTTTTCATGGGCGACCACGGGCCGCGGATCGGGCAGGCGAGTAAAAATTTACGAAAAACTGGGATTCGGACGAATTCGGAAATTACCAAATCCCCTCTGGTGTTGGTCCTTGGACCATCCAAAAAAGACAATTTATTTCGAAGCAAAGGATACCCCTCGTACCGAAGACAAAGAAAATTCAGATCACAGAACTCCGAAGATGCGCAAAAAAAAGGAAAACCAAACAATGTACAGCAAAAGAAACACGAATCAGAAACAACATTCAAAAGCTAAGAAAATTCTTTTTTAAAAAAATCATTTCGCGTCAAACCACGCCGACACCGAGATGGACGTGTTCAGCGCCTTGACAAAGTGCCAAAATTGGCTGGGGATCAGCAGGGCGTCGCCGGGGTGCAACTAAAACGCGACTAATTACGATTTTCTGGCAAATCTCAAAAATCATAATGTCGAAATTTCATAATGCCGAAAATTTTTCGCATATGACCGGGGGTTTTCCGTAAATGTCGAGATTATGAAATTTCGGCAATATGCATTTCGACATTATGAATTTCGACATTTTGAAAGTACCCAATACTTACCACCACATCCACCGTATGCACCTGGGCAACGCTCGGGAAGCGCTCGACGTCCCCGTCCGGGTCTTGCATGTTGATCTAAACAACGATGCTCGGTTCTTTCGCATTACCGGGGGGGGGGGCAAATAATTTTTTTTCTGAGGAACCAATTTATTTAAATACATGTTCTAAATTGCTTATTACAACCACTAAATGTAAAAACTTTACGAATTTCCAAGCAAAAAAAGAAAAATATCGATTTTTGGACCAAAATGGCCGATTTTTCGCAAAATTTTCACAAAAATTACGAAATTACACGCTCTTGATTCCCATAGGCTAATCTCCTCAACAATCCGGAAGAATCTCTGCTAGCCCCCTTTAGCCGCGTTAGATTTTAAGCAAAACTCACCTGGCTCGTGTTTTTCAGCAAATCCTCCCTCGGGCACAGCTTCTCGCTGTCAGAGGGATGGGCGAGGCGCACGAATTTCGAACCGTAAATCTACAAAAAAATCCTAGATTTACAAGGGCTCACCTGCACAAAGAAATTCTCCCTTGGGTCAAAGTGCATCGAGGACACGGTGCCGCCCGGGCCAAACCACATATTCCAATCAACATGGGCGCCGAGTTGCTCAACCTTAAAGGGTGTGCATGTGGTGCTTTTGTATTATCGGGGGGGGGGGGCGCAACGTATCCCACAGGATCAAATTCCTTGTAAAATAAATTGATCCATGTCTCAAAATGGTTTTTGACTATTTCGACACGTCAAAACTTTTCAAATTTTTATCAAAAAATACAAAAAATATGAATTTTTACACAAAAAAATTCAAAGTAAAAAATTTTCCAAGTTTTTTGGAGTTTTTTTACTAAATTAAATTTGACTAAAATGACGTTTCCCTCGCTCATTTAAAGGACTGAATAAAATACAAATTTCGGGATGATCTAAATGAAGAAACAACAAACCTGATGGGGCTCGATCTCGTCGAGCAGCTCAGGGATCTGGTCGAAAAGCCGATGTTGCGCCAGGTAGCCGGGCGATTCGGAATCCTGAGATACGACAGCTTTTTGAAACCACCAGCAGCAAATGCAATACCTGCTTCACCAAAAAGTCCCTCAAGAATTCGTTGATCGTCATGAGCTTCTGGTTCCAGTCGTCGCCGTCGTAGCGACTGCCAATCTGGCATGGCTTTGAAAGCTTAAAAGTTTAAGCTATACCTCGACCGGCACCGTCCGGCCCCCAGCCACATTGCTCAAGTATTCGGGGCTGAAAAAACGATAAATTAAAATCCATCGTATCCCCAGGCCACCTCCATTTCTCCGAGGCCGGCCAGCCCGCCGCAAACCCGCGCACCACGCACGGCATCCCGGACTCGATTTTCTCGGCGATCCGCTCGGCGTCAAAATGCTGAAAGTCCAGTATCCTGTGCAGAAATTTCCGTTGATTCCAAATCTGTTTTCAAAAACTGACGAACAGCCGTATTTCAAAAGCTACAGCGCTTGGGAAGGTGTTTTTGGACGAAAAAGTGCCACTTTCAGCCCTCTAAAAATCGCAGGAACGATAATCGGCAAAAGTTATGCGCCGCATCTTGCCCGGCACGATTTTGCATAGCGTTTGACAGCTTTTAGATGCAAAAAATTTACAGAATAAATAAGAAATTTCGAAAATATTTGAATTTTCGTTCAAAAATTTATCAAAGTGGCGAAAAAAACGGCCTAAATCTTGAATTTTCAAAATTTTTAAAAATACTTTTCTAACTTTCTGGCAATCCCGGTTTTCCCTCTGCTACCCCCCCCGATAACAGTCCAGAACGCGAAAAACACCAACCTCATACTCCGCCAGCTCCCACCAGGGCTGGGGCCTGATTTTCCGGGGCGTTGGACTGGGGTACGCGTGGGAAGCGATAGCCTAAATCAGCGTAAATAATCTATAAAAAAATGAGTAAATCTCAAAAATAAAGCCCGAACCCACATGAAAATCGATGGCCGGCGTCGGGGTGGCCTTTTGGAGGCCCGTGGCGAAATGCTTGATGAAAAGCCCGTCGCGCGGCAAATTCTCCGGTCTGCCCATGATCAGTGCCTCATCGACAGCGCGGAGCGCACGCTAATGCAAGTAGGAGTAGTTAATTTGTGTAACTTACCGACACGTCGCCTTGCAGATATACGGTCAGCAGCGCTTGCGCAAATTTGGCCACCGTAAAAAATGTGCGCCAACATTCCGGGATGTCAGCGTAGATGCCTAAAAATTGAAATTGGCGTAGCAGAGTAAAGGGCAAGCTAGCAGCGAAAATTTAGGAAAGATCATCGCGCTCCGGTCCTTTTGTATTATCGGGGGGACCAACTTTTTTCTAGGATCAAATTTTTCAACTAAAAATAGTGGAATATTTCTAAATGGTTTTTTGCTATTCCTAAACGCGAAAACTATAAAAAATTTGATCAAAAAATGTCAGAATATATTTATTTTTCTTTCAAAAAAAACCAATTTTTACGAAAATTTCGACTTTTCGAGAGTTTTCCTACTTGAAATATAGTCATATTGTTATTGTTACTAGAATTTCTAGACATAAAAAAGTTCGATATCCCCCTCCCTTGATAATGCGAAAGCACCAAAAAAACGTGTTTACCAATATTCAGTCGATCCCTGCCCACTTGCACCAATTTATCGAGCACTTCTTTCACTTCCAAGGGACTCGTTTTGTCAGCTTCCGGTCGACCAATCGCTTCCGGCCAAATTTTAATCCTAAATACTGTTTCGCAAAAATGTCTCCTTCGTCACAGACTTGTTCAAAATCAGCGCCTGCAATTTCCAGGCCGCTTCTTTCAGGCATTTCCGGTGCACACCGCATTCGAAGGGGACCAGCGCAGTCAAAGCAGCCGGGTAGACGAAGTGGGGCTCGTTCTAAGCAACGCGTATCCGCCGAAATAGGCCGAACAACTACCAACAAAGATAGAATATGCGCTTGCGTTTCCGCATCATAGCAATCACCATCGTATTCGGGTGCATGGCCAGCAGAGTCGATGGCTAGACAAAAAACTCTTAAAATGCGCCTCGATACGCACCTGTAACTGGGCAAAATGTGGGGAAAACAATCGTCCGGTGCGGGATCGACACAGCCCGCAATTTCTCGTCGAAGACTGGGGAGACTGCGAAAAAGCCGAGACGCTCGTAGAACCCCATTTTCTAAAAAAGGTCATTTGAGAATTTAACAAAAAACATGGTTCTTTGCGATTATCGGGAAGTCCAAAAAAAATTTATGTAGAAATGCCTAGTAACTTCAAGGGAGTGTTTTAATGGTGTTTTCATTAATATACAACTAAAAAAACCACATGAAAATGCTAAAAAAATGTTTTTTAAAACGTCGAATCGTTCAAAAATCGGTCATTTCGGTCGAAAAATCCATATTTTTGATATTATTGACAAGAATTTCAAAAGTTTTGACATTTAGAAATATCAAAAACCGTTTAAAAACACTTTCACTCCCCCCTGATAATGCGAAAGAACCAAACATACCTGAACTTGAGCATGGGCGACCATAATTCTTTCCGGAAACTTCTTAAAATAGTACTTGAGCGCTTCGATGACAATCAGCTCGCCGAGGCCTCGCCCTTGCCAATTCTATAGCTTAAGGAATAAAAATAAAGCCCAAGCCGATACCTCGCGTAGGGCTACCCGCTCCAACTTCAAATAGCTGCCAACCGGACGCAGCCGTACGGTGCCGATCACTAAAATATTCACTACACTAAAAATTCGTGCTTGCATGAATCTCTTTAGAGCTGCACGCCAAAATCCAAACCTTTTTCGACTGTTTTTTCGGGGCTCCCCTCGAATTCCACCAAAACCATGTGAAAAGTGGACAGATCGTCAAAGTCGTGCTCGTCCACCTCTTCGTCTGCCGTCACGCCCTGGCCCTCGTATACCTAAAAAGGGTTATTTTGCATTACCTAGACCGGCTTGTCTTTCATGGGATCCAACACTATTAAAACACTTCCTATTAAGCTACTAGTCATAGATAGACAGTCTAGACTTCTACAACAAATTTTCTCCCCCTTCCCCCGATTATACAAAAGAACCCTAAAGGACAAAATTTCGCCAACCTCGAGCCGTGTCCGAAGATAGTCATCCCAATACTTGTGGCTTCTCTTGATTTGTACAACTTCGTAGCGGGTCGCCGATATCAGAACAGCGTTGCTCATCAATTTCCTGAAAAAGAATATATATTGTCTTGCCAGGTCTTCGTGAGAACGGCACGAGGAAGAACAAAAACAACATCTTTACAACGAAGTTCGCGGGTAGCCCGCGTTTACGCAATGTTTTTGCCTAGCGGGCTCGCGAAAAATGGGCCCCAAAAAGAAAAGGGAGCTGCTCAAAAGCCCGAAAAACCGCGAAAAAGGAAGTAATGTAACGAAAAACCAAAAAATGCGGGGTTTTTTCAGTCTGTTCACACGAGCCTCGGTGCGATGGAGCTGAAAAATCCATTCTTGATGCTAACGGTTCCGGAGCGGCTTCGTGCAAACAAAGAGGTGAGAAAAAGAGGATCTTTTAGAAGGAAAAACTACATTCTAGCTCATCGAAAACCTGAAAGTCAACGCCCAGCACCTGATCACCCATTTCGACCTCCACGCGACACTACTGCATATTTTGGAGGTACTGGCTCATCGCCCTTGCGCTTCGCGGGCTTCCTAATAGCAAAAAAGATGTTAGAAATGCTTCTAGGATCCCGAAAACTTCGTCGCCAAACCCGTGGTCGACCCGAATAACGCGACCTCGATTCTACGGCCGCTGAGCCCAGCCGAGAATAGGTAGGTTGGCCATGTAGGACACTAAAATGCGTTCTATTGAAATATCATTATTCCCCAATTTCTCAAAAAAAAACAGATTCGGAATCAGCGTAAAATTCTGCAAAAGGTGGTTTAATTTTAGGTCGTGCCGTGATATACCAGTGCCGGCCAGCTATTGCCTCTGCGAATTCGATAAGGAGCCTCTCAGGTCAGTGGAACAAGGCAACACCGCCCTCTTTGCATCAGAATTAGTACGGCGGCTGACGAGAAGCTGGCATATCCCGAAAATGTAACCCTTTACAGCCCCGACAAATACCGGGAAATGGCCGACTATGCGGTGCGCGAAATCAACCGCAAGCTTGCCGACGAGCGGCTCGCCGGGGTGTGCGCCAACCTGACGCTTGGCTCGGTAAGCCAAAATTCATTGTATAAAAATACACTTGAGCGCAGGTCATTTCCGTCGAAGCGTACGCCCCGGAAATGGTGACAAAACTGTACGAGATTACGTTTGACTTACATCAGAATCGCGCAAGATTTCGAGCCGTAAGTGTACCGACAGCGCGCAGATCACCATTTACAGACGATCCGTGGTGATGTCATGGTGCCATCTACTTTCGAGCTAACCGGTGGCGTCGATCGCATAAACGAATACGGGAAGACGGCCGATTGTATTGCCGACCAAAAACCACAAATGAGTCCTTACTGCTACTGCACGGGTGCTAAACTATAAAGCTATTTTTGGGTAACATTAGTTGCTCAATTTACAGCCACTACGCTTTCACTGTCACGCCTTATCATCTCAAAAATTCAACCGGAAACGGGGCCTCGAATGCAAGCGGAAACAGCACATTGACAAATTTATCTCCTGAACTCAAATAAAATCAATCGGCAAGGCATGTGAATCACTGAATGTGAAATGTTACAGATGAGGATTCGAGATGGACAACTGCTGCTCGGCCTTCTAAAAAAAAGGTTCGGCGAGCGAGAAAACGGCTACCTTAACCAGTTGACGGGTGACGGACTGGCCCTTCTTTAGCTCCTTGATGCGGCGCCGGATGTCAATCAACGGGTCGCGATCGGTGTCGGTGCGCGGCTCAGAGAGCTAGAAAAATGCTTGGCGATCGTATCGTACAAACCAATTGCTGTAAGTTCGAGTTATCGCGTGGCGGGGGCAGTTCAGCGGCAATAATGACGGCGTTCTCTTTGTCTTGTTGCGTAGCATCGTCCGGATACTCCATCTGATCAAGCTAAACTAAATGATGATAAAATAATTAGGCATACCAGAGGTTCTTCCTTCGCCGAGGTCTCAGCAACCACATCGACAGGTGTGATGGGCTGGCTATCGTTTGGCTTGCCGGCGTGCTCGCCACTTGACGGCTGCTCATTTTCCTATAGCATACAAATGTTAAAAATAGGACATTAACAAACCAGCTGCATGTAGGGCTGCTGCTCCTCTGCTTGCTGCTCATCAGCGGGGGGAGCGTGGAGACATCGGGCGCGAGGCCGGCTCGTCCACATCCGATTCCTAAACGACAATGAAAATTTCCCACAATCCCGTACCAGATCCAGCTTGGTGTTGAATTCGCCTCGGCGTCGTGGAGTACCTTCTAGCTGCGGGGAGACGGTGAATTTCGAAGACATCTGGAAAAAGGTGTGTTTTTTAAAGGCCGTCCCATACCGGAGTTTTTACCAGCGACCGTTCGATCAATCTAGCCGTGTTCGTAGACACCCTCACAGGCGATACTTTCGAAGTGACGACGGACTGGGTTCCTTCCAGGTGCGAGGTCTAAAAAAGGGTATGCAGTAGCCTTACGAAAATTACCTGGTCGACCAGAATAGTGAACGTGGCCCCGAAGCTCTCAACCCGTATCTCCGATGTGGTGGTTTGGTTAGCCGGGGAGCGCGCGTTATTCTTTGGGCTCTTCGCCGTATGATCCGAGCCCTTGCGGTTATTGGAGACGTCCGACGAAGTGGCGCTTTCCTTCCCGTCCATCGTAGCATCGAGCGCCTCGGGCAAGGTAGCGTTTTCCTTACTTGCCTCCTCATCAACGAGGGTTTCCTCGAGAGCGCTTGATCCATCCAACGAAATGCTGCCTTCCATTGCGGGCGACGGCGCATCCAGCTTCGTGAAAGTCGCATTTTCTTTATTGGACTCCTGGTCCACGAGAGCTTCTGGCAGGGTCACGGAACCATGAAGCAAGTTGCTGTTGTCCTCGGCAAGCTTTTCTTCGACCGTCTCCGGGTTTTCCTGGCCGGCCTCTCCATCTAGGGGAGCTTTCGCCATAGTGCTGGCTTCCGATAAGCTGCTGGTGTCCTTGCTCGGGTTCGTGTCCTCGAGGGCGTCCGGCATCGACAAGTTTTCCTTGTTTGCCTCCAGGTGTACGGGAGCCGCTTGCTGCACGAAAGTGTTTTCGTTGTTGTCCTCCGGCTCTTCAAACACGTCGGATAAGGCCTTCTGTTCTTGGTGCTCCTCAGCATTGGCAACTTCGTCGAAAGAGCTCGTGCCCTCGTCGTCTGCTTCCGGTTCAGTAGACGCGGGTCGATCTTCATGCGGGACGTTGAGAATCGTGCGATCATCATGGCATTCCTTGAGACGTTCGAAAAGCATCGCCACGAAAAGCGATGTGGTCCGATCATCGTCTTCCATACAGGCGGGCATGTCAAAATATTCGTGTGCCTAAATTTTGAAGTATCAATAACTAAATAAAATTACGGCGCTCGAAATCTTATCCCATGTGGTAGCCCCTGGGAAGTCGTCGATGGCCGGTCGATAGTCCATGCAGCGATTCCAAATCTCAACGAGGGCTGAACCATCGCGAATTGCCCTGTAGCACTTGACCTGAAAGAAAAAGTAGCCTGATGCGATCGAAATAGAAAGCTTACCTCGACACCAAATTCCGCACCAAATTGACGACAGCGGTGCAGCAGGTCGTCGCGAACGTCTTGATCCGTCTCGGCGGGGCTGCCCACATCGATTGCACGAGGGTGAGATGTAGTCGCGCGCGAGGCTGCCATGTAGTAACCGACGAGACGCCAGAGGAGCTCGAGGATACTCGGACGATCGAGCCCGACTATCTTCGACGCCGTCAGCGCTGAAAGTGACGATTACTAGAATACAATAGGTGCCAACCTCCAATGTCCCTTTCGTGATCCTTGAGCGCATTCAAAAGCGCGCTGACATTGCCAATCTTACGCAGGCGGTCGCCACACGGGTTCCGCAGTTTACACATCAGTGTATTTGGCTCCATGCCCAAGATGTACTCGACAAGGCGACTAAATTAATGCTTAACAAAAACGTTGACGGCACGTACCCAAGCAAGACTCCATCGCCAAGATCTTCGAAGCTGGTGACGAGAGGGCGGTAGGACTCATAAAACCTAAAGAAGAAATTCTTTAGAAAAATATTCTTACGGTTGGATGAAGGTAAAATCGAAGCCAGCCTTCTTGAGCACCTTTTGCAGCGGCGTCGAAGCGAGGAAAAGGCGAGAGCACTCCGAAAACACATCGGGGAGACTCTTAAAAAAGACCGTTGATAGCCGATCTTAGCAAAAGCCTTACCTTGTACTTAGAGGTCCTAACGAATATTCCCGGGCTGCGGGCGATGATATTGGCCTTCTTGGCTTCTTCCACAAATGCGAAGAAAGAGAGCAGCTTCCGCAACAGGTGGTCGTGGAGCGCCCTTGTGCCCTCTGGGGTCGTCAACCGGATGCTGAAAATGGGAAATCTCGTCAAATAGCCAAAAGCTTACTTTCCGCCGCCACCTTGTGTGTTCCTTTTCGGTTTCAATAGCGACTCGGAGATGAAGAGATTTTCCATGCAGAAGTGGGTAAATTTCTATTGAAAAGCACATAGATATGATATTCGAAGTCGTACCTGCTTGAAGCTGTCGTTCTTGTTCAGCTGAATCTGCTGCTGAAAGACGACGGCGAAACCGAGGTGCAGCCAGAGCGGTTGGAAGGAGAAGAGGATTTGCATGATGTTGTACTGCATGTTGACGTCAAGGAACAGCTTCAAATCGCCGCGAACGTGCGTTTCGCCCTGAGAGACGATCTGCTTGATTCGGTCCTTGATCTCGAGCTCATCGAAGAACAGTTGGCTTCTAAAAGAAACTCATAGAAAAAATTCGGAGTCTCTAAAACCAACTTCTTTCTGTACTTTTCCTGCTGCCGCTGTGCCCAGTCGATGTACTTTGGCCCGACGCTATGGGCTTCGACCTTCTTGGACCGGCCCTGTTTGAGCATCCTCAGAAGTTCCTTGTTGGCGGATTCCGTGCCAGCTTCGTGGTCCTCCTCCTCCATAAGTCCGCTTCTGAGCAAGGAATTGGCCCAACCGGAGATGGCTTTGAAGTGGCGCTTCATCTAAATAAGCGAATACATCAATTAGTCGGTGGTCTATGGCACCGGTTCCGCCAATGACCAAAACCCCAACAATATAAGAACAAGTCAAAATGCTACCGTCTGTTCCGGTGTCAAATATTCCGGCGATTTCTGCCGCGGCGTGGCTTGTATCTTGTGCTGGGGCAGGCTAGGCGTCTTGAAGTCGGCGTCGTTGAAACGGCGCTGCTGCGGGGCACGTGCAAATGGAGTAGACGAATCTAAACAAAAATTATGGTTCAAATATGCTTCTTACTTGGGCCCGTTCCATGCATTGCAACAATCGAGGGCCTTGGCGAGCCGATGCTTGAGAAGTCTCCAAAGTTCTCCATCATGCCCGACGGGCCCTGGCCGTCAACGCCTTGGCGGAAGCTCTGCTCGATGGCCTCGAAATCGGGGCCAAGTTTGACCTCGCGAGCACGTTGTTCTGCACAGCAAAATGAAATCAGTGAGAAAGAAAGCATACCGCGTTTCTCCTTCAGCGCGCGCTGTCGAGCTTCCATCTTTTCTAGGATGGTTCGTTTCTTCTCCTCGCCATCTTCCATTGTCGAAGCTTACCGTCTGGAATCGGGAATTTGAAATAGGAGGCCGAGAAAATTGAAAGCGGTGCCTTGGCGCGCATTTCCCTTTCCAGCCGTAAGCCGTCTCCCGGCTGGGGGAAAGGGAAAGGCAAAGCCAAAGCAGGGGAGAAAACGTCGAAGAAAACGAAGTAGGAATTAGAATATCTTAATAACTTTTTTTAATAAAATAAAACGATATTTCAACTAGAACTGCTTCAAAAAATTCCAAGCCAAAATTTACGTAAAAACGGCCATTGTTGGTCCAAAAAATCTAATTGTTGCTGCATTTTTGATGCAGATGTAATGTTTTTGCGTTTGGGAACAGTAAAAAAAAAGTAAATTCAAACCCTAAAAGAAAAAAATGCCCTCTCCGATAATGCTAAAAACCAATGGATGAAAATCGTGTGGCGAATACCCCGTCGCTGCGCGTACTGGCGCGTAGTACCGTAGCTAGCCGTTGCTTCGCGTAGCAATTGGTTTTTGGTTTCTTAGAAAACTGCAATTATCATCAAAAAAGCTTTGAATAGCCTCAGTCTCTGAATTTGCGAGCGAATTTGCCTTGAAATGTGCGGAGCGGCGTCAGAGACATCAACCTGCCACCGCCTACATGGCAGCGGGTGGTTTGGAAGAGCTCGACTACTATCACGGCTTACTGCCCAGGTTTTTTCTCTGAATTATGATGTTTATCGGGGGTCTATTTTAGAGAAGACTTGCCGGTGCTGCTCAGCAAGGAGGGCGACTATCTGTTGCGATGTTCGCAAGTCAAGGCGGGCGAGGATCGCCGCACAATCCTTTCGATGGCTTACTCGGTTGATGGGAAAATTAAGGTAATTTTTTATTAACGGGAACTTTAAAAATAAAAATGAGATCACAACATTGCGTGGAATCTTTCGCTGATTCGAAATCCTTCTTGAATTTCCCCAAAAGTCATCGTTTTTCAGTTTTCAGAAATTCCGAGCTTAGAAATTTTCTGCTGTCATCAGAAAAATAGTAGACTGTCATATTGTTATATTATTTTTGGTGACTTTGACGATATTTAAGGTAGGTATACTTTCAGGCAAGTCGGAAAAGTGTTTGAAAAATTGCAAAGTTGGTGATTTTGGCTCGAAAAACCGATTATTACCTAAAAGTTAATTATTAATTGAAATTTGTAAAGTTTTTATGATTAAAAGTAGGTAAAATGAAGGTAGAAGTGCAGCCGCTATCATTAAAAATCTAGGCCTGCGCCGAAAAAAAATTGGTTCCCCCCTACTCCCGTGAATCCTACAGAACCAACATTTGTAACGTTTTTTGAGTTTAGGAATAGAAAAAAGTTTAGAAACACTTCCTGTATTTATATTAGGAAAATTGGAGCATTAGAAGAAAAGTTGAAAGCGCATCTTTGCAGCAAGGCCACTACATCATCACACAAGAAAGGGAGCCCCCGAATCACTACACGATCGACAAGACCCTCTCAAAGCCCACCGTCGATCTCCTTGTCCAAGAGTACAAGACGCGACGAGTGCCACTCAAGAAAGAGGTGCCGAGCACCGTGCTCCAGAATGCCGTTACTCGTCCGTCATGGGAGCTTCGTGCCGACTTTGTGCACACTGGCAAGAAATTGGGTGATGGTGTGTTGTGTTTTTTCTATTGGAAGATATTTCTTACTTCAGGCGAATTCGGCGATGTACATCAGGGCAAGCTGAAGCAGCTGATGGGCCCTGGATTGCCGTCCAAGGAAATCGATGTGGCCATCAAAGTGGCACGGAAGGACATTATTTCCAAGGAAAAGGTAAAGCATGCCTAGGTTTACTTTACCCCCAGCCGGAAGTTTTTGGCTATAATTTTTTTATTTTACATTATTGTAGGCTCAAATTAAAACTCTTAGTATGTCTTACCACTTCATAGAACTTTTTTAATAATGTTTTTAGCAAAAAATAACGATATTTCAACTAGAAAAACGATCTACAAATAGTTCGAAAAAGTCTAAACTTTTGTCAACAAGCAGCAATAATGTTGGTCGAAAAATCGATATTTTATTTATTTAATTTTTTTCATAAAAATTGTCAGGTTTTGACGTTTGGCAATAATGGATATTTATACTTCAATTTTTACTTATTTTACTAATTTATTTTTCAATTTTTACGCATTTTAAGAGATGACATTTCGATGCTCTCAAAGTGCAATTTCAGATCAAAGAAGTGATGAAAGAGGCTCGTCTCATGCGCGACTTTGACCACCCCAACGTCGTGAAGATCTACGGAGTGGTGGTGGAACGAGACCCGCTGATGATCGTCATGGAGCTAGTTGACGGAGGCGGTCTCGACAAATACCTTCGAACTAACGCGGCACGGATAACGCCAGCTGAGCGGTTGTGTATCATCCAGGTCGCGGATCTGCTTGCCTCCAAAAAAAGCTTCTTCCGGTTTTAGGACGCCGCCTGGGGCATTGAATACCTTCACCACAAGCGCATCATTCACCGAGATTTGGCGGCTCGCAATTGCTTGATAGTCAACGACCATGGCCGAAATTTGGTAAAATCATGCATTTTGTTTGTCATCGCGTTTTCAGGTGAAAATCTCGGACTTTGGGCTCTCGCGTGAAGGCGATGCGTATGCAATGAAGACGGTACGCAAGGTACCGATCCGCTGGCTCGCCCCCGAGACGATCCAAACGTTCATCTACACGGCGAAAAGTGACGTTTGGGCTTACGGAATTCTTGGTGGGTCGCCCGGTAGTCGAATTGGGTTCTTTCGCATTAGCGGGGGGGGGCATTTTGTTTTTCTTAGCATCCAATATTTGAAATTTTCATAGTAGAAATGTTTCTAAACGATGTTTTACTATTCCTAAAGGTACAAACTTAGCATTTTTTTTTTGTTCGAAATTACAAAAAATATAGGCTTTTCGAGAAAAATGGCCTTTTTAACCAAAATTTCGACTTTTTGAGAAATTGCTCAACGCTTTCAGATGGTTTTTCTAATTAAAGTATAGTTTATTTTACTTGAAACATTATTAAAATCGTTTCTATTAAGTTACTAGGCATTTCCAGATTAATACAAAACAAATTGTGCCCCCCCCTTCCCCCGATAATGCGAAAGAACCTAGAATTGAAACTAGTCGAATCCTTTTTCAGCCTGGGAAGTGTACACGAGCGGTGAAGAGCCGTATGCTGGCCTCCCCAACGCGCACATCAAGCAGAAGATCGTGGCCGGCGAGCTGCTTGAGCTCCCGGCCAGCGCCGGCGCCGAGGTGATCAAATTGATCAAGGTCCAGTGCTGGGAGAAGGACCCGGTGCGCCGAATTTCGATGAGCCAGGTGGCGTGCAAGCTGGAAGCGATGAACGGCCGCACCCCACCGCCCGTACAAGAAAGTTCAGTGCGCAAAGGGGTCCATGCGGCTCCGGCTGAGCCTCCTCGAAAGGTACGGTGTTTTTTAAAAGCTCATTGCTCTTCTTTTCTAGCTCCCAACCGCGAGGCCACCAAATCGCGGACCCGGGAAGAGCCGAGCAGACAGATGACATCCGGTCGCATCCCGCAGAACAAGCGCGCACGTGGCCCTTGATGCCCCGGGTTATCCGCCATCCTTGGCCTACCCGTCATTACCATTTCCGGTTTTTTGTAAGATAATTGTCAAAAATTAAAGCACTGAAATCGCTACCAATAAATATGTTAACGTTAATTGACTGAATAAACTCGTTCTACATTTATTGGAACTCGTCGATCAGATCTCCTCAAATGTACAGGGAAGTGGGGCGGAATCACAGATGTATACAGTAACTGTGTTACAGTAGAATACAACCAGCTGGTCTACTAAACGATACTAAATGCCATACAAGACTTCTAGAGCCGGGGGCAAGCTGAATAAATGGCAACCGTAACAATGTAAAGATTTGAATAAAGCTAGCAGTTTTACTGGACGAGGTGCCCCAGCGAGTCGGCAAAGAATTCGGGCACCATGTTGTGCTTGCCCTGGGCGAGGTTGTCGCGCACGTCAGTAACCTGAAAATTAGGATTGAGATGTTTTTTAGCTTCGCCGCTTTTTATCGCTGTTTTAAGATGGTTTTTATTATTTTTAGCGTAGTTCTATTATTTCTTTTTTGTGCTTGATGGAAAATGGCACTTGTGAATGCGTTTTTGCTGCGTTTTTTCGCAACTAGAGTTGTTGCACGTCACGCCTTCCAATGCCCTACCTGATGGCATCCAGAGAGCACGAGGCACGTCCTCAGCCCGTGCCGACGTCCGAACAGCACATCCGTGTTCGTCCGGTCGCCGATCATCATCGTGCGGCTTTTCTCGATGCTCCAGCGTCGGCAAATGTAGTCGAATGCCGGGCTGTAGGGCTTGCCTGGAAAGTGTTGATGCTCAAATCTATACTTTTTCTCTCTCACTCGCTCACTCGCTCTCTCTCTCTCTCGCTCTCTCTCTCTCTCTCGCTCATACTGTCGAGTTTGAACTCACCAACTGTAATCGGCTCACGGCTACTTGCGCAATTGACCGCAGCTACGATCGGGCCCGCGTCGGGGATGAGCACGTCGGGATTCGGGCCCGGGCAGACTTCGTCCTCATTTGTAGCGTAGTAGTGCGTCGATTTGTTCTAGAAATTCGGCATTTTGTAAAGCTGTTTTTTTCGCAAAGCCATTTTTAAGGAAAATGGAGTTCTTTATCATTTGTCATCAAAAATACAAAAAAATCGAGTTTTCGACCAAAAATCACCGATTTTGTCACATTATACTAAAAAAGCTATCAAAACTCTTCCTGAAAAATGAGAAAAATGTCTAGGAATTTTTTAAGCATTGCACCGCAAAGCAATTATTTCCACTAACCTGCAGGTAATTGGCGGCCTTCATCAGTTTCTGGTAGTCAAAGTGGCGCTCGTAGCCGACGACGACGGCTCCGACCTTCTCGGTGGGCACCTCAAGGTCGATGTCGAACTGGAAGGCGCTGCCGTCGAGGTGCGACGTCGATGGTTCGCTGCCGTAGCCAAAGTAGCGGATTTTCCGGGCATCCATCTCCTCGCGGACGCCCCGAGCCCCGATGAGGTAGACGAGCTGGTCCGAGTTGCCGAAACCTTTCCTGAAGAAGGAATTTAGTATGATTTCTAAATTAGCAATTTTGCTATATGAAATAGTGGGGGAAATAACATTATTTATGCCAAAAAATCTACCTGTGAAGTTCCTCGGCAACGACGGCCGCCGGGTTGACAATGTCCTCGGCGGTGATCGAGCCCGGGAAGCCGATGGTGTGCAGCTTCTGCGCGTAGCTGGCCCGCGACTTGGTGGCGTTGTTGGTGAGGATGATCACGCGTTTGCCCTAGAGAACGACCGTTTAGCAGGTTATCCAATGTTTCGAGGCCGGCGGTGCTTTGACGTTATCGGGGGGCGGCTAGAAGTCTACTAATTAAAAACTTCAATTAATGTTGATAAAAAACTAACTAAAAAACAAATAAAAATAACTAAAAAACTGTTTTTATTAAAATTTAACTATATTTTAAGTATAAAAACAATGATTTTGGTCGAAAATGGTCAATTTTTCATAGAAAAATTTCTATTTTTGTATTTTTTTAGCCGGCGGCCAAAGGAAAATTCCAAATAAACAAAAAAATGAGACGAAATCACCCCACCTTTTGCATAATTTGAGCCAGGAAGTCGGCGGAGCCGGGGGAGGGCTTCGTTGCCCAGCCAGAGCACACCGTCGGCGTCGAAGATGAACGTGTCAATGTCCTCCATAACGCGATCCATCGCCTCGGGGTTGAGCTTCGACGGCATCGTGACGACCGGGCGGCGCTGCTTGATCTCGGCGGCATCGCTGGCGAACACGGGGTTACGGTGGGCGAAGATCAGGTCCTTCATGTTGAGAGTGGTTGGGCTGAAAAGGGGTTGAAATTTACTTGAAAATGCCGCCAGGTTTAGATATGAAATTGACTTGGAAATGGCTAAAAAGTTGGGGTACTGGACTATTAGCGGGAGGGGGGGGGGGTTAGCAGTAAATATTTTTTCCTGTCATCCTGTAGGTCATATGACAAAATGCAAACCTTTTTATAGAATTTTACCCAGTTTTTAGACATAAAGAGATCATAAAAACTATTAAAAATTATCGAAAATCTCACTTTTTGTCAAAAATGTATGAAAAATAACGATTTTCAAATGTTTAAAATATTTTTTGTAAATTTCTAGAAATAAAAAACCTCTAAAAACGCACGCTAGAAAAAGTTTTTGTCAAAAACTTCAGAAGACTGATGATGGTAGATTGCTAGCTTAGGCATAGACTTTGGCTTAGCCTTAGGTAGGCTTGACTTGGGATCAGGCTTAGGCTTCGCTTAGGCTTAGGCTTAGGCTTAGCTAGTTATAATTATAGTACCGTAATTCGGCCAGAAAAAATCTAATAATAGAATAGCGAAGCGAACCAGGGTTACGGTATTATAGGTAGGAGAGAGAGCGAGAGAGAGCTAGAGATGCTCGGGAAGGCTCAATTAAAGGGTTGGATCTTCGAAGATCGAGCTCGGCTACTTATACCCGAATCTACGTCATACGATCACAGACCGGCGCACCCAGCTGCTCCAGAAAAGGGGCGGGGCCAGGGGATCACCTTTAGAGATTGTTGTTGTGACACCCTGGGGCCATTCTCGAACATCTGGAGGCGAATCTTCGAAGGTGAGGGCGAGAGAGCGGCGCTGATGGTGGAGAGGGCAGACGGGGATAGGGGGCGGGTCTGGCTGGCGAGAGAGAGAGAGAGAGAGAGTGAGAGAGAGAAACTAAAAAGCTCAAGCTCTACCTTGCGCCGAATGAAAGTTCACACTTCATAAGCGAGAGAAGGAGAGAGAGAGAGAGAGAGGGAGAGAGAGAGATAGCGAGAGAGGGAGAGAGTCCAAAAAATCGCTGCTAAGTTGCCCCAGGTTGTCCTCCAAGTTCCCTAAGAGTCTGTGCTAGCTAGCCCCTAGGAACTTTGTTTGTTTTCTTTACCTTCCTTCTGCTAGCATGCCCCTCTTTTCTATCTATCTACAGGGTGGGCAAAAAAAAAAGCCCACAGTTTGGGTCGAAATAACTCGCGAACGGTAGAGAATCGAAGGTATGTTACCATGCCAGAATGCTTAAATATGCTGGGCATGAAGATTTAACACAACTTGATTTTTTCGATTTTTGGGTACGCAACTGTACTATTGACGCTGGTTACGACCGAAAATTGTGCGTTCTTGAACGGGTGGTGGGAAAATTCTGATTTTTGGCCTAAAAATACTATAAATTTGTAGAAATGTAAAGACAAAATTTTAGAATTTTTTGAGGTCAATTTCATTTTTTAAAAGCAAAACAATTTTCGTGAGTTTTCGTTATTTTTGTTCTTTGAGTTATAACTCGCTTATAACGCGCTGCCTATGGCTGATATTTTGTCAATGACCTATCCAAATATTAAGCTCGGATTCCACACCAAATTTCACCACAATCTATGGTATTTTTGTATTGCATGCTAAAACGTGCCCCATTGGGGTACTGTAGGTTCCGTTTTTCCCACTTTTCTCGGGGCCCCTAGCTTCGATCCGGCTGAAATTTTCTGGGTTGTTAGGCAATAAGTAGTGGCACCTTGCTGCCAAATACGAGAGCGTACTATCCACAAACATTCGTGAAAAAGACTAAAAACTGACTTTTTAATTCTGCCACAGAATCTTGTAAATTTTCTGGTCAATTGGTCCATAAACTGCTACTATTGGTTTTACGAAAAGATCGAAGCAATTCCATGGCGAAAACACCACGAAAATCGAGAATTTCGGTTTTCTACAGTAACCCCGGTGGAGCGCGTTTTAGCATGCCATCACAAGTTTCCATAAATTGACGATTTTTCAATTCGAGGACCTTCTAGAATTGATTGTAAGATAACCTGTCAAAAATTACTGAATTTGGGTGGTAAATAACAAAGTTACGAGGCCAACTGCAAAACAAGGCCAGAGAGCTGATTTTTGGGCCGAGTAGCCGGGGTCAATTTTCGATTTTTTAAAAATAAAAAAAACAGCTGGGTCCCATGGATACGATTATAGCTTTGATGTTATTATCTACGCCCGTCAAATTCCGGAGCAATCTGACTCAAAATTATGGTGACTTTCAGCTCAAAATCGAAGATCACCCTATTCCAAAATCGAAGTTTAGAAATCTTCTTAAAATGTTTGCGACGCTAAATTGTTTTAATCTTTGCATAGTTTTATTTAACTAATACCACAGATTTATTAGTGAAAACCCCCCCCCCCCCCCCCCCCCCCTCTTTTTTCTTTTTTTTTTTTTTTTCCCTTTTTCCCCCCTATATAAATATAATAATAATTATTATACCTTCTTTTCCTTTTTTTTCCCTTTCCCTCCTCCCCAAAATCTTACTAATTCATATTTATAAAAAATAATTTTTTTAATTTATAATTTTTTTTTTTTTTTTTTTTTTTTTTTTTTTTTTTTTTTTTTTTTTTTTTTTTTTTATTTACAACCTTTCCTTTTTTTTTTTTTTATAAAAACCCACCCCCCCTCCCCTTCATTTTAATTTTAAAATAAATTTTAAAATTTATTTTATTTAAATTTTTAAACCAAAAAAAAAAAAATATTTTTTTTTTTTTTTATCCTGGCGACTTCACCTTCCAAAAATTTTTTACGCCCACTCAGATTCGGTTTATTTCGGGTTTTGATGAATTTTCTTTTCGCCAACGGCTGGTCAAATAAATTCAAGAACATGGCTTTAAGATGCGCTATTTAAATGGTATCAGATAAAATTCAAATAACAATTTTCATAGCGCTGTTAAAATCTATAAAATGGCATCAAGGTTTGGAAAAAAGCACGAACCAACCGTTTTGGAGGCCCTAAAAGTCGCCCTTCCAAAGGAGTACGGTAGCTCGAAATGTTGCAGATTATAGATACACACCAGTACTACATAGCTAAGCAAAGAAAACAGCTGAGTCCCCTTTGGCAATTTAGAAATATTTTTCCAAAGTTGGGTTTCGAGACCTCGAAAAATCCAGGACCTCGGAACCTCAATCATCGTTGAAAAACTCAAAAATTCGTCGATCTCGAAAAATTTTTTAATATGTTTATGCAATTGTGCATAGTCCGTAGGTATTCCCCAACTAGTTCTTTTGACATTTCCACCATAAGTTTTTTTAATATCGAAAAATTACGAAATTTCTCCATACAAAATTTCGTTCCTCTATAACTTTTCAACCAGACCCTCAAAAATTCTTAGATTTTGTAGGTACATAGCTGCTGATATATATTAACTTAGTCAATGAAAATTAGAAGCCAGTCACCACAGGAAACTGAGAAAAATGCAAATTAACTTTCCCCGAGCGCACAGTTTTCGGGTGTCATTTGTATTGATACGTCGCCGAAAATCGAAAAAATCAAGTTGTGTTAAATCTTCATGCCCAGCATATTTAAGCATTCTGGCATGGTAACGTACCTTCGATTCTCTACCGTTCGCGAGTTATTTCGACCCAAACTGTGGGCTTTTTTTTTTGCCCACCCTGTATCTATCTCTCTCGCTCTCTCTCTCTCTCACTGTCTCTCTCTCTCCCAAAAGTCATCCCATACACACGTCCCGTGTCTTCGAAGGTCGCTCCCTTAGGTAGAGGAGCCCTCCCGGAGAGATCAGACCAAAATGGTGCGCCCAGATAGTAGGGTGAGAAAGGAGAGGAGAGAGAGAGAGAGCGAAAGAGAGAGAGACCCTATCGACACCATTTCGACGTGATCACCAAAGATCACCCCCCCCCCCTGGAGATCTTTGAAAGTAGGCCCCGCGGGCGATACTCAGAGGGCGCAGAGATAGCAGAGGGTGATCTTGCTACGTCACGCGACCACCCAGCCACCATTTCGCACCCTGGCCCCGCGGGTGGGCAAAGTTCGGCCCCTGGGTGTTGCGCGACAAGAGCGGAGTGGGGAGGTCGCCTCGGTGATACCGTAATCGGGGCACGTGAAGAGCAGCAGGTAAAGGCTTAGGCTTGGGCTTGGCTTAGGCTCAGGCTTGGCTTAGGCTTAGGCTTACAAGGAGACGTTTTTTAGTGTGAATGGAGTTTTAAGTTGAAACCAGGCCTATTCTGTGCAGAATTTTTCGCTGATTCCGATGCTGTTTTCCAATTTTGCTAAATAGCTCGATTTAAAAAGTTACAGTTATTTTAAGATAATTTTTAGGCGCAGAGTAGCCATATGCTATGCTGTGCTAGTTTTTTGTTATAACGTTTTAATTTTGTTTAAGTAACCTATCTTGTAGAGAATTTTTTTCTGATTCGAATGGTATATTTGATTAGTGCGCTACTGCCGATCGACGATGGCTTACAGGGGTGAGAAATAGGCTGTTTTTCACCATTTCCCATACAAAAATCGCAGCCCATACCAAGTATCGTCGATTTTTCGATTTCCAACAATTTTGAGTTAAATAGCTCCTTCGATAGAGAAAATTTTTCTGAATACGGTGACGATATTTATTTTTGGAAAAACAGCCGGGAAAAGCAATATAATGGTCCCTAAAGAGGGGAAAATTTGGGCTAAAATGATCTTAAAATTGCTATAACTTTTGAAATCGAGCTATTTAGCAAAAATGAAAAACATATTCGGAATCAGCGCAAAATTCTGCACAAAATAGGCCCGGTTTCCACTCAGAACTCCATTCACACCAAAAAACGTCTCCTTGTTAGGCTTAGGCTCAGGCTAAGCACGTGCAAAAAAGAAAGGGGGGGGGGGGATATCTGGCCTAACCAGCAAAATTCATGGTACTTCTTGTGTAGTTTAAAAGTGTTCTTAGTAGTTTCGGTCCTTTCGCGTTATCGAGGCTACCGAATTTTTCCCTATTTTAATCGTTTTTAGTAAAATTAACGATATTTAAAGTGGAAAACAATCAAGAAATCATAAAAAGACGAAAAATCGTCGAAATTTCGCCTTTTTCCGTTGAAAAATCTATATTTTTATATTTTTTTACTAAAAATGTTATGGTTGCCATTTTTCCATTTGGCCGAAGCCACCGAAACGATCTCTGATCGAAAACACCTTGCCACCATTTCCCATACCCTGGGGGCTGTTTTCGAAAACAAATTCGAGGAGGCTCCGCGGGGTTGACGTAGTGATAAGCCCCGGTTCTCGCAAGCAGCTGCTAGATGAGCGAGCGAAAACATAGCCGCGTTTCCTAAAGCATGTTCACCAATCAGCCTCCGTTTTCGGGGGGAAACCTCTGCTAGCCTGCCCTGGAGTCCACAAAATTACACGGGCATTCAGAGGACAGGGAAGGCGCCTGTGAGAGGAGGGGCGGCTCCAGGGCACTCCAATGGCCGCGCGTGTACTGTGCACGCTCCGCGATCCATGATCTCCCCATAGAAAGGGCCGAAAAATGGTCAAAAATTTTGAACTTCAAATCGCTATAACTTTTGAAAAGGTCATGTGAATCGGGAGCGCTGCTCTAGGAATGTAGAGAAGAGTCTGGGCTATGTTATGGAACAGGCCTCAGGCCGATCTACAGCAGAAATAAGGACTTCTATAGCTTTTTAGCTCAAAAAGTGTCAAATTCCGTCCTTTGTGCGAAGCGTTTTTCTTTGAATTTAGGCTCATTCTTTGTGGTTTTTTCACTGAACTTGCTTGGGAAAGCATTGCCAATGTTAAATCAGCCACCTTTTGGTCTTGGAAGGCTAAAATTTGTTGTTGCAATTCCGGCAAGCTTTTAATTTATTAATTTTTCGCATACTATGCTCCATAAATGATCTATTGGGACTTTTCCAGGCTTTTGGCGCAAAAGGCAAAAGGTTAAAGCGCTCCCTTGAGGGTGGGGAATCGAACCCGCACCCTCAGACTGTGGCTCATACCGGCGCCTTAGACCACTCGGCCACGCCCCTCCCCCTCCCCCACGCACGCTCTGAACGCCCGTGATTAGCTAATGGTAAGAGTTTACTTTACCCCCCCCACAGCCGAAGGGTCCCACAGGTGTCGGTATTTTCGCTTATTTTTTTCGGGATTTTCGCAACGCCATTCGATAGAGCGTCGAAAAATATACTAAGAGTTTTAATTTGAGCCTACAATAATGTAAAATAAAAAAGTTATAGCCAAAAACTTCCGGCTGGGGGGGGGGGGTAAAGTAAACCGTAGCCTAGCTAATTTCCGGGCGCCATTTCTCGTGTAGCCGGAGATTCACCTGAACAGAGTAGTGGGTACGGTATTGGGTTCTGGACGGTTAGCGGGGGGGGGGGATACATTCTTCCCTGTGATTCTCTACGGTTCTATAACCAAGTACATAGTTTTTAGATATAAAAACAAGACAAAAGTTCATAAGAAATTTCGGAATTTTATGAATTTCGGTATGAAAAATGGCTAGGTTCAAAATTTTCGAGTTTTCAAGGGTTAAAAAATCTTTTTTATAGCTTTCTAGCAATCAAATACTACTAAAAACACTCTAAAAATACAAAATATATCATCAACCTGTAGGCATAGGTGGAAAAAAAAACAGAAAATTTCTCCCCCCGCTAACAGTCCAGAACCCGATTTTGAACATACTCTGTGTTGTCGGGCGTTCACTGCTGATTCTTTCTGGAAAACATCACTCAAACCGAGGGCAGATCGGGGATTTCCCATCGGTGAGACCCGACTGCCAACGCCAGTGTTTTTCACGAGGAAAATCAGGGGGTCCCCGCACCCGCCTTGCCCTTGCCGGATGTCCCCTACCCCCACCCACAACATGCACTTTCCCCAAAAAAAAAATACCTAGAATGTTCACGACGTCTAGCCGGAGGTGAAACCGGCCCGGAATAGGTAGGGCAAAGTTCGAGCAGGGCGGCCCAGACAGTCGGGAAGTTTACAAAAATAGTGGCAAGTGGCGTCAGCCCCGGGATATTGTCGTGTTTAAGGACGGTACTGGGCTGTTAGCCGAGGGGGAAGGGGGAGCGGGGTATGTTTTTAGCAATTCTTGATTGCAATACGTTGTCAAAATATCTTAAAAGATTTTGAAAACGGGGAATTTTTACCTTTTTCATACATTTTTCATCAAAAATTTTTCCAGAAATGCCACAATTTTTCATCCGCTTTTTTTGCCAAAAACTGTTGAAATGCGATAAAAATGGTTGATATTTCGTTATAGGTCCGGACAGGAATGCTGTACTGGGAAAAATGTGGTTCCCCCAGCCAAAACAACACATTGTACAAACATACGAAAAGCGGATATCATGCACAATTTTATTCACACAAAAAAGAGAGACGGGGATACACAAGCGATCGGGCTTTTCGAGGCATTTCCTAGGCAGGCTGCGGCTTCGCCGGGTGGTCGCCATCTTTCGACTTCTCCTTGCCGCCCTCCTCGGGAAGCACTGGAAAACGAAGCACACGCTGCTACTTTTTATCTTCATTACGATTTATGTGTGTAGGCAAATTGAGACCAAAAACCGACCAAATTCGTGATGGTGGCCCTTCTCGATGGCAGGATGCATGCTGACGGCGACCACCTCGAACCGGGTTGGGTCTTCCTGAAACCGATTGTTGAATCAATCAGCGGTGCTGGAATAAGCAAAAGAAACTGGAGTTCAGTCAAAGACCCACCACCATCACTTCCGGGATGCTCGTCCGCATATTCCAGTCGTCATCGTCATCCGAGCCCTGGGTGTTGTCGAGGTTCTTCTCGGCCTAAATTAGTGTTGGACAGCACCCCAAAGAGAGCACCCCGGGGTGCTTTTTTTCCCACCCCGGGGTGCTTTTATTTTCACCCCGGGGTGCTCTAAAAAAGCACCCCGGGGTGCTTGCTCACCCAGGGTGCCCCAAAAGCACCCCGGGGTGGGAAGCGTTACCCCGGCCGAAGAGGGTGCTCTGGAAAGCACCCCGCCCCCCAGTGGGGTGCTCCAGAAAGCACCCCAGCCGCCCTTGGGGTGCTCCAGAAAGCACCCCGGGGTGCTTTCGGAAGCACCCCAGGGGTGCCTTTTGGGGTGCTCTGTGGGGTGCTGTCTGGGGTGCTTTTTGCCAATGACCGCAATATATGAACTAGACTATTTTGATCTAATCAGGAGATGAACATCATTTTCGAGCAGTTCACACAACTCGGCGCCAATTCGATTGCAACTCAATTGGGGGTCGTTTGGTAGCATTTCTTCGAGGTTGTTGAACACGGCGGTCGATTTCGAGACGTTTTTTTCTAACCGCTCTAGCAGCCGGGGCAAAGCTGCTCGAGAGCTCAAACTTGTCCGGCAGATAGAACTTTTCGCGCTCTTTCGAATGGTGCCCTTCGCGATCCAGGATTCGCAGTGCAAATCGAGATATGATGGTTTTAGTGCGGCGACAACTTCGACAGGTACACCTTTCGGCACTAAAACGCTCCCCTCTCTGTCCCCCAACGGTTTTGGAGACCGGCAAGTATACCGTTGGAAAGAGCGTTCAAAATGCAGCCTTCTCAACGGCTTGAAGCAATTCTATCAAGCTTCTTTAGGCTGCTAGAGCGGTTAGAAAAAAAACGTCTCGAAATCGTCCGCCGTGTTCAACAACCTCGAAGAAATGCTACCAAACGACCCCCAATTGAGTTGCAATCGAATTGGCGCCGAGTTGTGTGAACTGCTCGAAAATGATGTTCATCTCCTGATTAGATCAAAATAGTCTAGTTCATATATTGCGGTCATTGGCAAAAAGCACCCCAGACAGCACCCCACAGAGCACCCCAAAAGGCACCCCTGGGGTGCTTCCGAAAGCACCCCGGGGTGCTTTCTGGAGCACCCCAAGGGCGGCTGGGGTGCTTTCTGGAGCACCCCACTGGGGGGCGGGGTGCTTTCCAGAGCACCCCTCTCTCGGCCGGGGTGCTTTCTTTCCCACCCCGGGGTGCTTTTTGGGGGCACCCCGGGGTGGTTTTGAAAGCACCCCGGGGTGCTTTTTTAGAGCACCCCGGGGTGAAAATAAAAGCACCCCGGGGTGGGAAAAAAAAGCACCCCGGGGTGCTCTCTTTGGGGTGCTGTCCAACACTAGCCTAAATTGTGTGTTTTTACAGCCGGGTGCAACGGTCGGGAGCCGCCGGGGTCCAGATTGGTCCTACCGTCTTTTTCTTCTTGCCGGAACGTCCGCTTTTCTCTTTCTCGTCGACAGGCTTCTTCTCCTTTTCCCTCTCCTTCTCCTTACTCTCCACCTGCCTCACCCCCGAGCACTCGACGACGGCCGGCTCAGCTCGAGACTCTTTCTAAAATTTCGTCGAGTTGATCTTTTTTTTTCTTCCAAACCCCAGTCGCCATTTCGGCCGACGGCTGTGTGCAGGCATTTGGGTGATCGGGCTCAGTCTCCCGGGCAGCATGCATAGTCGGTCCCATCAGCAGCAGATCCAGCTTCGGCATCTTTTTGCGCTGTTCACGCCCCGACGGCTCGCGGTCCTTCTCAACGGCCGAGCGTTTGCGCTGCGTCTTGCCACTGCCTCCACTTTTTGCACTCTTGCCCATGATCCTGAGGACCCTGCCGCTCAGCGATACCCTATAAAATAGGGTTTAAATTTAGGCAAGACTGCGCAATCCCGCCATTTTGGTATATCGGCTCCCCGCTAGCCTATAAGTCTGTAAAGTATAGCAAAATGTTCGACTTGTCCTTGCGAGGGTTTTGGTATATTTTCCAACCCACTCGGACAACGGGGAGCCGAGATACAGTAGGAGAGGTTCTCCAGTTTAGCCTAATTTCCCCTAATGTATTACGTCTGCTCCCGGCTGGTGACAGGCTCCCGGGAGGTACTGGCGGCTTCATTCTCCCTCGAGGGGCGACGGGCTAAAAAAATGATTTTCAATAAAGTATAGAATTTTTTATTTACCAGGAGCCTTGGTTTTGCGCTCCTTCGACGTTTTGCGCTCTCCGTCGACATCTGAACGCTTCGTTTTCAAAGGCGAGCTCAGCAAAGCCTACGAAAAAGTTTGCCCAGCGTCTCCTTGGAGCTTTGGTAAAAGTTGCCGGCGCTGGCCAGGGCTTTCGGGGTGGTCGGCACGCTGTGTCGGCTTTTGTGCCGCGAGACCTTTGGCGATTTCTAAAGCATTGAGGTATCCGATCAAATAGGGTGAATACCTTAATTTTGGCGCGATCCGGGGACGGCGACTTGCTCTTGCGAACGGAACCACTCATTTTGTCGAATCGAATCCGGGTCTAGCTAAATAAAGACGGCCATCGAAACCCAAAAGGCCTTACTCTGAAAATTGATCAAATGCAAGTAGTGAAATGAGACCAAGTGGTCCAGGTGGCTAATGTAAGTAGAAATGTTGTTTTTTTACCATCCGGCCAAAACCCCCTTCCCCGCCAAACAAAGTGTGCTTGCAAATGTTGATTTCGAAATTTATTGGAAAGACTGGCATCAATCGCATCTACCGGTAAGCAAGTAAAAGATTCTGGAAATGGTCAGTAAGGTATCGGGACTCGGAATTTCACAAGCAAAGATCCAAATGCTCATTGATTAACGAACGCGGGAAATATTCTTGGCAAGCCGGGCACTCGAGCAGCGGATCCGGGTCGTCGGCTTGAATTTCTAAACGAAAATTAAATCCATTTTTGACAAACACTACCTTCCACAAGCTCGTCAATAGTCCGTTCAGGCGGCGTCATTTCACGTCTAAAAATAAATGTGTGCAACCATCACGAAAACCCACTTCTCGCTCGGCTGTTTCTGCGCAACAAGCACCAATTCTTGCGCACGACCTGAAAAAAACAATTGTAACAACATACATCCAAACAAGAATGTTCAGTTGATCCAGAAACAACACCTCGATTCTTTTTCATTTTCGCCACTACGTCCCGCTCATTGCAAAGTTCGGAAAGATTCACTAGAAACATGGTTTTCGGATGGGGTTCGGCCATACGTAATAACTTTTGATATTTTTGGAGAGTAGCAGGCGCACCGGTGAGTGTAGGGCGCTTCGAATCTGGCTGACGGTCCTCGCGGGCCGGTGGTCGCTTCTAAATTAGGCTAATTTACTAATATAGTTTTCGTACCCGATTCGATGGGCCCGGCTTCTCCTCATCTTCCTCAATTGTCACGCATTTCGGCTGACTGGCCGGCTTCTCTTTGCTCTCGAACAGATCGAGCAACCGCGAACGTCCGCCAGTCGTTCCGCCGCCAAGGGTTTGACCTAAAGTGGAAATTTGTAAATATTCGTAAGAATACCTGAGCCAGTGAACGCAGGCGCTGAACTCGGCGTTTCTACTGTCTTCTCATTTTGGCGGGGCTTTCCGTTAATCACAATCGTCTTCGAGCCTCGTCCATGGACGGCCGTCTGCCCAGTCGGAAGTTTGTGGATATTATCGTTGGAGGAGCTACCTACAAAAATATTTTTTACGTCGTGATTTACATTACCAGAAGCTCCAGCCGCGTTCCCATTCTTTTTAATCGGAGGGTTCTTGGAAGTGGTCGGCGCATCTCCAAGGGCCTTTCCTAACAAACTCCGTCCAATTTCCCCATTTTCGGGCTCCTCACCTTTTCCGGCAAATGGCTTGACCTTCTTTCCCGACACGTTGAAGTATTCATCAATCTTGCGATTTTTGGGGGCGCCCTCCACGGCTTTCTAAGGCTCACGTTTCACCAAAAAATGAAACCGAACTTGAGAAGACTTCTTTTTCTGGCCATATCCCTCCGGTTCTTTGACTTTCTCGAAATGACCTCCGCAACTCTGCATATGCTGCTTCCACCACAAATCATTGGGTCCAGGTGCTCTAGAAATGCCAAAATTAAACGTTACCGAAAAAAAAACCTGTTCGAAGCTCGCTTCACCCAACCGAAAAACGGTCTGCGCTCTCGGCAGCTGCCTTTGCACCTAAAAATTAGATAGTATTTCAAGATACGGCCGCATTACCTCCACCAATGCTGCTTGAAATTGGCCACTTCGGCATGGAACGAGTGATAAATCGTGATACGAGTCCCCGCTTTGCCATTAATTCGATGCATATGCTCCTAAAAATACCATTCATTATTCTCAACTGAAAATACCTGAAACATTGGACCATGGCCGTCCGCACCGTCTCGTATGTTGAAGCGACGCGTGACAAACAGAAATGCGTGGATCATCTCGTGCTAACATGAAAACCAGCATTGATGACGCATATTAACTAACCAAAAGCGTCTCCACCAAATCCTTTCTGGGCCGCAAAGTAAGAAGCGGCTTGCTCAACCGAATCGAGCACAGACCACCACGACCTTCATAAACGCAGATCCCAGCGCATCTAAAACGATGTGGGAATTTGGAACAAACGAACGTCGTCATTCTCGGGCTCCATTTCACTTCACACATGGCGAGTTGGCCAGAGAAGAACTGGTCATCGAACTGTTTGAACAACGCGAAAATGTCGGGGCACGGGTCAATCAGTTCGAAGCTCGGGTCCACCAAACTCATTCCCTTCGAAACAAATTGTTGTCATCATCATCGATGTTGCTCTGTAAATACTAGAACGGCCCTTACGTGCAGATGATAGCTTCAAAGCTTCCCACAAAACTTTATTTCGTACAACCTAAGCGTATACGCACAAATAAGGAGACGTTAAGCTGATCATACGCGTAGAGATTTAGAAGAGGCATGTTATCAACAAGAGACTATAAGAAACGATTTCTAGAAGATGAGGATGACCAATGATCGGGAGGGCAGCCAGCAGAATCCATTTACTTCCGCTCGCGGTAGCTCTTTGGTGGGCGCCAAGCAGCCTCGTAGATGAACAGGTCGCTCTTCAGGGCGTAGGCGAACGAGGCGACGAAGGCGGTAGCGGCGATGGCCAGGTAGACATTGAACTTGGTGTTCAATTCACCAATGACCTGAAAATAATAAATTATGAGGCGGCGATTCTCGCTATCTTTGTCTCGACTAGCAATGAAATCGCCTTCCGCTTCGGCCCCCAAGAGTAAATGAAATAACCTTGTTGTAGGGTTGGAAGGGGATGGGCGCATAATCGTAGGTGACTGGCGGGCCGGGGTTGACTTCGGCGTGGCCGTGACCACCACCGTTGCGCTTCTGCTGGAAGACGCGGCGGAGGGCGAAGAGACGTGCGCCGACGCGATTCATATTACCTGAAACAGAGATTCAGTTGTAAGATTCGAAAAAGCGGAAGTGAACGAAAAATAGAGAGCCGCCATCTTACATTAATCCAGGGTAAATATTTGTGTGAAGCTGAGTGTTTTTGTAAAAAAAACAAGTTGCTAAAAAGCTTCCAAAAGGAGAGAAACTTGGATTTATAAAATTTTAGTAAAGTTTTCAATTTTTACAAAGCAGCAAAATGGCGCAACGCGCATAGAATCAATGGGAGGCCCAGATGTTGGCAAAGCACGCCGTACGACCGTCGTTTGGAGTGCAACGGAAGCTTCTTCAAATGTTTTCCAAAATCGCGATACAAATACTCGCAAAATATAAACTTCTTTCAAAAACATTGAAAATCTCTAAAAGGGGGTTCTATTCCTCGAACTCAATTTCGCGCGCTCAAAATATAAAAATGACGAACAAAAAGATAAAAAAAGGTGTCTGTTATTTCTCAATCTCGAATTGCTCGAGGTTGTCTTGCTCAAGATCTGATTTACCGGAAGTGCTAATCAAAATTGTTGTTTTTGAATAAAGAATGAGCACTGATTTCCATCCCTTCTAACCGCTAAATTCAGAGATGACGATGCGCGGCATCATTGTTTACTACTTCGCGGTTGCCTGGATCTTCGCTGATTCTGATGCTCCACCTATTCATCCTGGTCGCTCTGGCTGCTCTGGGCTTCTACTTCTACCAAAAAGAAAACGAAGGCTCGCCCCCCTTTCGCCCAAGACTGCCATCCCTCGTTCATGTCTGACGACTAAGACAGCCACGACTGCCATCGCCAAGACCACTGGGCCGGATGATGAGGCCCAAACCGCTCGTCGCCCGGATGCGTAAGTCGTTATTGATATTCTTTTACTGATTTTTACATCTAGAACTTCGGGCGAGCCGACGATGACCCCTCGCACGACGGTGCCGGAAACGGCCGTGGTGGCTACACCCACAGACGTCAATTACTTGGTGGCCAGCCCGACTGGCGATGGGGAGATGAAGGCTATTCGCGAGGTAGATTAGCGATAGTTTTGGCTTTCAAAAACACCTTTTAGACGAAGCGGCGCTCGCCTCCGAAAGAGGCTCCTAAGGACACTCCCCCTGCAGACACACCTCAAGTCAACAGCACCGTGACTGCTACCGTCCCGAAGACCGAGGGCGATCCGGCCACTGCCAGTGCGGCTTCGGCTGCACCCACCCCTGCTCCTGCAGACACCCCTGCGGTAGATCAACATCCACGCTTTTCAAACATTTTTAGCCGCAATCCGCACCGCCGCCTTCTGAACCCGCTGCATCGATTGCCCCCGCTACCACCCCGTCCGAGGCCGTGACGCCCACCGTCAACAAGGAGGGCGGCGAGCCAACTACGACGACTTCTTCGGTGATGACCAACAGCGCGCCGCCCGAGCCTGCGAAGCCTGAAGCTGGATCTGCGCCTCCGGGAACTACGGTAGGATCTTAGAAAATATTGCCCTCTCACGTCCCGCAGAACTTCATTTTTTTTACTCAATTCGAATTTTAGCCCAACGTCCCGCCGACTCCGGAGCCAAAGGTTGAAGCGCCGCCACCACCTCCTGCTGCTCCCGCTCCTCCCGTTGCACCAACTGAATCGCCGAAAGACCCCGCACCGCCCTCCATCAAGCCCGAGCCGCCGAAGCCAGAACCGCCCAAGGCCGCCGCTGCTCCCAAGCCGGAGCCTCCGAAGCCGGCTGCCCCCGCCGCTGCTGCCAAGTAGGCCATTTTTCCGATGTCTAAAAATTTCTAATTTTAGAAAGAAGGATGGATCTTCGAAGAAGGTCAAAAAGGCCGCTGGCAAGAAGGACGGTTCCTCGAAGAAGACCAAGAAGCCCGCCGCGACGTCGAAGGCCAAGGAAGCCAGTCTCAAGGCTAAGAAGGAGAAGAGCGCAAAGATCAAGAAGGAGAAGGCGAAGGAAAAGAGTGCCAAGAACAAGAAGAGCGTCGTCTCCAAGGCCAAGAAATAAAACGGATTCCGGACAACCGCTCGACCCCCTTTAACCCCCTGGAATAAATGACTTTTGAAACATACTCGCAGCGCAATATTGTTACTTGCTGAATAAATGGCACTCCTAGTTTCTGTCGTGATTGCAGTTGTTGATCATTCATTCACGAGTTGTTCTAGATGCTAGCGAGATCGGGTGGTGCGGTAGGACGTTGTGTGCTTACAGTTAGTAGAAACCTTGCTGCAGTGTCTTCAAGTGAAGCTGGGGCGCAGGTGAGTGCAACTAAAATTTCGTGATTCGTCTCTAGGCATCACCAAGCCATGAGAGCATCGATAAGATGCGCGCTAGATTGCTGTACCAAAGCAAAAAACGAGGGATATTGGAGAACGATATACTGCTGGGAGATTTTTGCCGATGCCAACTTGAACAAGATGGACAAAGGATTGTTGCAAAAATACGATGCGGTGAGTCGGCTTTTTTTGATTTTTTTTTTTGACTAAACATCGCGTGGCCCTGCCTTTGTGATTGCGGTTTTAATAAATTGTGTGTGGGATATTGGACGCGGGAATCCGCTATTCGCGGTTGCTTGTTTGGAGTGCTGGGACCGAATGTAAGAGATTTAGGTTAAGGGATGAACCCTCATTTTTGTTTACTCGGCGTTGCCGCTGTTACCGCATCCTTGTTTTTTATTGCTAGAGGCGCAAAAGTAAGCTAGATTTTGATACCCAGACGAGAATGATCCGGCTTCCCTAAATAGGATGTTTCTAGCGCACGACCGCCAAGCAATTGCGAATCGTCTTTGTCAGTGTGCCAGCGGGAGACAAGGCTGCTGAATTGGCTCGCCTGATCGTGAATAGCCACTTGGGAGCTTGTGTCAAAGTTCTCCCGCCCCTCACTTCCTACTACATCTACGAGGGCCAGTTCAACGAAGACGCCGAGCAAGTGTTGATGATCAAAACTAGCGAGGCGGCTCTCGAGGAACTAGAACAACTCGTGAAAAGCAACCACCCGTACGACGTGCCCGAATTCCTGGCGGTCCCGGTCGACTACGCGCATGCCCCGTATGCAGAATGGGTGAAAAACAGCGTGAAGCCGAACAAAAATTAATCAGTACAAATGCCGCACATTGTGATTTCAATTTTTTTCCGCCAAGTACGCTTTTGTTTGTACCGCTTATACTTTGAAAAATGTTCATAAATATTTTTTTAGCTGATCAACGGCTCGCACATGGAATGGGATCTCTACTACTTCCTCTCCGGCAAGAAACCGGCACCCACCGATGTATCCGAATGCCCGGCGTTTCAGAAATTGAAGGAATTTGTCGATTCTAAACGTAAAGGTTGATAGTTTTTGACGGTTCTGCTTACATTATGTGTATTTAGCTCGATATTGACTAGTTAATGTATGATTTTTATAGAATTTTGCTTGTTTAATTTTTTCTGCCTTTTTATATTGGGTGCCATAAATTGTCAGCAAACCTCGAGTATTTGACTTTTCAAAACATTGGTTTTTGCTCCAGGCTTCCTATCTGCACTGATTGTTTCGCAGCGCAAGCGGGTTCCAGGAGAAGTTGATAACGGACCACCCCATTTCTTGTTATTCTCGCTAACTCTGGTATTCAGGCAAAATGTCGACGGATTTGAAGCCCGTTTATGAGTAAGGACAGAGATTCTTGAGGAAGTAGCACTCTTAGGACGATCGACAAGCGGCGGGACGAATGGATTCAAATATTGAAGGAGGTATTGGCTAGCCCTTGCGATGAAATTTGGGATTTAGTCGATCGCCATCGAGTCGGTGTCCTCGGATCCGGCAAGACGCGGAGAAGTTCGACGGATGGTGGAGTGGACGATGTGAGTCCCAGACACTAACTATGCTATGTTCTCCTAGGGCATACCTGTCCAAACAAGGAGCGAAATGCTGGCTGGAGGAGCTTGGCGAACAAACACTTCACGACGGGTATCTCGAAATCTTTTTAGAAGTAAAATGTCTTTAGGAAGAAATTGCCACTCCCACCCTGCCTTCTTGGCGAGCTCGGTCACGATCCCAAGAAGAAGACTGTGCTCCTCTACGGACATTTGGGTGGGTTCTTTGGCATTATTGGGCGACCAACTTTTTTGGGCTCTAATTTTCAAATATCACTAGTGTTTCTATACGGGTTTTTTTACAAGCCAAAGCATCAAAGCTTTACAAATTATTATTAGATTTATACAAAGAATGTTGCGCCCCCCATCATGCAAAAGAACCGTTGGATGAATCATTGTTGCGCTGCTTAAACTTCTTTTAGACGTGCAACCGGCACGAAAGGAAGATGGCTGGAACACGGAGCCTTTTGTGATGGTGGAGAGTGGTGAGTTTTCATAGGTGGAAGAAATGATCCTAAAGGGAAAAAAAATAATTTGGAAGGAATTTCTTTCCAGATGGGAAGCTGTGGGGCCGCGGAACAAGCGACGACAAGGGCCCGGTGCTGTCCTGGATCCACGCCATTCAAGTTCTCAACGAGCACAAAATTGAGATTCCCGTGAACATCAAGGTATCGCCCAAAAATTTATGGCTTGAAATTTGTTGCGTTTTGCAGTTCTGCTTCGAGGCAATGGAAGAGAGCGGGTCCGAGGGATTGACTGAGCTTCTGCAGCGGAAAAAAACGGACGGCTGGCTGGCGGACGTCGAGTACACCTGCATCTCGGATTCGTACTGGCTGGGCACGGAGAAGCCGTGTCTTTCATATGGACTTCGGTAAACAAACGCCCTATTTTTACTGATTTTATCCCTTTAGTGGTATCTGCTCGTACCACGTCGAAGTCTCCGGCTTGCAACAGGATCTGCATTCCGGAGTGTATGGCGGCAGCGTGTATGTCTGGCCACCGAACTCGATATTTATCGGAATTTAGTTACGAGCCGCTCAACGATCTGTTCTATCTGATGTCCCAGCTGATGGATGTCAACGGAAAGATTTTGATCCCAGGTTGAATACTTGTTGTTGTTTTTCGAAAACTTGTGCTTTAGGCATCATGGATCAGGTTGCGGAAGTGACGCAGATCGAAAAGGAGGCTTACGAAAAAATCGACTTTGACGTACGTTTGAGGAAATAATATTTTCGATGTAAGTTTAGGTGAAAGAATACCGCGAAAGTGTGGGGGCCGCTAAATTGCCGTCGGAACACAAGGAGACACTGCTGATGAACCGTTGGCGTTTCCCGAGGTTTGGCTTTTACACGTAGTTTCATTAGCTTTCATGCTCCTTTCCCATTATCGGGGGGTCTTCGCACTAGAAAAACTATCTAAAAACTCGATAAGAAATGTTCAAAAAGGCGATGTTTTGTACAAAAAAAACGCTCATTTTTCTAAAATTATCCATCCTACCTTATATAATTTTGGCGTATAACTGTGTGTGTGTGTGTGTGTGTGTGTGTGTGTGTGGATGTCACTTTCGAGGCCCGATTTGAGGGCCTTCCCGTGCATAAAAAGCTCTAATTCTCCGTCACTTGGGGAAATCGACCCTTCTGTTTCCAATGGCGCTTTCAGAATTTTGATAAAATACAAGTTTACAAAGTTAAAGCCGGTTTTACTCATTTTTGGGGGTAATTTGCATAATGTGAAAAAATAGAAATTGCTTCATTCTTGCAAGTTGCACGCGCGCGTGTGGTCGGCCGGGGGGGAGGGGTCCGAAGGACCCGAGCTATCGGAAAGTCAAATTTCTTATGCAAAGGCCGCATTCCAGCGCCCAAGGCCCGCGAAGCGGGTGTTGGGCGCTGGTTTTTTGATAAAACTTTGTGAAAGTTTTACGCTTAGGAATAGTAAAAACTAGAAACGCTTCCAGTATTTAAATTGGAAAAAGGATCCTTTGAACAAGGTTGTCCCCCGATAATGCGAAGGAACCGCGTTGATTTAGCTTGTCGGTGCACGGAGTCGAAGGAGCATTCTCGGATCCGGGCGACAAGACGGTGATTCCCTCCAAAGTATCTGGTGAGTGTAAAGACGTCCGAAATAATTTCCGCTGCAGGAAAGTTTTCCATTCGCGTCGTGCCGAACATGGAGCCTGAGAATATCAATTCCCTGGTCGCCAAGTACCTCAACGAGCTGTGGGAGAAGCGTGGCTCTGGAAACAAGATGAAGTAAGACCGTTTCCAAGCCCTTGACTGGAGTTTTAGGCTGATCACGAATCAAGGATCCGTCCCCTGGGTCCACCCGATTGACCACCCGCACTTCAAAGCCGCCAGTCGAGCGGTGAAGAAAGGTTGGTGTTTTTGCATTATCGCGGGGGGGGGCAAAACGCCTAAAAACTTAATAGGAAGTATTTTACGAGTGTTTCGGCCGGCCAAAAATTTATATTTTTGTATTTTAATAAGAATTTGTAAAGTTTTTACGTTTAGAAATAGTAAAAACAGTTAGGAAACACTTCGCTATTTATATTTAAAAAAATGGATTCTAAGAAAAATTTTTGGTCTCCCCCCGATAATGTTAAAGGACCAAAAGGTTTCTGAAATCGTCGATTTTTATCTGCGTTTTTCAGTGTACAACGTCGAGCCTGATTTCATCCGCGAGGGCTGCAGCATTCCGATCACGCTGACTTTCCAGGTTTGTTCCTTCTATTCAAGCTCAAACTTCTTGATATCTAGGAGCTCACCGGCCATTCTGTGATTCTCCTGCCGACGAACGCCTCGGACTCAATGGCTCACTCGCAGAATGAGAAGATGCGCACCCACTGCTACATCGATGGCATCAAGCTGCTCGCCACCTACCTGATGGAACTTGGACACTGATTTAGATATTTCTTCTGTGATTCAACTGTGATATGACTTAGCATGCTTTTCCGGATAAATAATTGCTATTGCGAATGTGGGCCGCTTGAAAATAATACAGTTTAGCGCGACTAAAATGGCTATTTCAGCAGAACCAGCAATATAAATTTTCTTCTATTCTACCCATTTCCAGATCTCGAATGACCTGCAATGATAAAGTGATATGCCTGATCGATATGGACTGTTTCTTCGCGCAAGTCGAGCAGCGCGAAAAGCCGGAATTGCTTGGGCTTCCGGTCGCCGTTTTCCAGGCTTCTGCCTCCCGGTCGGGCGTCGGCGGCATCATCGCGCTCAGCTATGAAGCGAAGAATCTCGGCGTTAGACGAGGGATGAATCAACAAGAAGCGTTTGCCGTTTGCAAGGACCTGAAGCCCTGCGTCGTGCCGTTTGCCGAACATTTGCGCAAGCCGGACATTCAAAAGTACCGCAACGCGTCAAAGGAGGTGTTCGACGTCTTGCAGAACTTTTTCAAAGGCGTCGTCGTCGAAAAAGCGAGCATCGATGAGGCGTTCATCGACCTGACCCCACTCGTTGATAAGAAGCTGCACGAGGACCGTACGGGATATTTGGAGCGATTTGAGCCGCGCCTGGGAGCGCTGGATTCGACGCATTTGGCTGATGGCACGGATCTTGACGAGAATTACGACAGGGCAGTCCTGATGAAAAAATGGTACCACGAGTATTGCAAGATGGACAACGACCATTTGAGGATGCTGATCGCGTCCGAGATGGTCGACGCGTTACGGAAAGCGATTTTGGACAAGACAAAGTTCCAGTGCTCGGCCGGGATCTCGACAAATAAAATGCTGGCCAAGCTGGCGTGCGCGAGACATAAACCAAGGCAACAAACGATCCTCCCACATGCGTTCTGCATGAAAATTCTGGATGATACTCCGATTGGAGATGTGCGATATCTGGGAGGGCTGACAGGAGCCAATATTCGAGAAGTGCTCAATATCCAGACGATGGGCGAGCTGGCAGCGGTGCCGTTCGCGACGCTCGAAGAGGTCTGCCCGGATAAAGCAAATTGGCTGTACCGGACATCGAGGGGCTTCAGCGACGAGCCCGTGAAGCTGCGCCATCTGGTCAGCAGCATCGCCACGAGCAAGCAGTTCGCTGGACGATCTGCGCTGGTATCGGTAGCCAAGGTGGGTCGGGATCTTTTCATTTTTTTCGGTTCTTTCACATTATCGGGGGGAGCAGCTTTTTGCATAAGTCTAGAAATGTCGAGTATTTTAGTAGCAAAGTGATTTAATAGTTTTTTAGTATGCTAGTTAAAATTTTTTAGTAGTAAAAACTATATATTGAGCTAGCAAAGACTATCTAAAAGATTTTGAAAAAAATCGAGGTTTTGGTCAAGAATCGGGCATCTGGGTTGCAGAATTATATTCTGGCATTTTTTTAGAAAATTTTGTATAGTGTTTAGGGTTAGAAATAGGAAAAAAGTGTTTGTAGATACTTCAACTATTTATACTTGAAAAATAAAATTCTAGGAAAAAGTCGGTCCCCCGATAATGCGAAAGAACCGTCTTTTCACGCTTTTCCATGCATTCAACAACACATTTCTCGTTTTTAGGTCCGTGAATGGCTCTCCGGACTCGCGAAGGAGCTGTGCAAGCGGCTGAATGAGGACCGGACGACCAATCGGAGGACAGCGACCAAAATCGTCCTCTCGTTTAGCCAACCGGATCGGCACAGCTCGAAAACACTTCCGCTGAACACATACGACCCGACGAATATTTTTGAAACGACCATGGCGGCCTTCGAATCGGCGCTTCGATCGGAAATACGTGGAGACTCCTGCCCGAGCATTACGTGCCTAACCTTGTCTGCATCGCATTTTGCCCTACCCTCGCTGCACGAACAACAAAAAACGATGAGCGAGTGGGTGGAGAAACGGAGGCTGGAACGCCAAGAGCGAATGATGCCGACGACATCTAATCGGAATCCAGACGACCTCGATTGGGAGTTTTTACAGGAATTGCCGGAAGACATCCGGGCCGAGGTGTTGCATGAGAGGAATCTGGAGAAAGCTAAGAAGCTGAAGATGAAGGCGAATGTTGAAGAGCCAAAAGCAAAAGCGCCGGAGAAGCGGAAACGAAAAGCCGAGCCCCCGAAGAAGGAGGTGATCTCGAAGAAGCTGGACACTTTTTTCAAGAAGCGATAAATAGATACATGTATATTTTTCATTTTTTTTGTTGATATGTGTGGATTTTCATGTGTTTATAATTGTGTGTTATAGATCTCATTGGTTTTCTGCTCTGCTCAACTTGTTCTCATTTTGCGGAATCGATTTTAATAATAAAATTTCCAGATGAATGCGATCGGGGGGCAACTGGAAAAGTACAGCGTGACCTATCGAACAATTGACGAGAGATTGAGGGCCGAGAAAGGGTATGGAAATATTTTAAAGCCTTAACTTGATTTAGTTTTCCCTGGGTCTTCGCACTGGTGCTGGATTGTGCTATCGGAATCGGCGTGGCTCACTTGCTGAAAGGTTGGAGAAGCTTGAGACAAATTGTATTTTCAGGCCTCGATCTCTACGAGATTGTATGGCCGTTCGTCGACGCGAGAATAGGGCAGCTGGACGAGGTCGGTGGATTTTCCCCAAAGTAGTTGTTTTATTTTAGGTTATAACATGGTTACTATCGAACCCAGTAGGCTTGAAGCTCAACGAGCCGTTGAACACCGCCCTCGCCAGCTTCTTCCGCTACCATATTTACCTATGGCATAGTTAGTTTTCGAAAATGGTTCTTTCGCATTGTCGGGGGGAGGGAGACTGAACTTTTTTGGATAAGTAACGTAATCGCAAGGGTTTTAATAGTGTCTTAAATAAAAAATTTAAATCTATCTAAAAACTTTGAAAAAGTCGACATTTTGGTCAAGAACGGCCACTTTCAGTCGAAAATTCGATATTTTTGCATAGTTTTTACGTTCAGAATAGTAAAAAACCATTTCCAGTACTTTTATTTGAAAAATTAGGTCCTGAGAAAAAGTTGGTTCCGCCCGCCCCCGATATGAGAAAGAACCTTGAAAATCTAGTTGACCTATTTTCTTAGCATTTGTGCGGATGCTACGAGTTCCGGCGATCTGGGCCAATTTGCCGCTGGCCCTCTATGCTGGAATTTCATTTGCTGCGGCGTTGTTTGCAGATCTGGTTTCAATATTTTCGATGCACATCGTTTGCTTCTACATCTATGCACTACGGTAGGTGATTCGGGAATTCCGGGGCAAGAATCCGTCTCCAGACTCTTCCTGCTCACCTTCACCTCGCTCGGGTCGCTATGGAGGGCGTTCCGGGGCCAAAAATACAACCCACTGCGGAAACGTGTCGATACTGTAAGGCTTATGGCAAGATCTTGAGATCATTTCAGGCCCATCTGGACTCGCGGCAGCTCTTCTTGGCCACGCTGCTCTTCGTCGTCCTCCTCTTCCTCGCGCCCACCGTAACCGTGTATTGCTTCGTATTTTCGATGGTAAGTGAGCTTTTTATGTCTTTATATTTTACGTTCCTTTTTGCATGGTTTTTCTGTTTTTACGTTTTACAAAAAAGTTACAAAACAGAAATTTTACAAAGTTAATAGAATTCCTATTTTTTTTTCAGCTCCGATGGGTGGTCCGTGGCTTCCAGCTGGCGATAGAACGGGTAGCGGAACTGCAGTGCTATGTACATATGATCTTGGATCGATTCAGAAGCGAATAAATGGCTTGTTAGGATTTCTGGGCCCCAGCTTTTATGGACCTTGAATGGGTTTAGATTTCCGATGAGAATCCCGAAAATCTGTTTCCCGAAAATCTGATTCCCGAAAATCTGAATCCCGAAAAATCTGAATCCCGAAAATCTGATTCCCGAAAATCCGTTTCCCGAAAATCCGATTCCCGAAAATAGAATTCCCGAAAAATCTGAATCCCGAAAAATCTGAATCCCGAAAATCTGAATCCCGAAAAATCCGAGACCCGAGAATCCAAACCCAGAAAGACCGCGCTCTGAAAAGCCAATTCGGAAGAAAACAAATTTAAAAACTAACTTTATTGAATTCACCATCTTGGAAGTCGCCCAGGAACTTCAGAAAGGGTTTTGGTACAATTCAAATAGGCGGGGGGGGATATCGGCGGGGGGAGGTGGGCCTATAGGCAGAGGGGGTGCCTAGAGAGCAGGGCGGGCGCTGAGACGCAGATTGCCCCCCGCCTGAATCTCCCCCGCCTGGTTGAATTGTACCAGGGTTTTTTTCAGTTCACAAACCGCAGATTTTTCGGGAAACAGATTTTCGGGAAACGAATTTTTCGGGATTCGGATTTTTCGGGAACCGGATTTTCGGGATTCAGATTTTCGGGATTCAGATTTTTCGGGATTCAGATTTTTCGGGAATTCTATTTTCGGGAATCGGATTTTCGGGAAACGGATTTTCGGGAATCAGATTTTCGGAAGTATAAGCGAAGCCCTGGGTTTAAAATACTAAAGTTTTGGCGTCAAGATCAAATTTCTAGCGAAATCTTTTTGCGAACGACTGTCTGCGCTATCCTAATATAGCTCTCCCGCTATCTCTTTCTCTCTTTCTCTTCTTCTGCCCATCCTTCGATTTACCGCCTCTATTGATAACGTGCCCATTTTTGATGGCCTCATCCCGGGTGTCGATTTTTCCAGACTTGCCGACGTTTTCGAGTCGACTTGGTTTGCATTTTCTGTCAATTTTGAGGGTTTTTGATTTCTCTGCTGTCTTTTTCGTTGCTAACCGGCTCCAACCCCGCTTTTCCAGGCATGAATCGGGCCGCTAAATTGTTGCCGACGACGATACGCGGTTTTTCTACAAAGTGAGAACTCCGCTATTTTTGCGCTTAATTTTACTTTAGGGCCGAGGGGAAGAAGACGTGCCTCTACGATCTGCACAAGAAGCACAAGGGCAACCTCGTAAACTTTGCTGGATATGAGATGCCGGTTTCGTTGATGATTTTTTCGTATAAAATCCAGCCATAGGTGCAATACGCCGATCTGTCGATCAAGGATTCGACGATTCATACGCGGAAGCACGTGTCGATTTTTGATGTCTCCCACATGCTTCAGACACACATTACCGGAAAGGATAGGTGCGTTTTTGAACCGGCTGCAATTTGAAAGGCTCTATTTTTCTCAGATCTACTATATATAAATTTCTATTGTCCGTCTGCCCGACGACCGACCGGCAATTCAGCCAAATTCTGCATTCAAATTCGAAATCCAAAATGGGGGGAGGGGGAGGTCCAGCGCTGAACCCCCGCGTAGCGGGGGATCAGCGCTGGTAATTTATAAATTGTCATTTTGTTTTGTTTTTATCATTTCCTTTAGAGTTGCCTTCATCGAATCCCTGACAACGGCCGATGTCGAGGGGCTGAAGCCGAACACCGGCACTCTCTCCGTGTTCACGAATGAGAAGGCGAGTTTTTCTATTAAAATAAATAAAATCAGCTTTTATTCAATAATTTTTATTGTTTCTATCCATTAAATTTCACTAAACACCTTGTGAATTTTTCCTTATTTCAGGGTGGCATCAAGGATGACCTGATCGTCACGAAAACGGACCAAGACTTCATCTACATGGTCACCAACGCCGGCTGCATCGACAAGGATCTGCCGTACTTGCAGGTTCGCACGAATTTTTGGGGTCTGAATGTGATTTTCAGGAAAATGCTGCTGCTTGGCGATCTAGGGGCAAGGATGTCCAAATTACAACGTTAGACGGACAGGGCCTCGTCGCCGTTCAAGGTTATTTTTACATCCGAGATTTATTCGTCTGATTTTTGGAATTTAACGCGCTTGAATTCAGGCCCGGAAATGGCCAAAGTCTTGGACACGGACATTGACCTCAGCAAGCTGACGTTCATGAACACCGCTGTCGGCAAGGTTTCCTTTTCTTTCTGAGGGCCCGACGTTGACCGTGTTTTTAGGTGTTCGGCATCGACGGCTGCCGCGTCACGCGTTGCGGTTATACGGGCGAAGATGGTGTTGAGGTGAATGAATGTCCTTAAAAACTGAAAAATTTGAATCCAGATCTCCGTCGACCCGGCGCAAGCGGCTACACTGGTAGAACGGCTATTGGCTGCAAAGGTGAGCATCTTTGTGTGCAGCTTCGGAATTTCCTACATCTTGTTCTTTTTTTCTTCTTCGTTAGCGGGGAACATTTTTTTGTAAATAGCTTCGCTTATCTTAAATTACATTATTTTGGGCGGTATATTAAACTCGTAGTATTTTTGATGATCTATAGAATAGCGTTAACAAAATGCCGAAAAATATCGAATATCCCCGAGAAATAGCTTACCAACCCCATTTTTAGGGTTATTTTTGCTGTACCTTTCTTAAATTATTGTGTTTTGATCCAGAATTAAGCTTCTTCGTACATTTTTTAAACTCTACCGCTCCCGATAATTTAGCCCCAAAAAATAAAATATTGAAAAATCTACGACATAACCCCCCGCCCGCTAACGAGCCAGAACCCTCATTTTTGGATTTGGTAAAAATTATTAGAAAGCGCATCTTTCAGGAGAGCCAAGTCCGTCTGGCCGGCCTCGGCGCCAGGGACGCGTTGCGGCTAGAGGCCGGACTTTGCCTGTACGGCAACGACATTGACGAGAATACGACTCCGATTGAAGCGGGACTGGCTTTTGTTGTTGGTAAGTGGCTCAATTTTGTGCTTTCTATTTCCATCTAGCCAAAAAGCGACGTGAGACGCTCGGGTTCCCGGGTGCCGAGCACATCGTCGAGCAGCTCGCCAAGAAGAGCTGGAAGAAGCGACGTGTCGGGCTCGTGGCTGAGGGCGGACGAGCTGCTCGAGGTGGCGTGGACGAATTTCTTAAGATAGAATGATCGGTTCTTCCGCATTATCGGGGGTGGGGCCGAGGCAAAAACAATTTTAGGGCCCAATTTTTTAACTATAAATAGCGGTAGTGTTTCTAAACTTTAAAAACACTACCGCTATTTATAGTTAAAAACTACTGTTTTTCTAAACGTAAAAGCTTGACAGAGCTTTATTAAACAAAATACAAAAAATATAGATTTTTCGACGAAAAAAAGAAGTTTTTGACCCAATTTCGACTATTTGAA